CTATTCAAAACACCAAACCGATATGGTCAATACATTATTGAAGCTGGCCCAGCTCTGCTGAACAATACCTCGTTCAGCAATACCGAGAAGACTGTGAGATTCAGCCCAACCGTAGAAAGGAAACCAACCAAAGGTTTTCAGTCAACAAGACAACCACTCCCAACATCATCAGCAGAAGCCAAGTTGTGGCATGAGAGACTTGGTCATCCAGGCGCTGAGGGACTGGAACAGCTACTTAAAACAGCTCTTGGGATACAGATAAAAGGAATCACAAAAGTGGAATGTGATGCCTGTGCTGTTGGGAAGGCAACTCGCCAAATTTCCCGCAGAAACCCAGACCATTGGCCAACTGCTGTAGGAGATTATCTATCTCTCGACTTCTTTACACTTAGCAAAGCATACAATGGGGAGAAGGTGATCCTGCTGGTCAGCGATGGCTGGTCAGGGTTCTTCTGGATAAGAACTCTTCGTACTCGAAAGGAGGGACTACAAGCTATGACAGAATTAGCAGCATACCTCGAGAGACAGTGCTTTATCAAAATCTCTATTCTACGCCTAGATTGGGAGGTTGCTTTACGCAATGCGTTTGAACTATGGGCAGCTGTGAATGGATATATGATTGAAAGATCAGCTGAGTACACTGGTGCTCAAAACCCAGCAGAAAGAGCTGGAGGTGCTGTGTTTATGATCATGAGAGCACTTCGATTTCAATCTCGCTTTCCTGAATTGATGGCACCAGAGCTGGCAAAAGCAGCAGTTTATCTGTCAAACAGATTGCCTCGAAGACGCCACAAGTGGCAGACACCATTGGGGTTGGTCAACACTTGGCTGAACTCTCATCAACAGTCTACCCACAAGAGGGCTGAAAAGCCACAACTAGCACACTTGAGGCGATATGGCTGCAGAGCTTACCCCTTGACACAAAACTACAAGAGAGGAATAGAAAAGTCAAACAAAACTGCGCCAAGAGCTCATATTGGCTATCTATGTGGTTATGACAGCACAAATATCTACAGAATCTGGATCCCAGCAATAGGAAAAGTCATGAGAACTAGAGACGTTACTTTCGACGAAAACACGCTGTATGATCCAAGGATTGAGGATACCAGCAAGTTAAGCCAAATGGAACTTGAATTCCAGTTCACAGAAATGGATATCCCATTCACAAATCCAATTGAACAAGACCTAGACACAGCTGGCTGGGATGGAGAAGATTTCAGCGATAATATTACCGGGCCACTACCCGCCTCGAATCCAGCCGCTCAAGAAACAACACCGGCAACACCGATGCAGGAGAAAGAATCAGGGGATTTTCAATTACCTACACCCACTTCTCTATCACCAACAGTACAGCTGTCAGATTCTCAAACAACTGAGGGGGTGAGGGAGACTCCAGAAACTCCAGAAGTATCGCCAACTCCAGAACAATCGGATCAAAGTGAGACCATAGAGGAAACCTCAACAGACCGACTCGAACTACAACAGACACCAGTCATAGAATTGGAACCAGAAGAAATCATACCACAAGATTCCTCCACAGTAATCCCAAACATAGCGAGAAGGGGAAGACCTCGTGGCAGCAGAAATCACAACATCTACAATCGATCAGCCCCTCTTGGTCAAACAAATCAACAGCCACCAGAAGCAACAAGATCATCACAAAGACTGAGAAGAGCAAGAGAATCCCACTTCACACTGCAATCTACGGATACAGTAAAAGGAAGAGATCAATGGGATGCATCAGCAGATGATTTAGGCAATCCACACCAAAAGACACTTCCACCAGTTCCAAAGAATTACAGTGAAGCGATCAAACACCAATACAGTCACAAATGGATTGCTGCAATGAATATTGAGAACAGATCACTATGGCAAATGGGCACGTTTGAAATGATTGATCTTGGCAATATTGATCAAGACACTCAGCGAATTATCCCATTGAAGTGGGTATTCACATATAAGGGCAGCAAAGGATATCTCAAGAAGTTCAAAGCGAGGATCTGTGTTCGAGGAGATCTCCAACCGACAAATGAACTAGAGACCTATGCCTCAACGCTTGCTGGTATATCGCTGCGAAGTCTCATGGCAATTGTGGCGAGATTTGACTTAGAGACTCTTCAATTGGACGCAGTCAACGCATTTACACATGCCACAATTGATGAGGAAGTCTATGTTTGGTTTCCTCCAGGATTCAGACAAGAGGGATACTGTCTTGCCCTGCGAAAAGCACTATATGGATTGAGACGAAGCCCACTGCTATGGCAAAAGAATCTGGAGAGATCATTCAAGAAGCTTGGCCTTATCCCACTCCAAGAAGATGACTGTATCTACACCAATCAATACTTCATAGTATTCCACTTTGTGGACGATATTGGGGTTATATACCATAAAAAGCATGAAACCAAAGTAAAAGAAGCAGTTCAACAACTCAAAAAGGAGTATGAAATGAAAGATATGGGAGAATTGAGTATCTTCCTAGGAGTCAGAATAATAAGAGAACGAAAAACCCGTCAACTATGGATGAGTCTCGACAACTATATATCTAAGGTCACTGAAGAATTCAAGATCAGAACCTCAACCAAGCGACGCCAAACACCTATGGCAATAGATAACCTGGTCCCAAGTCCTGGTCAGGCTACGCCAGAGGAAATCAACTACTATCAACGGAAGGTTGGATCAATCAACTATGCTGGAGTGATTGGCAGACCAGATATAGCTCGAACAAGCTCGAGACTAGCAGAATTCCTATCAAATCCATCTTCTGAACACCAGAAAGCAGCATATGAATGCTTACAATATCTTGAGGACAACAAATACCTCGCTATCGAGTTCAACTGCAAAGGGAAAGGAGTCCTCTACTGCGCCTCAGACGCTTCATTCGCTGATGACTCTGTCACTCGAAAAAGCACTCAAGGATATGTGATGATGCTATTCGGAGGTCCAATTCATTGGAAAGCAGTCAAACAACGAAGAGTAGTCACTTCAAGCACAGAAGCTGAGCTTGCTGCTTTGACAGCAGCCACAAGAGAATATATGGCAACCATTCGACTCATGGAACAATTGAATCTCCAATTAGATGATAAATACATCATGCAATGCGACAATAAGCAAACTCTTCGACTATTGATTGCTGAAAGACCCCAAGCGACTAGCAAATTACGCCATATCAATATCAACAACTTATGGCTTCGCCAGGAATTACAGAAGGGATCAATTGACTTTCAATGGGTTCCAACCAACGAAATGGTGGCAGACGGTATGACTAAAGCAATGCCAGCCCAAAAACACAACCACTTTATCGCCCAATTGGGTATGGCGAATATTGAACATTTGATCGAGAAGAACGCAGTATGAATCTGGAATTTGGTAGTAAGTATACGGAGTTCTGAATAGTATCATTTCTGTATTTGAATGAGAATACAGAGAATCAACCTACAACAGGTTGCCTCTCTGAGGGGGTGTGTCACACGGACCACTGCATATATCGGGGCATGCATTCAACCCATGCACCCGGCTATTGTTTCCCATATAAAACTAACGGGGATGTCATTTTGTGCATGAAAACCTTCAAATCGGTAATTACCGAATAGACGGTTATATAATCAACCCAATAACCCCTAGACAGTCTCTAATGAATGGAAGCATCTTTTTTTACCCCATAAGTGGTGGGCAAATTGACTGCGTGACAACACACATAGGGTAATCGTAATGCTCTTCAAACGCAGAGAAGTTTGACCTTCAACTTACCACAGTTGTTTACCATAATGTCACGTCGGGAATTACTCATAATTTGAAAGCATCGGAAGTTTTGTAATAGATTAAAACTTTTTGCCAATTTGCTAATGTTAGAAGACGAGGTTAACTAGTAAGAAAGACTCAACTAGGAGTTCTCAAAACTAGGCCGCAAGCTGGCACAGGTTTAACTGTCGCCCTCTTGAACTGGAACCCACGAAGATGGATTGAGAATATTAACATGCACTGATCGGACATGCGCTTATTCCGTACCATTCGCTTGTTGTTCCCCCTTATAAATATACTGACGGGGTCGGCAATTTGTAGATAGCCGGTGAGATTGTTGGATAAACGGCCTTGCATTCATCCGGACGGTCTTTTTCTCAGGCATTACACAATCACACCACAGTACTACTAAACAACTGGGCTCAGCAATATATTAAATTGACTACACAAGTGGCAGTTACTGTCAGGTGCCACTTGACAGCACCGTAAAGAAGGTTGAAGCTACTTGAAACGGAAGGTAAAGCCACTGACTTGGTGGGGCACTTTACGAACCCGTCCCGCCGAACAGATTGGGACACATTCATGCTATCATCTCTTTCATTGAGTCTTCTTTGCAATTCTTGTGAAACTACCTACTTTACCGTCCGGAATACAGCCTCAAATTTTATCAACATAAAGACGCCACCAGTATTTCAACTCCAATCTACTGACGAGATCAACCTCGCAGTAGTGTAGCCGTTGGCTGCCAGAAATAGCTTTGATCATGCACTGGTTTGTGAGGGCCAAGATGCTAATGACCAACGGTTACTTCGGAATTTAGTTGCGTCCGTCTTTGGCAGGGAGGTTATCCTGATTTTTCTGTTGTATCATAAGCCTAAGCTCCACGGACTTTAACGATGGCTATGCTTAAAGGCTGCCAAGAAAAGGCAACCCCGTTCAGTGGCGCATTAACCAGAACGATTGGGTGATGTTTTCCCATTTACGAGCTTTGAGGTCGTGCACCCTACACGGCTGTCTTTACAGCCATGGCGAAGGTCCAATTTACTTAATTAGAGTTTGGGGCTTACTAAAGAAACATTGTCCGTTCATTTCCGGGTCCGTTTCTATCTTTCTGTCGGGGACCTTAGACATGCCGGTAGGCAGAAATCAGGAAATCGCTTGGTTTAAATACTGCAAGTTTGGAATACCTTCTGACCATGGCTTCGAGTTGAAATCAAACCAAGGCATATTTTGCGAGCGAAATCAACTTTGAGCTTCTCGAGATGTTCTCTTCTTGTCTCGCTACCGCAGCTACCCTGGCTGCGGTGTCGGTGTCAACTGTTTTGGCTCGAGAGCCAGGACCTGCCAGCTTTGATTCTGTACTCCAGGTGAGGGACGAGACCGTTCTGCCAGGTTGCGATAATGTTGTAAGTCATCTCTCTCCCATCTGTGTATAAAAGGTCTATCCTCGCTTTACAAGCGCTAAAGGCTTTTGAAGTGCGGTTCTCTTTCGCAAAAGTACCCGGATCAGGTATTGCTCAACAACGAAACGGTGTATACGACAGCACGACAGGAACTCTGGTCGACTATTCAAGGAGCAGTCTCACCCGCCTGCTTTTTTCGCCCTGGTAATTCGGCCGAGGTTTCCGGTGCAGTCATCGCTGCTCGAGACGCCAAATGTCTATTCGCTGTCAAAAGTGGTGGCCACAGCGCCTATGCGGCCTCCACGATCCAAGGAGGTCTCGTTATTGATCTAGTGAATATGGACGCGGTGTCCTTTAGCGAGGACAAGAAATCGGCCACCATCGAACCTGGTAATACTTGGGACAAGGTATACCCAGTGTTGCAAGAACATGGTTTGATTGTTCCCGGTGGTCGCATGTTTGGTGTCGGCGTGGGCGGTCTCACCTTGGGCGGTAAGTTTGCTTACGTTTGTCGAGGAAGTACATATCACAGTTCGCTAATGTCAAAGTCACCAGGCGGAGTCTCCTGGCTAAGCAACCTTCTTGGATGGACCTGCGACAATGTTTTGGAGTACGAGTTGGTGTTGGCTGATGGCCAGATTGTCTCTGTCACTGCCACCTCACACCCCGACCTTTACTGGGCGTTACGAGGTGGTGGAAGCAACTATGGCATTGTCACAAAGTTGAAGTTCAATGCCTATGCCCAAGATAAGATCTGGTTTGGCAGGGTGCGTTTCAATGATACAACTAATGCCACATTTAACCATGCCTATGCAGACTGGGGAAGTCTCCAGGCCCCAACGGACCTGCGCAGTGGCGGCGTGCTCGTTTGGAACGCCTTTGCCAACAGTAAACCAGTCGGAGTCGCACTGCTTATTCATGCCAACACCTACGAAAATGACACGCACCCGAAAGTTTTCGACAAGTTCTACAACGAGGATGCGACGCGGTTTGAGGCTGCGAACACGTATCACGGAGACTTGGCGAAGACCCTCGTCATTCCTGCTGGCGCCACTCGTAACTCTATGTGGACGACGTCGTTCACACTTGATACGGAGCTTCTCCAGAGAGCCTATGAGATCTGGGAGGAGGAAACGAGGTCTATTGCCTCCTTTGCAGCGGTCCAGCAGCTCCAAGTACAGGTCATCACCGTGTCACAAATGGAACTCATGAAGCGAGCTGGCGGTAACCCGAGCGGTCTTGTTGGCCAAAAGAAAGCCATCGGTTTCTTGAACCTGCTTACACAGTGGAATGACGCGGCTGATGATCGAGCGGCCTACTTGGCGCAACAGCGAATGGAAAGTCGGATTGATGCCGCAGCAAAGGAGAGGGGCCTGTACAACGAGTACAAGTATACAAACTATGCAAGCCAGTTTCAGGATCCTTTCTCGGGCTATGGAAAGGCCAACAAGAAGCGCTTGTTGGACATTGCCAAGAAGTATGATCCTGAGGGAGTATTTCAAATTCTTGAGCCTTATGGCTTCAAAATCACCAAAGGATCACCTCAAACTCTTTAATATTTCATAGCCAATAGATCTCGAGGACAATGTTATTAGTATATCTCAACTATAAGAAAGCTCGGGAACTTAAAAAATACTGCAAAATAAACGGATTCATTTGAAAGGCACGTCAAAAAGTAGAGATTCACTTTTGTGGGGTTACCAATTTGAGGATGAGATTGTTTCTGGAAGAGGAAAGCCTTTTCAGCGAGTGTGGATAGAATGAGCATTGTAAACATCAGGAACCCATAAGAAATTAGATACATATGGCTCTTTGTTGATGAACAATTCGCGGAAGCAAACAACCACCTGAAATAAGATCTTGTAGATCTTGCAAGGTGGAAACCGCAACTATTGTTTAGAAGGCCTGGCAGTAAATGTCAAATTATCGCACGCTCAGAGCAGAGACACTCAGAACCTCATTTCCCCAAGGATAACAAGCTCCGACGTCTGGATAGAACACGCGGCTCTGTCACTAAAGTAAACCGACCGCTCCAGGCCCTTTTTGTTAGGCGTCTGATGCACTGACTGCTAGCGGCTTCTGCACCACGTCATGCACTTTGGCCCCCTGCCCATAGGAAGAACAGAACAAGCGGGGATGGGCAGTTCTTAGCGAAACTCTGGGGAAAACTTCCGCGACCGCAACCACCAACCACCCAACATCCCAGCCTGGTTCGTTTGAACTACTACCTTCAGGTACCCTCTACCTCCCTGCCATCGTTTTAGGTGCCCGCGCAGGCGCGTGACCTCCGATTTTTCCAAGGGAGTCGTCCGTAGATGCAACGCAACGTTGCCGAAAAGAAATTATCGCCAGGTTCGCCAACCAGCCCTGACATTGTCTCCGGAGTCATTGTCGGCAACCTACATCTCTGCGGTTGTAAGCATGGATGAGTCGTCGCTAATCAAGGTAAGCTCACCGTCCACCAAGCGCAACATTATCTTTCTTTCAACAAAGTCCTAACCATTCTCTGCCAGGCGCATGACCATGCCAAAGCCGCCTCCAACGCCACGCACCAGTCCGAAACCACAGTCGCCATCAACGAACATGCCCTTGCCGCTGGTGAATTTGCGAACGCCGCCCGCGTGACGACCAGTATCGAGGCTCTCCGAACCCTCAAGCTCCTAGAGCAACACCATAAACACCTTTCCGAGCTCCTCAAACTCCCTCTCGACCGCCGCACGAGCCAGACTTCCGTATCCGACACCATCGACGAGAAGTCTGAATCCGAGAGCCCAGACGCCTCTTCACCCTCCGACGATGCGCGAACCAAGTCCGAATCTGACCAAGCTGCCGGCGGCAGCCCCGTCGCCACAGCAAAGACTATTCCTTCCCTGACGCAGCAGCGCCGGTATCCAAGCCGGGAGATGACCTCGTCCATCGCGAGCAATCTCGCCTCGGCGCGTGGCATCAGATCGAGCAGGAACCGCAGCCAGCCCATCCCGCCAAGCGTTACTAACGACCAGGCGCCGGGCAACATGGAGGTTCAGAGCCGGAGAGACGGCTCCAGGGCAAAGATGCAGAACGTACTGGATCAGTCGGGCAAGCCAGCATGGATACCACCCACCGTACACGCAGAGTCGAAGAGGGTGGAGGAGGCAACATCCCCTGCTAGCGATGACGGGTACTCTCGATTCTACAGCACCTTCGGCAGCATCATCAACCGCCTCTCTGCGCCCCTAGCCTTCGCTGGTCTGCCTCTCATCTCCGAGGAGTCTCCCGTTCCTGAGCCCGCCGAGGTATCGGAACCAGCTCCAGTCAAGCGCAGCAAGCTCAAATCGCCCGCCGCCCCAGCCGAGCCCGACTTGTCCAAGATCTACTCTCGCGCCACTCTCCGCGCCATCTCAGCGCAAAACCCGAACGACTCTTTCTACGTCGTACCTACCAGCGGGCACACCGTCTCATACGCCAACATCATCAGCTTTGCCGACAAGGAAAAGCGCCGCCTCGAAGCGTCCCTCCACGGAGACAGTCTTATCGAAGATGACGAGGACGACTTCGTCGACGCCCGAGAGACACCCGCTCCCCTCTCCCCAAGCGCAAAACGCCGCATCGGCAAGACACGCACCGAACGCGACCTCTCAAACACCGTAGAAGAACTCTACCTCGAAAACAAGGGCCTGAAAGATATGCTGGACAAACTCAGCAAACGGCTCCACGCTTTCGAAGCCAGCGCCCAGAGCTCTAGCCTTGCTCTGGCGGAAAGCATGCGTCTAAGAAGACCAGGCTCGCCCTCCGGCACCGGTCGCGGCGGCACAGGGGGTTTAGGGGGTGACGCCGTGCTACGGAGTCGGAACAAGGATCTCGAGGAGCAATTAAACCTCGCCATCCAGCGCATGGAAGCTCTGGAGAAGGAGAACAAGACCATGGCCCGCACGTTGGAAAAGTACCGCGAGAAGTGGGAGAAGCTCAAGGCTGGAGCTAAAGCAAGACGGCAGGCGCAGGGGTCGGCGGAGGCCACTGCGGAGGCGGAAGACGCGGCGGGCGGTAGCTGAGCGCAGATGTATCCAAATTATTTTTATGACTTTGACGTGAGACGAAGAAAAAGAAGACCCAAAAACGTGTATATACGCTTATGTCGGGGTATCATCTACCTGCGTATCATGATAAAAGAAAACCCAAAACAATCCCCCATTCTCTTGAAAAACTCACCCTGCACCGTCTCCGGCAAAGTGATCACCGTTCCACCAGAAACTCACGCTGAAACTCACACTCAAGCTCCGAACGTAATGCCACCACCCGATGGGTATATACAACACGTCGCCCTCCTCCAGCACGCAATCCCAATACCTCAAACCCCTGAACTCCTCCAGCTCGATCGGGTCTCTGCCCTCCGTGTCCTCGTCCCACCCCTCGACGACGCCCACGTCGAACGCGCTCGTGTTGGACATATCAACGCCGCCTTCGTCTTCCACTCGGGGACACACTGCCTCGGAATCGTGAGGCGAGTACAACCTCAGGTACTTCGCCCCAACGACCTGGCAGAGGAGATTGTGATATCCGTCCGTGTGCAACGGCGTGATTGTCCCCGCGGGTCCGAACCACGCGTTCACCAAGGGTAAGTCCAGCTCGGGTTTGTTCTTGGAAGGGTCGAGCGGGTGCGGAGGCGGGGACGTGAAGCAGTGGTCCGGCGTGAGAATGTCATTCTGCAGATGCGGGAGTTGGGAAAACAGTTCGTGTTGTGCCAGGTAGGTCGTTTTCTTCTTCTCCTCCTCCCGGTTCTCGTCTGCCGTAGATGCTGCTGCTGCTTCGGGGACATCTGTCCCGACGATGCGGGAGAGTAACTCCTTGAACGGGATGAGTTCTTGCGTCCACCCTTCGTCGACGTAGCTTCGGCCCACTTCGACGGGAACAAGCCTTCTGCCGCCGTGCGTCCTCGATAACAGATACGACGGTGAAGACCACGGCCTTGATGAGAGCGCGGGCCAGTCCATGAGCAGCGATTTGAGGACCAACGGCTCCGGACCGAAGTCGCCCGCGGATGCGAGGTACGACTGAAACGCGGACATGGTCATCCCATCGATCACTCTTATCGGCTTCGTCATGGGTGGATTGAACTTTCTCGCTGAAGGAAACCTCGCCGGCAGCGACGTTTTCAAAGAGGGCGTCGCATCGAGGTGTGAAAGAAGCTTCTCAATCACCCTCCGCCCCCTCTCCCTCCCAGCCCCGCCAGCAAGAATGAGAGCTTTGTCGAGAATAGCAACTAATTCATCCAACAGCCCCTCCTCCCTCGCCACTTCCTCCTCGGCCGCACCCACAGGCCTCTTCGCATTTTCCAGAATCCTCAGTGAGAACTTGAGCAGACTCAGATCCGTGTACAGCAGTCTCCAGCAGTACGGCAGATCGGCGTACACATACTCGTAGAATCGTCTGTACGTCTTTTCCAGTTCTTCATCGAGCAGGCGGAGCAGTCTCCCCTCGTCGTCGAGGTCGGGGCGGTAAGGCGACGTGCCTGTGGCCAGCACATCGAAAGCGAGGTCTTTGAAGGTGGTGAGAGCGTCTGATGGAAGACCATCGAGACCGCCTTTCTCCCATTCTTTTGAAATCGGTTGGGTTACGGGTGGTCGACGTTCAAAAAGGGGAACGAAGTGCGCGTCTGCGCCTATTGCGGTGGCTATGTCGGTGCATTCTTTGACCAGGGCGGGGTTGCGGAGCGTTGGCATTGCCGTTGGGGAAGTTTATCCTCACTTCAATGCTCTAGCATTTTACTCTTTGCGTCTTTTTGAGACTGGTCTAAGTGGTCTTGAAATGCGGTGGCTTGAAGGCTTTCCGGTTTAAGAATGAAGTGGTTCATATGGTGAGTGAGATGACAAAAAGTTGGAGTCGAGCGGAGCGGGTCCGTCTGAAGATGCCGCTTGTGAGCTCACGCCACTTAGGACGAACCATATATGTGCAACTACGCTCGGCAACGACAGAGAAACATGGGATATTAGTTATGTACTAGTGCAGCATATGCCCATGCGAAAAGTCAATTGACTCGCGCAGCAATACATTCTCTCACCCGCTCAAGCACTCCTAATCATCACCAAAACGTGGAAGACGTCATCGTTTCGCGTTGATTCGCTCTGTACTGAAAGTGGTGCTGTATACTTTAACATGTCCATACTCCTACAATGCCGTCCTGCCGACCCTCGACGAGGTACCCATCTCTAACACGTACACGTTCTACAATGGCAGGCGTCTTGTTGTCTTCCGCCTCAGCGATGCCAGCGCCGCAGTCCCATTGCCGGCCCTCCAGCTTATCGTACACTTTCACCACGTCCTCGCCCGCCGCGCTGACGATTCTCCGCTCGTCAAACATCATGCTGGTAACGGCGTTGTCATATGCGTAGGCATCGTAGATGGATCCTGTGCGGAGATCCCATATCTAGTCAAGTTAGCAAGAGCCATTTGTGCACAAGATAAATAACGTACTCTAATGCTTCGGTCCATACTGCCGGTAACAAGGTGAACGTCGTCAAATTGCAGGCACGTCACTGGGCCGGTATGTCCCACCAGACTCCGGTGAACCTGTCCGCTTCGCAAATCCCACAGGCGTACCATGCCGTCCGCAGTACCACAAGCCAGAGCAGTCTCGAACACCTGCAACGCCCCGATAAAGTCGGCCGTCTGGGCCGGCGCCCGGTTCGTTTGCCTCCAAGAGCTGTCGCTGCCAAAGGAAACAGAAGCCTGGGCCGCAGCCCACATAACGTCAAGCGTCTGCACGCATCGGCCCTTTTCGAGATCCCATTGGCGAAGAGTCTTATCCGCTGAACCAGAGACAAGAACATCATTTCTAAAGTGAAGAGCCGTGATTTCGTCGACGTGAGATTGCAGAGTGAAGAGGTGGCAGTCTCTCATGCTTCCCTCGGGAGGCTCGACCGGACCATCATCGGGGTTTTCGAAGGCAATGTCATCCTCATCATCATCCCTTCCATATTGGCTGCCGTGAGGGTCATAATGTGCCTTACTCAAGTCCCACAAACGAATCGTAGCATCCATACCACCTGTAGCCAGGAAGTTGTCGTCAACTTGGAGCGTCCGGACAGATGCCGTATGGCCTTCCAACAGGCCAATGCACCGTCCTGCGTTGAGATCCCAAACCTTTATCGAGTCGTCCATAGCTGAAGTAACCATTGTTCCAAAGGGTGCGTCAAAGTCGAGTGCCGTAATTGTATCCTGGTGTGCGCGTAGTTCCCTGATGGCGGTGCCGGGCTCGAAATGCTCGTGCAATACCGGCATAGATTTCCGGCGTACCACTCTCTTCTTGGGTTTAGATGCTGGTGTACCGGAGGCTGACGGCAGCTTTTCATACACCGACTGCGACATAAATCCAGACTCGTCCTGGTCGCCAGCTAGTTCCTCATCAGTCTTCGTAGGTGTGTTAATAGCAATTGATTCGGCTTCGTCAACGAGCTCCTGAGCCTCTTCTAACCGGGTCTCGACATCCATAACTGCCACGGGTTAGCCAATGACCATACGACCTGATCACGCGCACCTACGGTCGTGTTCTAATAATGTTTCGTCCTGTTCCAAGTTCGCTAGTCTTTCCAAAATAATTCGTCGCATGCCGTGCAGATTGGCAATCTTGTTATCAATGTCTCGAATTTCGCTGCTTGCCATGTTTTTGCGGACTCCCAGCATTTCGAGTTCGTGCATCATCGAGGCCTTATCTTTCTTGAGATTGTGCAGCGCCTGCGGCGTGCCAGGAGTGTGTTCCGTGTCGTCCAACAGCTTTCTGCCTCTAGATACCCGCCGCCGATGCTTCCTACCATCCTCGGTCAAGTCAGGAAAGCTGGCCTTGAAGCCCTGGAACAGGGAATAAGAATTGTCGTTCTCGGGGATGTTTGCCAGCAGCTCGTCCGGAAGATACGTCAAAGCGCGGTGTTGGATCTCCGTTTTGGACAGCTTGGAGCGCACCATATCGGTTGGTGTCGTTCTCGCCATGGAGAACATGCTGCGTTGGATGGTCGGGCGCCGGAGCTGCTTGTGGACCTCGGCGAGAGCGCCATGGTAGTGATGACTGTTGTTCCCCTGCTCAGATAGAGGGCCGATCAAATGGGTAGCCGTCGTCGTGACCTTGCGTCCGAATGCCTCTATGCCACGCGTCTGCGATTCATCAACTCTTGGTCAGCTTATCCTCCCCTTCCAATCGAGGTTTCGGGTCACGCGGGCGGCGAATCTGACTTACAGACAGGACAGACTGGTCGTCTCCGGCGGCCGCATCATCGTGAAAGGCATACTGATCGTTATCCGAGGCGGCCATGCGTACGTATGCTCCGTCAATACGCGCGACAATGGTAGCACAAGGGGGAAGGACGGGGGAGAAGGAGAAGAAAAAAAAAGGAGAAAGCGTGGGTTGCAAAGTTGTGGAAAGAGCTCCTTCCGTGCTTCGACAAGGTCAAGTTTTGTTGTCTCGGTCGAGAATCAAATACGTATCCACACAGCAGATCCCGGCAATGAGCCGGTTGGGGTCGGTCCTGCTGAATGACGCGCTAAAAACCGAGAGCTCCCTGCACGGAACACCTGGGCACGCTACACTACTTTAGCGACCGCGAGGCTACAGACGTTGAACACAGCGGATTGGGAGGTCCGGGCTTCTTGTTATGGTCTCCTGAGCATTTTCTATGGACGACAGGGGGCTTGATTGGTGCCCGCCTAAGCCACCCACCCTAGTACTTTGTGCATGCAGTTCCCTTTTTCCCATACACAAGATTGGCAGCCTTGCGGGAGGATGGCAGGTGGTGAGATGAGATCTGTTTTTTTTTTTTTTTTGGCACCTTTCCCCTTTTGCTTCCAGCGTCATCGGCCTTGGCTGCACGTTCCCTCGTCCAGTAAACTATCACCAAGCTTTTTGTGACTCGACGGAAAAGGAAGCCCCGAATGCGTTTCTCACATCAACCAGAGCCTCAACCGCCGATTTTGCGCCAGAATAACTCCCCCAGTCTGATCTACAACTTTTCATCTGGATTTGAATCAATTGACGACGAAATGGATTCCCTCATTGATTTATCAGACCCCTCCAAGGCGCTGGACTTGTCTCGCATCCGCTACCAGTTGATGTTCGTCCTCTCTTCCTAATTATAGTACGACTCCTTGACTAACAAAAAAAAACCCCAATCAGCCGGCTCGAGGATACAATTACCTTCCACCTTATCGAGCGAGCCCAGTTTGCTCTTAACAAAACCATTTACGTTCCTGGCGCATTGGACATTCCCAACAGCAAGCTCAGCTTCATGGACTGGTACTTGTGCGAACAGGAGAAGCTGCAGTCTATTATCCGCCGCTACGAGTCGCCCGACGAGTACCCTTTCTTCCCCGAAGCTCTCCAGAAGCAAATCCTCAAGCCTCTGCACTATCCTCGCATCCTACATCCCAACAACGTCAACGTCAACGACAAGATCAAGAAGTTCTATGTGGATACTTTCCTCCCCGCACTCTGCCCCGATTTCGGCCGAGAGGACCGCGGCGAATCTCAGGAGAATTACGGCTCGTCAGCCACCTGCGACATTGCATGCCTGCAGGCCCTTTCGCGCAGAATACACTTTGGCAAGTTCGTCGCCGAGTCCAAATTCCAGTCAGACCCGGAAAAATACACCAAGCTCATCAAGGCCGAGGATCGCGAGGGCATTGCTGAAGCCATCACCAACGCCGCTGTTGAGAAGAAGGTCCTTGAGCGTCTCCGCCTGAAGTGCCTGACCTACGGCACCGACCCGTCGATCGGTGCGGGCCCCGAAAACCAGGCCAAGATTGATGCCGACTCCGTCGTGGCCCTCTACAAGGATTTCGTGATCCCCCTTACCAAAGAAGTGGAGGTAGAGTACCTTATGCAAAGGCTAGAGCCGGCAGAGTAGACTTGATATAATGATAAAAAAAAGAAAATGATTTACGGTTTATTTCTTTCTATTGGGGCGGGCTCAGGTACTGCTCTACTGCCTTGACCGCGCCATCCCACTTGCTCGCCTCGATCAAAATAAGGTAACCGTGCGACTTGACACCCATCTCCTGGAAAGCACGCTTGCTATCCGCTACCGCCTGGTCATCATTCGTGTAAGAGAAAGAGCCGTGAGCCGCGGCGTGCTTCACAAAGACTTCGTCCTCGGGGTGGAAGTGCCACATCGTGGCGTCCGCCTTGACCTTCTTGCCCTTCCTTTCCGTCTCAGTGAGCGTCGACTCGATTTCCTGGTAGGTCTTGGACAGGATCAGGTAGTGCGTGAACTGGTAAGGCTCCTTGTCCTCGACGGCAGCCTCGATCTCGTCAATCAACATGCGGTACATGGGTGGGGCGATCTCGGAGGGCATGTTGATGAGTCTCTCGCCAAGGATCAAGCCCACTTCGGCACCGCTGTTGAGAAGGTTTGGGATAGGGGCGAGGGCGTCATTCGTTTGCGCCTTCGCGATGATGTACTTTGCCAGCTCGGCCATCTCAGGCTTCTGGCTGTGCTCTCTGACATTCAATGCCGTCATGAGGGCGTAGGCGTCATTCTCCTTGCCATCGACTTTGACTGTCGAGCCAATGGTGGGTTGCGAGAGAATCAGGTCCGCAAGGCCGGACATGTTGAAAAGCGTAGCATCGACGTCGAGCAGCTGGCGCAGCAGAGTCTTTGTGCCGTGGAAATCGACCTCAGGGTCAAAGTTGAACCACTCAAAGTCGACATTGACGACATCGAAGTCCTTTTATCTATGAGATTAATTTCTTGGGGATATAGTGACGTTCTTCTCTCACCTCATCGTCAGAGCTGTCCTCGTCCATTCTGTCCGGGACATCGTCGGCAGGCTTGCCCTCGTCTCTTTCTCTCTTCTTGCCCATTTTGAAATTTGAAGAGAAGTGGGGTAATTCGGGATTTTCAACTGGTTGAACTTTGAAGCTTCACCTCTTGAGACCCTAGCAAATATGTAGTTTGAGCTGGATGAGAGTGAGAACGTCACTGGCACTTTGAATGACCAGACCTGGTCGGTGAAGATGAAATTTTAGGTGGGGGTGCCCCTCACTAAACCCTTTTTGGACGGTAAGAGCCACGGCGCTTATCGATAATGCAGGGACCAGAGCATGTTGATGTTGGACAATGAACTAATCCAACTCTCAAAACACCTTTGCCTTCTCAATGCTACAAACCCTGCGATGCCGAGTGATCGATTATGCAATGGTATTCCAAAGATGCCCACATTCTATTCATTGAGCTACGGTATTCCCAGGCGTCAATACTACAAGTACCTCATCGATGAATTTGACGCATGTCAAATAAGTCCTCGACATTTCAGCCGCGCAGACAATTCCTATCCCTGAAGTCAGCTTAGCTCTTTCGCTTTCGGTCGTAAATCACGCCTCCAGAACAGTATCCCTCCTAAAAGGGAGAAAAAGAAATATACCAGCACGTTTTAAATTTGATATTTTGCGGCTGCGCCGTTCACCGGTTGGCGCTACGTAGCAGTGCAGGTACAACTCCTGAATCCAGCCAATCCATGTCCGCAAACTGCAGTGTTTTTTGAGTTTCTGCGCAAGTGCGCGTATCTATCATTCGCAAGGCTCGGGATGGCTTGGTTGATGTAAACAAACCTATATATGTATTTAAAACGTCCATTTCTCTTTTTGCCCTCTGGTCTTTGGTTCAGATGTTGCTGGCTTGTATTAATCGGTGCTGCAATCTCGACATGACACCCAAGAAGACTGGGACGCGTCCCTGCGATACGTCTAAGAAGTTAACCTCGCCAACACTCGGCCTTGATTCATCAAGAAAGAGCCTCCGAGGCTTCAGTCGAGATGGCAGAGAACATGGCCAGCGCACTTTGGATTCTATGTCCTGGTCACTTGCGCCGTTGGCTTCCACAAGTCGCAAGAACACTTCATCATCGGCACCTCTGCCACAGCCAACAGACTCGACTACTTCATTTGAGTCTTTGAAACGCCCACCAACACCGTCCCATCCTGTTTCATCTCCGCATATGCCCTCATTTACCTTCACTGATGATACCGTCGAGACTTGCTCCAATGTCTCCGATGACAATCAAAATGATAGTTATAACCCTGTTTCTTTCTCATTGGACCTTGGCAACACCAGTGATATCACAGTCACACAACAAGATTATCAGGGTCGACAGCCTTTGCGCCTAGGGAAAGGTTCGTTTAAGCCAATAAATGGGGCAAAACACTTGGACCTAGGGCTTCCCCTTCAACCAGTAAGTTTCGTCTAGATTGTCATGTCTAGAAAGGTGCATAAGCTGATGAACGCAGGACATATCTCCGGTTAAAGAATCGACCTCATTCACGTCCGCCATGAACCCCCCATTGCCACACCAGTTATTACATTATGAACGCGTTGGCCGTTGCAATAACACAAAACAACAGGAGAAAAGTGCCCTAGTCAACGATGCTCTCCCGCCCTCCAGCCAACTGCCAACTCTTGCTTCATCGCATCGAACGCCTGGAGGGTCTCCCGGAAGAAAAGCCCTCGACTATCACTGCACAAAAGCACAAAGACAGCTGGCCAAAGAACCCGTTCCTACACGTCCTCTTCTTTCTGAAAACGACGTGAACACCCTAAGCAGCTCTCCTGCAGAGACTGACTCCAGCTCAGATTCTGATGTTGTTTCAGACACCAGCATCGAATCAACTGTCAGCCCAGATCAAAGCGTTCTGCTTTCGTTGGACGGGCAAAAGAAGCTATTACTCGATCGCTTGATGCGGTATTTTCATTCAGTAGTATCGCCCACTCTGCCCCCGTTCTCGGCTACTGAAAGACCCAGTGGCTATACCAACAGCAATCGAGGGAACCACTGCGAAAAGCCATCTTCAAGCAGTTCATCTGATACGCGAAGTTCATATAAAAGAAGTGACGGCAAGAGGTTTCTAGATGACCGAGGCGATGATCACTCGGAAGGTGGCGGGGGGCAAAAGAGAATACGCTTGGAAACATCCGAGAATGAAGAGACCGCAAGACTTGCGTGTCCATACTACAAGAACGACCCGATAAGTTATCGCACTCCAAAGTGGAGGTCATGCCCTCGACCAGGCTGGGAGACTGTTCATCGCGTCAAGTATGCGCTCATTATACTGCACCAGCTACTTGAACTACTCTGACGGAACACCAGGGAGCACATTTACAGGTGCCACGCGTTGCCCATCACCTGCCCACGTTGCCATTCAAAATTTGTCACGACCAGCAGGAGGGACGACCATCTCCTAGCGGAGGAGAGATGCCAAGTGAGAGAAAGACCCGCGTTCGATGGCTTCGACTCGAACCAGGAAAAACTACTTCGGAGCCGAAAGCAAAGAAAGAAGCATTCCAGCGAAGCCGATAAGTGGAGAGAGGTGTACCTCATTCTGTTCCCGGGTACTTGCCGTGATGAAATCCCAAATCCATGTACGATATTCACCCCGTCTTGAATATTTGAATGAGAGCTAAGATGTTTAGATCTTGTAGGAGAGGAAGAGGCGGAGTCTGCAGTCTTAAAGTATAATGAGTTTATGATGAAAGAGTTGCCCAAGAAGGTCTCTCGCGAACTGGGAATTAGGATCGCACAGGCTTTTGAGCCCCTGGAGGAGTACCTCAGGAGCCAACTAGAGGACATCGTCAGAGATGCGCACAAGGCGCTGTCTCGCAGCTTCTTCTCCGCAAATACTGAGACGCTAAATCAGGAAGAGGTATCCGGATCTCCCAAGGGTACCGAAAATGCAGGGGCAGAGGAAGAGGAGTCTTCTGACGGTCATGAATGGAGGCTTGGCAGGCAGCTTGACGCGTTCAAGCCCACAGGCTCCCCTGCGAATGAATTGGATAACTGGGATGACCTGTTCAATCTCCCGCCTGATATTTTACCCTACTCAGGACAGCAAGCTGAAGGCAGTCTGTTCGATGCAAAGGACTTTGAGGGCGCTTCGCCGCCTGACTCTCAGAACACCTCTAGCAGTGCCCAAGTATTCTCCTCGGATGAGTATGGCTCAGCATACGCATCAATGTCATCTAGATCTAGCCTTTCCAAACGACGAGATGAGAGTTGGTAGAGTGAGATATCCTATCACACACAGCACGTGGGTTTTATTAATGCAAGTCAAGATCTAGCCCAAGTAGTGTATGGAAGCCGGCTCTTATGACACCCGGGGTCGGGCACATTGGAGTCGGCCAAAGTCTCAAGATTTCATGTACGTAGAATTACATTTGTTTCTGGTATACAATGAACGTACCCCTACAATACAGGTAGCAACTTGCTCCTGCTTACAAAAGCTCGTATTCAGGCTACACATGCCACAACTCGAAGCGACGGTGTAATCATTACGACTACTCGACCATCTTCTCCTCGGCTTTCTCGTCGGGAACCACGGCCCCAGCCTCCTCCAGCACGCTGGTACTCTTTGTCACCGTCAACACCGTCGGCAGGGCAAGAATCAACGAGCCGATACTGAGGCCCCAGTTCATGGCAAGCTGCGTCATGGCACTTGTGTGCTGGGCGTTGATCCTCCAAGCCATCGCACCTCCAGCAGCCTGGAAAGCCTTGTACGCGCCAACCAGGATGGCGGCTCTGCCAGCCGAGTTGGACTGCGTTCCCATGAGCCAGTAGCAATACGACTGCCACAAAGAATCGTAGGCTCCGTAGAAGATGTACAGAAAGATGGGACCAGTCGAGATGGAACCTTGGGTATAGTCAATATCCTGGATGAGGCCCTGAGCATGTCGGGCGTCCTGCCACTTCTGGAACTGGTATCCACCACCCCAGATCGCCATGCCAGTGACGAACAAGACGACCCAACCGAGACGAGCGCGGCCGGGGCGTTCCAGCATCGGGAGATCGAGGAGAACGCCAATCACAAGACCTCCAAACATCTGAGCCATCCAGTAAAGCGCTCCGTTAAGCGACCGGGTCCGGATGTTGAACGTCATTCCGTTGACGTTGTTCTGCTGGTACGAGTAGAACACGTTGGCGCAGAAGAAGAGGGGCAGCATGCAGACCACGCGCCAGTTGCACAGCGTCGCCAGTGACATCTCGAACATGCCCTTGATCGATTGCTTCTCCGTCTCGGTCGCGGCATGGAGCTGAGCCAGGCGAATACGCTTCGGCGAGCAGATAAAGATTCCCAACGCCCAGCCGAACAGCATGATGACCATCAGGGCAATATACGTCGCATTGTTGACGGTGCCAGTCGTGGAGTGGAAGTTGAGGCCGAAGGCGGCGAGTGATCCGACGCCGCCGCCAAGGTTGAAGATGATCCAGAAAACGGCAATGGCCCGGCCCTTTTGAGACTCGTGGACGTAGGTCGTCATGATTGCGCCTTGTACGATCCAGATGAAGGAGGATCCGATACCGAGAATGGCGCCGGCGGCGATGACGAAGCTTCCGTTGGCATTGTCTACGAGAGTCAGCGCTTGTCAGGCATGGTTGGAGAAGTTGACATACGGTTGAAGCTCAGCAAGCTGCCGCTGTAAAGGGCATATGTCCAGCCGCCCAGGAGGAAGCAGATCTTGGGGCCTACGAAGGTGAAGATGGGGCCGACGATGAAAAGGGCGGCCACGGCGGTGGTTGAGAGGAGAGCCACCTGGGCGTTTGCTGCGACGGTTGAGTCAACTTGGCCGGAACCTCCTAGACCGGTGAGGGCGTTGAACATCTATAGTTGTTAGCACGCGTCTGATTACCATTATATTTGAAGGACTTACTCCTGGCAAGCAGAAACATATGAAGCTGATGAGAAGGATCCTAAGAGGAATCAGCAACTGCGTGACAGCAGACAGCTTGCTACCCAAGGTAAAGACTCACTGTGTCCAAGGATGAGAATACAGTCTCATCAACTGGGACGACTCCTTTTGTTCGGCTGATTCATTGCCCTCAATCTCTTGCGGTGCCGCCACAGGCACCTCTGGAGACTCTTTGACGCTCATGTTGAAAGACTGTTGCTTGTTGACGGCCAACGTATCAGTTTTTTTGTTTTGTTTTTGTTCTCCCTCGGCTAGATTCCCAAATGCGACCGTCTACAGAGCGTCAAAGATATAGATAAACCCTTAAATCACCACGACGACCCGATCATCATCCTCCGACAGACGCTCCAAGATAGCACACGAGCAACAAGTCAAGGTGTGGCAACGTTGAAGTTCAAGTCGCAGTCACTCCACCCCTATCAGTAGATGAACTTTCCCGAGGGTATCCGACCCCCCCTTTTTTTTATTTTTACAATATACAACATGGTAACAGTGCCACACCCCAGGCGGGGGGGAATTTCCAGAGATAAGCTGGGTTCATGTCTTTCTCCGCACTATTATTCGATCTTCGAGTGGGAAAATCGTTGTTTCTCCCACAATTTTCGGTGATCTGTGCGGACGAGCTAGGAACTAGTTCATGTTTATGATTCGTCCAAGCCTATCAATAGATGCTAGGAAACTGGGTCTGCCCCAGCTTCACGAGTCGAACGGCCTCCACTCGAACCGCTCTCGTCCCTTGCAGCGGGTGGGAATGCTGAAGGATGGAGGGTCTCTGAGGCTCCGCTCAACTGATGTCGCATGCCGTTTCTCGCCGATGGAACGTGACATTGATTTTTACTGGGGGCAGGATTGCGGTTTCACGGTCGGTGGTGACAACTTCATTCAGAGTTTAATTCTGCGGCTGGGACTTTGCTACAATCAAGATATGGATTATGATGTGTATCAGCTGATGATGGATCAATTGCAAACAGGTATCAATTGAACACTTCTTGTATGGACTTAAAAAGGAAATGGTTAACTTAGACGATAGCAGCAAATATGAAGCAACGAAATGGAAAAGAGTATAATGAGAAAAAAGTTCTCATTAAAAGCGTCATCTGCTGGATGTAGCCGTAGCCATTCGGAACTCAGCTGACCAGCACCACTTAGTGATAGAGTGAGAAGGCAATGGGAGGTCGCTCGGGACACACAGAATAAAGGCCAGATCAGAATGGCTCGTTGAGAAGCGTGAGGCGCTGTTTCGGTCGATTGGGTCTTTGCTGGTGCGGTTTCCGAGGTTCAATCTGGCTGCGGGGATGGCGGGTCTTGCTTGATGTTGCTTATGGACAGACAACTCGGCGAGTTGAGAGCGTTTCAAGGACACCCGAGCAACTCGTTGTTGAAAGGTGATGGTGAGAGTCGTTGCAAAATTTGCGATGCTACGATGTCTTCAAGGAAACATGTCTCATTATCAATGGCACATGATGCCGATGGCCGAGCGTTGGAACGTTGCGTTGGGCTGTCAGAGTCAGTTAATGTGAGTGGGCACAACCGTAAGTTTGGTTAAACCCTACATGACTCTCGACTACCCCATGGGGACAACAACGTCGCACTTGGGATACTCCACTCATTCAACTTCGACTCCAGGTCTTGGTAAGGTATCATGAGCAAAGGGACGGGAAGATGAGGGCGCGAAGTAAGGTTCTCACTTAAACATTGATGAATGTGACATCCTATTTAGGAAAGCTCTCCATATTTTAGCACTCAGTTACACGGACCAAATCCGATGATTAGTGTCACTGCAAATTACTCGGGACCGAGGGCAACCATCAGACTTCGGATCCGGGACGGACAGATCTCGGGGGGGAAGCCGTTAGACAAGAGGAAACTGTCAAATACCCCCCCCCCCCCCCCCCAAACGCTCAAGTTACGCTAGCCGAATTACTACCTATTCAAACCTGTCAAAACGGTTCTGCAGGAACGGTTCTGTGAAGTGAACATACAGATCACATATCAACACCTAACACAATACACATCGCCAATGCATCCGCCGTATGTGCTGTCCATCATCAGACCACTCTCCCTACAGCCGAAGTCGATCACCATACGTTCACTCCCCCGCCCTCAGAGAAACGCCGAGTCCTGAAAAAAAAAAAAAAACGAGTTCTGACTTCATCCCCTCCCGGATGCATGTCACCCAACATTGCAGACTAGAGCACAACAAACCCCACTCATCATCTTATCTCATTACTCGTTACGTCCTGACAGCCATCTTTCATTAATGATCTGCCGTACTTGAAACAACCCATATGCCAAACATCTAAACCAACGGCCTTCCGCACGTGGCGTGCCAAGGCTGGCAGAGACATGGCAACATCAGCTTTTGGGAGGGTGTGCCAGCCAGCTTGCATTGCGAACAGGGGCATTCTCCAACCCTTTTTGATCTCATCCAGGTTTAAGCAGCATTCTTTTACATAGAAGGCATTCGTATCAGTAGTGACTCTTTTGCGTCGCCTTTTACCGCCTCTAGGACCCTTGGCGGGCCGGCGGCTCTCTCGCGCCGGTGCCGCGTCTCTTCTGCCGCTCCGCTTTATTGGTGGGCAAACTCCAGACCACTGGCTCGGAAAGCGTTCCCATTTGTCGATAGGCAAGGACCTGTCAAACATCCTATCTCCCCGCCTAAAGACCTTCGGCATAGTGCGGTGCGGATAGGAAAGCTAGGGTTGTGCGAAACGGCTACTGTTTCCCGAGTTGACATGTATACGCGAGCAAGGGTACGCCATCCGAGGAAGCATGTTTGTGGTGACTGAGGTCTGCAAAGGGGAATGCGCCAGCGCCACCCTCTTTCGGATGAGATGGAGGGTGGTAATCCGTCACCCGAACAGGAGGGGACGGAAATGCCAACCCCCTGTTGGAATGGTTGGGGACTCCCACGTACGCGTCTCGTGAAAGCGGTACTTAATGGATGGACAGGCTCGGTGAGGCTCAACTATTCTCGGTCAAATACATGACTTTGTGCCAGAATTAGCCCTTTCACAATGGCTGAGGTCGTTCAAGGGGACAAAGACGATGTCCTCGGGTTGTTTCCAGAAACTTGTGAACCATGAGAGGAAACCATTAGAAAGCTTGACCATAAATAGGCAGTACATTTTTCAATGGCGAGATCAGATTGAGAACCGCAAGCGTTCTGTCACCAAGGAAAAAGAGAAATAGTAGGCCCAGAACCAAGAGAAGAGAGAGATACCAATGTGCGAAGGTACAGAAACTACGATGGCGTGCGGCCATACCCTCCGTTCTCGCCTCAAAGACTGCAAAAAGGGTGACCAATGCAGAGGCGAGCTTTGGAAACCCGCCTTCATCAACGACAGCTGTGCCGCATGTCACCGGCCCATGAACTACCGTCAGATTCGTGCCCTGTATGAGGCCAAACATTCAGTCCTGATGGCTGAGTACCGAGAGGCTAAAAGTACTGGAAATGAAGAAAAGATGCGTCGCCTCCAGCGTGCCATGATCCGGAATACCCAACTGTCGCGGCTTGGTAATTTTGCTGTAAGCCTCACACGAGATGCGCCGTGTGGCGACGTTCAATGGCCAACGACTGACAAGGAAAATGGTAGCAGTGGTGGTTGATGATACAGACCAGCTTGATTGAAATGCGCACAGGGTATAAATACAAAAGCCACAAGACCACACAATATGAAAACGCCGTACTGCACTTAGTGCCAGGCCAAGATCCCCCACGCGACTTTCTTCTCTCACCAAGGTCCAGAATACTGAGGCAAAGCAGCAAGGCGTACATCGCTAGGGCCCATGAACTGCGCCATCTGCCAAGCCGTCGGCATATATGGCGTCTGATTCATTGCATCCTGCTTTGTTTGAGAAGTGCTTGCTTGTATCTGCACATCTTTCTTTGCCTGGTTGAACTCCTTTACTCTTGCTGTGCCTAGTTTTCCGGCCCTTCTCTTATCGGTGTTACAACGTAAGAGTGGCACTTGAATGATCGCAGAAAAGATATCTCTGACTTTCTGCTCCGGTTGGTTGTGCCGTTTCGCTACCGCATCAAAGGGAAACAAGTCGAGACAGGTATCAGCGATGTCAACAATGATGTGCTTCGTAGTAAGTTGGATGTCTGGGGTTTTTGAAATTTGCGTGCTCGGAGCGATAGACGCAGTTTTGGCAGGTTGAGGGTTCTTCTGATTTGAAACAAAGGGCTGGATTGATGGCATTGATGGGGCAGGTGCGAGGGAGACCTTATGCGCGTTTGTTTGCTGTGAGAGAAGCCCGTGAGATGGATAGTTTTGTGACGGAACAGCCAAATGACCATTTGTCCCAGCCATCAGAGGCTGTTGGAGAGAAGGACCATACAGAGCACCAGCCATCGGATTATAATACGGATTGATGCCAAGAAGCTGCGTCCAGGGTTGTAGAACAGTAGATGGTGGGATAGAGGTCTGACCTGGTCCAGGAACCTTTGAACCTAGAGGCAGGCCAGCAACAGTGCTCATACTAGCTGCTTGGTTAGCAGCTTGCTGCCTCAGTCGTGCCTCCAGGCATTGCCGGCATGGTCCCTTTGCTCCTGATGGTGGACGGTTTCCGCATGCATCGGCTTGAACTGATATTGTACTGTGGTTTGGAGGCTGACTTGGGACATGGGCCAAAGGAGTGCCTCCACTGGACTGGGGAATATTGTGAGTTTGAGGTTGTTGATGGTTGCTTGGAGAATTCTCTGAGCTGTGACTACTCTCAAAATTCAACATGGGAATACCCATGTCTAGTTGCAGGTCGGCTGGAGCACAAGACTGGCCGTCCATGACTACTATTCGAATAGGATGTTGCTGCTGTTGCCACGAGTGTTCAGTGGCTGCGTTTCCCTTGGTATGAACATGAGCCTCGACAGAGTTGTTGTCTATGTTAGCAGTAGCGCCAGTCTGCTCTGGAATTGCATCCACCAGCTGCGTGTCCTTTGAGGTCTCAGTTTGTATTTGATCCTCCGAGTTTAGTTGAAGTGGCGTACCTTCCGCTTTTACTGCTATTGGCAACTGAGAAACATGGGCTGGATTGCTTGCCGTATGAGCCACCCCAGAGAAGCCGAAACTGTCTGTGACGGCCCCGCCATTTATCCCGCTAATGGACTGAGGTGTTGATCTATAAACCTCCTCGAGTCGGATCATGGACGGCTGAGCATGCTCCGGCAGCGATTTGGGCGATACTGGTGGAGAGCTGCGAGGACCTGTTGAAGGCGCGGTCCAAAATGAGTCCGGATAACCAGATCGCTCCGGAATGGGCATGGAGCAACCTCGCATCGGGTCCACGTCCATCATCTGTGCCGTAGCCGAAGGATCGACCATGCCTGTGCTTCCTCGTCGTTCGGGTTGTGTGGTGGCTGTCGTTTGCTTGGCAGGTTCGAGTGGCCGATGCGTGGAAACGGGGGCGGGAATGGGATGCCTTGCAGGCGGTGAGGTAGTTGAGGTAGCAGTCAAGGGTGGCATGATCGACTGGCAGCAGTCAATCTTCCTCTTCTTGACTGGATTGGAGGAAAGAAACTGGACATCATCATCTTCCCGCTTCGCCGGTATAGCAGACTGCTGAGCCGGAACGGGCACCGCAGGAAAGCCTGGAGTAAACATGGCCTGATGGTGGTAGTGCGAGCTTTCCATGCTGAAGAGAGCGAGAGAGGCGTGGTGGTGTCTTCAGAATGATTGCGAGCACGGATGCAACATCAATGAGACGGAGGGATGCAGCTAGTTAACAAGAATAGCCAAGCATGTATTTGAACCCTGTCCCAACGACTCTTCTTAGAGTGCTGAACATACATGGTGGAATGACGGAGCCCGGCACAGTAGCATCAGAAAGTCATCAGCAGCAAAGAGAGAAGCCAAGAGAAGAGGTGTTGGCATGCTGCACTGTTTGTCTTTCAGCTATTGTCTTTGGCGGACGGGTGGGCACTAGCCCGGTAATAAAAAGGGAGTATTCTCAGCATTCTGCATACTGTGACAAGCAATTCAGATTAGTACTGCTTTTCCTCTACCGCATGCACAATGCCGGCAAGGGAAAGGAAGGAAAGGCATTACAGGCAGGTGAATGCTCCAACCATGCGGGATTACTCAACCCAATCGCAAAGCAAAATGCTGTAGCAATGATGCAATACAGTGTCGCTTGGTGCTGGCTGTCCAAAGGCTGCCAAGATTGACATAACGGACCATAGAAGCTGGTGCTCGCCCCCTTGTACGGAGTACAGCAACAGTCACATACCCATGCCTCCTTTGCTAACCGAAAACTCCGAGTTTGAAGGGGCTGACTGTGCACATTAAGATCCATTGGAGAAGAGATAAGGGGTTTAGCATTGAGATGAATCCACTTGAATCAATCCAAAGAGGCAATGAAACCTGACAATGGCTGCAGTATTAGGGTGTGGGACACGACTAGGAGAGGCGGAGATAGAAGCGACGATGGGATAACGTAGCCAAGCACAAAAGCAGAGTGATGTGAATAAGTTGTAAGTCACAAAGATGTGGCCCACAGTAGCTTTTGTTTGTCTCATTGGTCAGAACAGAGGACCAATGACTGTCAAGGTGGCTTGACCGTGTGATTCAGCCTCATGTTCAGCCTCAACTTTGTCCTAGTATGGGTTGGGACTGACCGGTAGCTCCTGCCTATCCCCACATCGCGGGGCACCTTCCCCGAGGCAGCTACAACTGACAACTGCAACTGCAACAACGGTCACAAACGACCGCAATCACCACACGACTTTTCTCAAACCCTTCAAGTCCGACCGACTTTTCACAATACTTCTATCGCATGGTTACGTTATCCCGGTAGAACGCCTCTAGATCACGGCAACGGGCAGATCACCGCCCATTATGGCCACCTCCAGCGTGAACCCGCTCATATCGAGCCAGAAGTCCTCGGAGCTCCAGGCCATCCTCCACCCTCTCGTCCTCCTCACCATTTCCGATTATATCACCCGCCACACTTTGCGTTCACAAGAAGGCCCCATCGTCGGTGCCCTCTTAGGCCAGCAGAATGGTCGTGAAATCACTATCGAGCATGCCTTTGAGTGCCACACGAAACAAGCGCCGGAGGTGGACGGCGGTTACCTCCTAGACTCTGGTCGGTTCGGCGCAAGATTAGAGCAGAGTAAGCACAGCTTCTCCCAAAACAAAATAAGAATGTGAAAACGTCAGGGTATTAATATTATTCCAGTGAAGACAGTCCACAAAGACCGCAGCCTCGACCTCGTCGGCTGGTACACCCTCCTCCCCTCTACCGGCCCAACCCCTACCGTCCTTCCTATCCACAACCAGCTCCTCGCTGAGTTCAACGAGTCTGCCCTCCTTCTCGCCTTCCATCCCGAAGAAGTTCTCTCTCACTCTGTCGGCGGCAAGCTCCCCATGACAATTTTCGAATCCAACTACGAGGTCGATGACGCTTCCAAAGCACCCGCTGATAGCGAGGATAAGAAGATGGAGGACGGCGAGTCCAACAAGCTGAGGCTTCGCTTCCGCGAACTCCCCTACACAGTTGAGACTGGCGAAGCCGAGATGATTAGCATGGACCATGTCGCACGTGGCGCTGGCAACGCCACCGCCATTCAGGCGCCTAAGGAGTCCAAGCCCAAGGTTCAACTCGTCGAGTCTGGCGGAAAGCGCCGCGTTGTTGTTCCCGAAGGAGAAGACCAGGATGACACCGAAGTTACGCTTTCCCCTGAAGAGGAGGAGATGGTCGCCGCCCTTACGGCCAAGGCCAACGCTGTCAAGATGCTAGAGGGGCGCATCCGCCTCATCACAACTTACCTTGAGCGTCTTCCCCCCGATTACCTCCCTGGCCTCGAGCAGCAACAGTCTGCTGATGCGCATACTACTCCCTCAAACACCATTCTCCGTCAGATTCAAGCCCTTGTCAGTCGACTTGATCTTGTCGTCCCCGCAGACGTTGAGAGTTTCGAAAAGGAAATTCTTTGTGAGGAGAATGATGTCTCCATTGTCTCGCGTCTCAACGAGCTCATGCAGAGCATTGGCGGCATGCGAGATCTGGGCAAGAAGTTCAGTATTCTCGAGGCTGCCAAGAACAGGGATCGTCGAGCAGGGCCTGCTGATTTTGCGGGCTACGGCGGCTCATCTGGCTATAACGTCTCTGGTGTGGGTGATGTCATGATGTGAATGGAGATTACTTTAGCAAGAGCAAAGCAGCGTTTGCATCGAGCATTTTAAAAGGGGTTGCGAAACCTTATGACTATGCCTGTCAAGGCCTCCCCCTTACTGACAACTCGATATGGGAATGAAACATGAAGAGGCGTTTCGGGGGGGATAATGTAGACATGACGATACGCGGGACCTGATTGGTAAGGCCCAAAAAGAATAAAACAAAAATGCAGTCAATCTCACCAGACTGAAAATTTTTGTGTTCGTAAGCCTAAGCAAATATTTTTGTGGTACAGACTGCAATTTTTCTACCAACTCGGTTTTTTCACTATGTCGCACAGTCCTTGATTGCCCAAGATTGATCCCCCATTTTGTGTCCCATCGACTCCTGGACCGAGGAAAAAAGTCTAAACTAGCATCATCCGCTCTGCCCGCTTGCTTCATTTGCCTTTCGTCAAGACACCTGCCTTTTATTGCATCTCTCTCTCTCTCTCTCTCTCTCACTTATCAGGCCCACTCACGCTCAATTTGCCAATCGACTCAAACCACGGATTGAGGTCACGGAACACCATGAACCTCGTCAACTCTAACGAAGAGACCGCAGATTACAAAAGAAATAAGAGAAAGGGGAAAAAAAAAACTTATATAGAAAAGGGGTCTAGTTTGGTATCAAGAATCAAAACCATCAAGGTAAAGCAAAAGACGAAAGCGCTGCTCAAGTCAAATCGGCACCCGGGATACGTCTTTCAAGCCTCAATGACAACCTTCAAGACGAGGTTTCCTTCATCGTCACAGGTTCTGCTCGCGAGCTCAAAGGCCTTTGAGGCGTTGTGGAGGCCCTTGAACCGATGGGTGACCATGTCGTCAAGGCACGGAAGGCCTGCGTTGCCCTTGGCGCAGAGCAGCCGGACACCGGTGGGATAGGTGTTGGCATAGCGAAAGATACCGAGAATGTCGATTTCCCGAAGGTGTGCGACAGACAGAGGGAGTGTCTGGACGGGAGTGCCCATGCCAACCATGATGACCTTTCCGCCGGGTCTTGTCGCATAGAGACTGGTTTGCATGCAGACCTCCTTACCGGTACACTCAAAGGTGACATCGACGCCGTCATCCTCGGCGTCCATCTCCAGTTCTTCGGGAACCTTGGTAAGGGCGAGTATCTCGGCAGCCAGGGCCTTGGCGCTATCGAACTTGCCCTGTACGCTTTGGACGGAGAATATGCTTGCGGGAGTCATGACGCCAGGGTCCGCTGGCGTCGAAGTTCCCGAGTTGCTGTTATAGGAGCCCGGTGCGGGGACAACGTAACCATGGGTAGCAAAACCCTTTTCAATGGCGTAGTTAACTCGGCCAGCGTCGACATCAGTGATGGTTACTTGCGCACATCCAGCCTGGCGTGCCATGGCTGCTGTCAAGAGTCCAACGGTGCCAGCTCCGATGACCAAGGCTGTTGAGCCCGGCTCAGGCGTTGCTCGGTTGACCGCGTGAATGGCGACAGAAAGAGGCTCAAGGAGAGCGGCGGCCTCGTAAGAGACGTGGTCTGGGATCTTGTGGCACCAGGTTGCGGGGTGGTTGATTCTCTCTTGGAGAGTACCCTGATAGTGAGGCACGCTTTTGGCACTGGATCTGAACCTCATTTTCTTGCAAAGGTTGTATCGACCTTTGCGGCAAATGGTGCATTGTCCGCAAGGAACGCCGACTTCGAGCGCAACCCGATCACCAAGTTTGAAACCGGTAACCTGAGGGCCGATTGCGACAACCTCGCCAGAGGACTCATGGCCGAGGGAGAGAGGATGGCAGGCGCAGAGATCTCCGTTGGCAAACTTCTTGTAGTAGCTGACGTCGGACCCGCAGATGCCAGTTCTCTTAACAGAAATCTGCAGCTCGCCAACGCCTGGCTCTTCAATGGATCTCACTTCCTAAACCTGTCGTCAGTTTAAAAATTACAAGCGGCGAGCGGAACGATGTCATGCGTAGGGATACGACGGGATCAGCGTGGGGTTTTGTGTAACACGCGCGCGTTCTCCACGTCATAACATTAAGGGCAGACCCTTTACTTACCAATCGTAAATCCCGTGGACCATGCAAGACAGACGCAGTGACGGAGGAAGACTTTGACTTGTAGACGGGTAGATGCATTGGTGCCGTCTCTCCCGTTGCAACTGGGGCCATGTTCAAGTTGAATGACGCCGACGGCGTGGGATGAAGCGTGGGATGTTGGGTTAGGGTGGTAAAAGGGGCTTGGCTCAACTGCCTAATAGGGAGGTTTAGTTTAGTGGGATTGGCCCAAGTGCCGGCTGAGGGGTGCCGGGAGCAGAAACGCTGAGGATAGTGAGGCGAGGCCCTGGGAGTCGAGAGGGGACCAGCGCGGGGTGTCTCGAGGACTGATAGGTTGGCTTTTGGGGGTTTGCTGTTTGGGGCAACAGGGACAGGAAAGGCGTGGAGGATGTGGCAGGGTTTCTCGTGGGATGGAATATGAGGACCAAGCTAAGACGACCAGACCATGTGGCAATGAATGGGGGTGGGGGGATCTTTATTACTTGACAGAACGGAGTAACAACAGGAAGAATGTTGCGAGATTATAACAGAGAGCAGAAAGGCTCTGGTTCAAGGTGCCGTAGTCCCCCACCCCTTAAGTAGCTTTGCCGGTGAGCGCGGCTCCGGACGTCTCTGATGGTCAATGATGCCCATGGTGGTGTCAATCAGTGATTAGCAGGTTGCAAGGGCCCTCTTGGGTAAAGGAGAGGACGGAAGAGCTCTTGGGCCTTGGGCAAATCGAAAGGGGGTCCTGAACAGCAGGCCAAGTTCACCCAACCAAACATCGACCAGTTATCGGAGCCAAGCTAAGAGCTTCTTCGTACATGTAATCTCGGGAAATCATATGCAAGAGACAGCCGGCGACGGGGCCACCTCAGCGTGCGGCAGGACAACCCTTGGCTGGTATCGGCCTGGATTACGGCGAGGAGAGATGAAGGGGACTACAATGCATCAGGAACATACAGTAGTAAGGGCGGTGCATGAGGCGGTTTGGCAGGAGACGAGAGACAAGCCGGGTAACGAGGTGGCCGCATTTGGGCAGCATCTTGCTCGCGCCGGGCGTACATACCGAGGGAGAAGACATGGTTGGAGGTAGTGAAGCTGCTGGACAGTGTGGCCGGATGGAAGTAACTTTCGCATTTTGCGGTGACTGGGGAGGGTCCCGTTCAACCATTCCGGGACTCCACAGGCGAGGGCAAGGATGAATCGGCTACAATGTGGACTAGCGGCCGGTGATGGGACAACTTGGATGGCATCAGTGCACTGTCAGGTATCGGCATGCATAGGCCCCAACTTTGTGAGCCATATATGCAATGGCTAGCTTGCACCTGGTGCAGGTTGCGTAGACAAGCCATACCTCTCTCGGTTCTTTGGTCGGTGTAGAGGGCAAATCTGACGCTGGCGAACCGCAGGAAAAATTATTCTCTCTTCTCGCAACGGCAGAGGCCATATGCGAGTGCTGGGGTTTCAAACAAGGTGGCCAACTAAGGTAAGTTAGTGTCGATGAGGTACCCGGGAGAGAGAGCCCGGAAAGGAATGGAGGTGCAGGGGGGATGGAGAAAGGAGGAGGGGAACATGATGGAGGGGAGTCGCTGTAATGGGGATGGATGGCTCGAGGACGGGATGAAATGAGAAGGGGTGGTAAACAAGGTAGATGCTGTGAGCAAGCAAGCAAGCCTTGATCTGCCATGTGTTCTGGGCGATATAGGGATAATCGAGAGCGAATTACGAGAGATGATGAACTGGCAGTCAAAGATGAGGCAACAATCTAAGCAGCCAGTGAAACCCATCCGGCGAGGCGTGCGTTGGAGTAACGGTGAGAGTGCCGCGAGGTAAGTGACCATGGACTGAGTTAGGTAGTCTGGGCGGTGCAGGCTATGTGCATGTTGCAGGTGGATGTAGAGATGCAGACCACATTGCCCAGGAGGTACTCGATTCAACAGCGATGGGGTAGGATGCTTCTGCCGTCTGCCGTTTGCCGTTGGGCTTGCAGCAAGAAGACCATCTGGGGAGCCACATGTCTATCAAAACTGGACACGGATGGCGCAAGACGGAAGGGTTGATGAGGGCGCTGTAGCCGACGAATCCGGTGGGAATGTAACTAGGTGGTGGTTGTATAGAGCGGATATACCCTGGAAGGTCCGGCTGATTTTTTAATTTTTCTGGGGTGTGATGTTGTCGCCATTGTCCTGGACTTATATTTGGCCAGCGTTCGAGTGAAACAGCCGAAGGATGCACAATGTATGCGTGTTGATGGAGGCTAACATTACTGACATGGTCAGGCAGTTGACTTTGAAGAGGGGAAGCTCTTTCCTTCTTTCTTTTTTTCTTTCTCGGGGCTCTTAGGCGTTCCTTCTAAATTGTTGTGTAATTTCTATTGCTGAAGAAACTGACCTTTCTAATCTGTTGTACCTGCCCCTGCCCCTGCCTGCCTCTGCTTGTGCCTGCCCTGCAAGGAATTCGACTTTCAGGGAAGCGCACTAACAGGTTTTGAGGAAAGAGGGACTATAAGTCATTACATAAGCAAACAGGTGTTTGGATGACAGCGGCGACCCTGTACCAGGGATGTGCCCGTGCAACGTCCTCCATTCCAAGAACAAACTGGAAGTCTTGCCCTACGTTATTTTCGTTTGACATCTTGTATCTGCATCTCCCAGTTCTTCTACCGGCCAACCGCCCCGTTTCTCTATGGCGTAATTTGCAAGGTCGGCTAAGATGCGATAATCAAATCGCCACAACCAGAAGAGAGCAAAGGACCTCGCCAATGGGCCTGCCAATGTGCCCGCCCTGGATGAGGACAAGCGGGATCCTCTGAGAGATTGAGCAGACAGCTACCAAGCGCAGAGCTTTTGCCGCCTGCTTCGCCTCTTTCTTGCGTGCCCCGCCAACCGCCAACCGGCTTTCGTTGTTCTAGAACTGGAGATGCCGCCCTTGCACCATCACTAAGTACATCGTCATCACCTACCAAGTCTCTAAACTGGGTGGAAGACCAGGGCTAAACAGGTCTAACCTATCCCAATCGCTGGTGGCGCACATCCCGTATGTTCCGCGGAATGAGTGCATGCTTCCAGCCCTTTGGCAGTCTCTGTTTCTCTGCCCTTGGCTATCACCCTGGTTATCGATGTCGAACAGTATCCCATCCAGGACGATCAACCAATATCGGCGGCAGAGCTACGGGATCTTCATTGTGCCGACGCCTTAGATTTCTCCAGTTACATCACTACCTTTCTCAACGCAAGGCATTCTAATGAATTCAGTCTAGGATTGCTGCATTTCCGCTGCTTCGAGCATCGTTCAAATCAGACAGCATTGCCTCATTAGCACCTCTAGGCGCGTCAAATCCTCTATCCACCCACAAAGTCCTGCATCATTCTCCACTGTGATGGCTACCAAGGTCCCTGGCCGCGCCAGCAAAGGCCTCTCTTGGCGTCCTGACGGGAACCCAAGCCCGGGCCAACGCTCCATGGCAGTGGGCTTACAACCTTGCACGTCGGAAGAGCTAAATCTTTAGTGGTATCCGTTCTGTGAATTGGAGACGATGGAAGCTGTTGCTCCTTGACCATTTTCAACCTTTAGCAAGCGGCTGGATTACACAGGAAAGCTTCAAACCTCACCATGCTTCGACGGAAGTCTTACCGCCATCGCCGGCTTTCTCCAGATTCGGAAGATATAGGCTTGATCGGTGCGCTTTCAACAGTTGCTGCAGGCAGGAACCATACCGCAACGTTCGACGGCACTCGGTAATGGCTTGCAATACCCTGGCGCAGGTGTTGGAGCTGCCTTGCCCCAAAACGAGAGCCAGCAATGTGCGGATGCACCGCATCTGCATTCTCATTTTACCGGCCCTATGGCAAGACACCTGCACATGGTTGTTGCAGGGACAGGCCCCGTTCGCCATCAACAGGTGGCAGTGGGTCTCTCGTCGACACTTTTGAACGCAGGCATGTCCACCTTTTTCTATACCCAAGCTCCTCCTGCAGCATGCTACCGAATGCAAGTCGTCCCTACGGCCAGGGCGTCATTACCGTAACCATTGACCAAAGACAAACGTGGCTACAACCAAGAAGCATGGAAGAAATACTTACACCCGTCCGTTCGAGAGTGAGTCCAGGCGGCTTGGAGAATTTACAACGTTAATCAGACCCAAAAAAGGGTTTCAACCTAAGCCGCAATCCTAGTAATTTTTTCCCCCTTTTGCAGATAGAAAAACGACTTGATATGAACGATAGTAGATGCCAACGCTTCAATAGTTGCCACAGTAGCGCCATGTGCAGCTATCGATCAGGGCTGCGGCTCTCTGTCTTATTACCTATGCGCGAAAACGGAACTGATCACAAGGTGGCATTGTGCCTTTCACTCGCTAACAAAGAGTTCGTAGTAGGAGCTGTAAACCGTGTTTCTATTTCAAACATCAGATCCTCTAGGCGCAGCGTCCGGAGAGTTGAAACCGGTGAAGCGTGCTCTGAATAGGAAAGATCTACTTCCTAGGCGTCACCCATATGCGAGATGATTCAAACGCCCACTTGCAAGCTACCAAGTAGCCATGTGGTGAGAGGAACAAGCACCCATAGCCTACCCACAGTGCCACAGTAATACCTTGTAATCTCTCTCAGCGCCGCTCACAGAGATATAGTCTTAGAATGGTTGGAGAAACCCTCCTGATTTGGGGAAGGCTTGTCCAATCTTGTGCAATTGGATCGCACAGCAGCCACCACGATGGGGACCCTTGTGAGGAGAGGTGGAGCCATGCCGATGGAGGACAGGCAACTTTACAGGCTCCATGCAGGAGTGGCCATTCCAAAAATGCACGTCGTGATGCTTGCCTCCGTGCTAGGTATGCCGACGACTATCGGGTTACGTACTAAGGCCAGTGAAGCGAATCCTCCCGCTTCACATGGAGAACTTAGAGATCAAATGCCACGTCGTGTTGCCGACAATAACGACAAGTCAGCCACCCCAAAAAGCACATAGCTTGCGGAGGATGTCATCCTGAGGATCACAACGAGTGTTTACTCATCTACCACAGTGGCATTGTGCCAGCATTGAATCCTTCTCAATAGTCGAATGAGATTTGACGCTGCCCCCAACACATCAGGCGATGGATCGGTTTCACACAAAGACGCTTCCAATGCTGATGGTTTGACAGTTCTCAACCCAGAAGATGCGGACAAGTGCAGCCAAGCAACGCTGGCATAACTCGCTCCCCTCCGCCGTCATAGAACACCGACAAACAAGCATGAGGTTGAGGCGGTCAAAGCTCGTCACCGCCGATGCCGGTGTCTTTAATACAAGAACGAGGCTTGATTTAATTGTCGGTGAGGTTTCAGAGACGCGTACGATCATGTCATCTTATCATCAGAGTCATGAACTTCGGATTCAGAGGTCGGATATGACCTCGGCGGACGGCCTTTGCTCCGCGGATAAAGTCCGCAAAATTCTGTCCACTAAGGATTTACCAGGTCTCTGGATTCGACTGAGACATGGGCGCATCGCTCACACAGATGCCAGATAAATTGACTAAGAACCTTCCTTGCGCCATCTGTCTGTCATATGTCGCTGACAGACGCCGCCTCGTCACCTAAGGTAGTGAAATGAGTGAGTGAAGCCACAGGATGTTTAGGAGCCCTGCTAGTTTAGAAAACTGCCGGTGCGATACGGCAAACTAGAAAATGTTCAATATCTGAACGCCTGCATTCGACTTACACCCCGCCCCCACTACGGCGGCAGCAAATAGCCCCAATTTCTCTGAGGGTGGCTCTCTTCTCAAGATCTGTCCACGACTTCTTCACGCCTACTCCGAAATACGACAATATCACAGCAGACAAAAGACATCCTCCAACATGGGAGGTTCTAAAACGGTCACCAAAACAAGTATAGTTCGCTCGATTCGTTACTACGGAGGCACCAGCACCTTCTTCTTATCTAGGCAGGAAATCCAAAAACGAAAAGGCCAAGAACCAACACTCCCTCAACACCACCGCAGCGCACCAAAGAGAGTAGGGCATCTGAATATCCCACCTGCAGTCCTCACTAAAACCATCCACCGTTTTGTTCCCACATAGCATGTGAACCCCGGCCCATCAAGGGAAAGAAATAACATGTGCATCTGGCAAACAGGGCTTAGCCGCGTGCAACGTCTCGGACCGCGTTGTGACTCTGCCCTTTTTTCGCCCTTCGCCTCACCGCCAATCGACCCGATCCAGTGCCCTCGAATGACAGGTGAGGGTGTGTTAAGAACATGAGGGGGGCCCCCTTCCAGCACGACTCACTGCATTGCATCAAATGTAGGGAGAGAGTAAAACACATGGGCCAAAAAATAAAAACAACAGCCCGTGTGCTGCCGGAGAAGATGTAGACGGCAGGTGCATTTGTTTGTGGGTGTTGTTATGTATCCTCCCCTCCCCCTCCTTCGCAACGTCACAATCTAGGCTTGCTGGAGGACGTGTCGCCGCCGCCGCCGCCGCCGCCACCCGGCAAACGGACGCTGAAGCCGTCCACTCTGCTGAGACATGTAAAGATGGATCATATGTGTCGCCATTTTCCGTGATCATTGGCGTTGGCTTTCCCCCAACTCGAGTTTCAGTCAGTCTTCCTTCCGAGGCACAATCTCGTTTTTGTACGGCACGGGTGGGGGAGGGGGGGCGGAGGGGAGGGAGACGGGTGTCACTTTTAATGCTGCTGCAGGGACGAAATGCAGAGAGAGAAGAAAAAGGCAAGGCTCATACTTGGGAATCTATGTGTACGGAAGCACATACAGGGCGGATACAACATTACACATCATACGAGGTTTGCAAGTGCCTCTCTTCTACCAAGAGACAAGACCAAAAAACAAAGGGTCCCGGTAGGTCCCTTCGGGCACGTTTTCCGCAGCTGGCCTCGCAAAAAATAAATCTGGACCGCCCTCATCAGAATGTGCTCGTCGCCAATCGGCTTGCCGCATTTCTCGCATCCACTCGGTCCTCATCGTCTTCTTCTGTCACACCGGTCAAGCTTGCCCGACCACCTGTTGCGCCGAGGCCCTTGTTCTGTCCTGCACCCTGTCCGTCGTCGCCATCTCCGTCCTCGGGGCCGCCAGAAATAAGACTGCCAGACACGCTGCGGCTGATGGCCTGGTCTGAGCGTCGTGGGACACCGCTCCATGCATCGCCCTTGGGACCTTGACTGGCGGCCATGTTGGTCCGCCTGACGGTTGGGTGAGACTCGCGTCCGAGTCGACTCAGACCGCCAGATGCATCGATTGATCGAATGTCCGGTCGTACAGTCTCCAGAACAGCGAGCGCTCGACGTTCAGCCTCAATCTCGCGCAAAACATATTCTCTGATGCTGAGCCGCAGGTCAGCTGCGGTCCTGGCAAACCACTTCCGACGCTCCTGGACCAGGTTCTGGGTGACACGGGTTGTTTTTTGATAGAGATAAGTCTCGTTTTGACGCGCGTCATCAAGGGCGGTGATAGCCTCGTCGACCTTCTCCCGCCTTACGTTGGAGCTCGCCTTGAGACGATCAGCGGCGTTGAGCTTGCTACGCGTGTTCTCTTGAGCCTGGAGGAACTCGCGAATGAGAATTTGACGATTGGTGAGTGACTCCTTGACAACGAAGGCATCCTGCGAGTGATACTGAAAGGGATCGCCGATTGTCGTGGCTTCTGCGGTGGCTTGTGCAGCGTGGTAATCGCCAACTGTCTGTACAATCTTGCCGAGCTTTCGATAGGCGTTGGCGAGTCCCTGATGGGGCTCTTGAACGTTCATCGCCCCAAGCTTAACACCAAAGTCGGACTCAGCCAATCCGAGGCCTAGATGATATCAGACTAGTGAACGGGGATGCATTATCAGGGATTGACGTGGACTTACCGCGACGGGACTTGACGAGCTTATCAACCTTGTGGCCAGCGTCCATGGTTCCCAAATAGAAGAGCTTGACGATTGGACGAGCCTCCTGAAGCTCAGGGGTGTCATCAGGGGGAGGGGCAAACTGCTTCAGAATCTTTCTGCGCACGCCGGTCGCGGGCTGCTTCATCTTGACCATGGGGCTGTAACCAAAATCGCTCTCGACGAAAAGAACCATCTCATCGTCCCTCATAAGAATCTCATTGCTGCACACGTAGTTGAACCATCGCTGAAGTAGAGCCTTAACACGTGCTTCGTCTTCGTCCGTTCCTGCGCCAGCTGATGTCACCGCGGGGGGCACAGTAGGCACCAAACACTCGGGGTTGGCTGAGATCAGGTGCTCCGCAAGCTTGACGAACTCAGAGTGGAAACGGCGCACATCGCGGTACTGAGTAGTACGGAATCTGGGAAGGTTGGTCTGTGAATCGTTAGCCGATCGTTCAGCGGCAACTCTGTGCCAGCTTCTCTCACATGGACGTCGAACCGCAAGATTGGGTCCTTCTTTCCAGTCCTCTCGAGACCAGTAATCTTGGCCTGAAGCCTAAACTGAGGCTGCTGAGGCTTGCGGATTTGCTGCTCCTGGCGAGCTTGGTCGCCCGTACCCGGCGCACCTCCTTGTTCTTGCGACTTCTGGGGCGTCTCGGGTCCCGCCTCGCCGCTGGTTCGGGCTTCTGAGCCGACCTCGGTTCTGGATTCCTGTGTTTCCACCTCGGTTGCGGACTCGGTGCTCGCAGTGTTGGGTCTCACGTAGGACTCGCCGCCGAAGTTATCTCGCTCCTGTGGCAGGCCATTGCCGGGGCTGGGAGTGTAGCGGAAGGGTGAGCCAGGCGGATCACCACCGAGGTCTCCGCCGAGAGAGCCAAATGTCGTTTGGTTGGGCTGAGGCGACGAACCGGGTGAGTTTCCCCAGGGCGATGCGCCAGCCGGGTTGTCGTCGTTGGAAATAGCGCTATAGTCCATTGTGGGTGGCGATGGATTTGTCGTCGTTTCCTGGGTGCGTAATTGCGTAGTTTACGGGGGTTGCGTGGACGGATCACCACTGGCCGACGAAGCCGATGCGGGGAATACTTGAGGTAAAGAGTAGAGGCGGGTGGACGTCAGTTGGAAATTCGAAACGTCAGGCCATCCATTGACCAGCGCCAACCACAAATGATCGAGGTATTATCGCAGGATGGTCCAAAAAGCCGATTGCGTGTGTAAGCACTCGGGTTCGGGAGGGGGCGGAGGATCGAAGCGGAATGCGAGCGTGATGTTGCCAGACCGGGGAGCTTTTTCTCCACGCAGCTGCCTTGAATTGGGTCCTACGAAGCCAGAACCTCAAGTACGGTAGTATAGCATGATACCGCCGTGCGGCAAGCCCAGGGGGGAAACACTAAACCAAAGCAGAGGGCTAGGGTGGGGCGCATTGATCGCTAACAAAGCTCGGCCCCCATCCATTGAGAGACCGCCAGAAGTGACGACACGCACCGCATTGCGCCTAACTTGTTCTTCCAGCTTCAGCTCCGACCAATGGGGGCGTAGCATGATAGTGATTTGACCGACGAACTTTCTCAGCCTTGCACGACTTCACCAACCTCTACTGAACGGGAAGGGACCTGGGAGGTAGCGACGCGATAGCGACCGAAGGCGCAAAAAAACATGGCGCATATGACCAATCCGCTGGCCACGGCCGAGCAGCTCTACAAGCGCAACACCTTTAGCTCCCTCCCAGCCGACTTGCAGGATGTCATCTTCTACGCGACACAATGCCTGACCCAGGCGGCCGGCGTGCTGCTCGGTTTGCCGCAGTCTACCACAGCCCAGGCCAATGTTCTTTTGGCGCGTTACTGGCTTGTCGAATCGCCAATGGCGCAAGAATTCAGCGTATGTCTCTTCTACTGCACCGCCAAGGAGCATGTGTGATCAACACTAACAAAAACCTCCAGGACGCCTCCGCTGCCGCACTCTACCTTGTTGCCAAAATGGGACCCCTCCCGCGCTCGACCCGCGATGTATCAAATGTTTATGCATATCTCCTCTCCTCGGCATCACCACTCTTCCGCAGCGAACCTCCAGATCCGAAAAAGCCCCACCCGGACCCGACGACGTATTACCAGACAGACGGCGAGTATGCGGCCTTCCAGACACGGATGCTGGCTTCGGAAGCAAGAATCCTTTGGGCTTTGGGGTTTGATACGGCGGTGGCGCTTCCGCATGCGTTGGCTGTCACATATCTTCAAGCTTTGGACTTCTTAGGCAAGCCCAAGGCCGAAATTGCGGGACGGGTGATTGCGCACCTCAACACGGCGCTGCTGAGCCCCCAGATGCTGTACCTGACGCACCAGCCCAATGCGCTGGCGACAGCAGCTGTATACCTCGCTGCTCGGGAGGCCGGTGCAAAAATGCCTGAAGTGGCATGGTGGGAGGTTTTCGACGTGGAGAGAGAGGAACTTGGTTTTTTGGTTGTGGGGATGCGGAGCCTTGAGGGGTGGATTCAGAGTGCAAAGGAAACGGGTCTGCTGAGTGCCGGCATGGTGACAAGGACAGGTATAGAGAGAGAGGCGAGACGGAGGGCCGGTGAAGGTGATGAGGAGGACGAGGTTATGAGGCTGATGGACCAGAAGACCGCATAAAGGCGTGGCCTGCCCTTGTATACCAATTGTGAGATTTTGAGAACAGGATGAATATACCCATCGGAGCCAAAGGCTGGCTACCAGACAAAATTGTTACTGCACAGTCTCTTGCCCATCACTAGCTTTCTTCTTTTATGCGTGCTTCTGGCTATGAGTCCCCTGGGGATTGACTACAATAGCGGTCATTTACTGTTTAGACTCAAAAAAAGGAGGTTAACCTTCTTTTCTCAAGTCGGGACCTTTCAAATACTTCTTCCTCGAACAGACCGGCCTTAAGTACCTGCGAGATAACTTCCACCTAAGATTCTAATTACATTAAAATCTAATTCTGCAAGCTTACCGAACGAGTTTCAAGATCTGGTCACTAGAACTTATGAATAATAAAAAGGTCGTATCATCACAACTTTGACTGCAGACAATCGACCACATACAGGTGTGCTTTTCGGGCCATCCGCCCTTACATCTGTTTCCGGAGTTTGGCCAAGAACTACCAGTATCACGGCAGTGTATAAAGGCTAGAGAAATTGAAGATATTGTAAAGCTGGCGATACGGCAAGGCACACAAAAAGCTGGCTGATGCGCCACTATCACACCTTACATCTTTATGCAAATATCTTGAACATTTCATTTTGACGAGATGAACAGTCTCAGCCATGCTAGTTTTGTACCGCAGATTCTGAATACGGACTTGTTAACCATATACCTACAATTTACGCATTACCATGGGTATCCAGTAAAAGCAGTTAATGATTCTACGTATAGTGTGAGAGCCAGCATGAACGGCAAAGGCTAGAAACATGTGACCATGACGCATAAAGCCACTCCGTTCCACCCGACAACTGGCGTCAGAAGCTTTTGGTAAGAAGACGTAATAAGGCTGGATGGTATCAACCCTCTCTTTAGAATGACTGTACATTCGTAAAGCGAATGAGGTAAGGACCATTTAGGGGATGGTGATGCAGGTTGTTACCGTATTATGGAGCATAAACTATCTAATACGGGATTCATTCTATGTAAAACCCTTCGGAGTTGCTACCAGCTCCTGACTATAGAATGTCCCTTTAGTATGAGAAAGGCGACTCATTTTGCGAACCACAGTTAAATATGACAACAAGTTCACCAAAGTTCATGGCAAGAACAACCCATTCGAATGCCTCCCCTTCCTTTCAAAGAAGGGGAAGGCACATGGCAATAATCACAACGCTCCTTCTCCTCTCCTCCGGAGCGACTTCCTCTTCTTTTGCCTCACTCACTCTTCTCTTCTTCCTTCCTCAAAAACAAACCTATTCACAACGAACGTTTCCCTTTTCTATTCTTTTTCTCTTTGCCCCTCACACCACACAATCTCAACCCATTGTGAACTTCTCTTATCAAAACAAGACGTCTCAATAGAAAGGAACAGCAAGCTTCACAATACGCGGCTTGCTCTTCAATCATCAAAGGGATTCTTATCACCTTCCAGATTCCCTTCACTTTACCACACTTCCATCTTAGTGTGTTTACACCTGAGCGGACTCCAATAACCCCATATCTCAGCTCACTCTTATCAACAACTGCAACTATGGCCGGCTTTGACGTTAACCTCGGCGCCTTGCTGGTCTCGCTTACCACTTACGGTGGTCTTCTCTATGAGATGATTGATAATCGTCTCCGCGACAAGGAGAACAAGGACACCCAGGTGGGCCTTGGTGATCGTATCGGTAAGTCTGAACCTCTTCTCCACGACAACTAATCGTTTTAAGTCTCCCTGTCTCTTCCTGTATCTCATTGCTTTCTTCATCACTGTTACCATCTTTCACTTCTCAAACACAACATCTCCCTCCTCGCAAGAAAAGCAAAGTAAGTAAATAAGTCACTTAGAGGCTGACAATCCGGAAATAGGTGTTCTGGAACGCCAGGTCGTCAACGTCACTCAGGCTACCATTAACAACAACAACAAAGCGCCCAAGTTCGACACTCAAGTCATCAATCTGGAACCCAGCATCGTTGGATACGCCTACCTCGCTTTCATCTTGACTCTGGTGGCTTTCTTTTCTTATATTATCTGGCAACAGTACAACGACCTGATGCGTCTTTATGGCAAAGAGCTCGGTTACCTCCATGAGATCAGCGCTCTCCGCCAGAGACTTGGTAAGTCTCGCCCTTCCTCACCCGTTTTCCAGTCTTGTATTCTTGAGTTTTTTTTATTGTTTATTTTAAAAAAACCATTTGACTGACACACTGCAGTCTTCGCCGAGAAGGAAGTCGAGGGCAAGAGGAATCTGGCTGAGCTGCGCGAGAAGGAAGCCAACGAGGCCAAGGTCATGATGACCGAGTACAGGAAGGCGGCCGATGACAACAAGGCTGCCGCTGACAAGGAGAAGACCAAGGCCGAGACTACCGCCAAGGAGACCAGCAACCACGTCTGGGAGCAGGCCCTTGCCGTCAACGAACTCATGCAGCTCGTCAAAGAGAAGTGCGTCGAGACCGACGGCATCGTCGCCGACTTCAAGACTGACAATGTCAACATCAAGAAGCTCGTCAAGGACGTCACTGGCGCTCTCCCCCGCGTCGAGGCCGAGGCCTTCCAGCGTGGAAAGGCTGCTGGTCGCGCCGAGATGCTCGAGGAGATCGAGGGCGTCAAGGCCGAGTAGGCTCTGACTATGATTAACTTCTTCTACTTTTTACTGGGTTTACTGGGTTTACTGATGAGGTCTTGGAATGTCAAGTCAGAAGAAAATGTGGCCATAGGCCTTGGAGATGATGAAATTGCTTGCTAGATTGGTTGCCTTGTATTGGCAAAATTGATACAATCAAAAAGTTAGCCCAATGAATTCATTCCCATACCACTTACGCCGCGTCTTTGTGACCCTATCCGTGTCGGGTATTGCTCAGCTGGCTCCAATCGAGAGATACCCTTTGAAGATCATCCAACTCCATGCGTTCCTTTTGTCCCTTGGTCTATAGCCGTCCGGCCATGACTTCCTTCTTAAAAATACGTACATCCCAAACGTCATAAAAGTGAACCCCTTCCACAGTCTCAAGCTTCGTGTTGGCTACAATGTCCGTATCCTCATCCTCGCTGTCACTGTCTGTGTCCCAACCTGGCATGGGGAGCGGTGGGAATTGTTCAGTGCTGGAACCGCCAAAGCCTCCGAGTGCAGTACCAACTTTCGCCTTACCCTTCTTGTTCTTCTTCTCCTCCATTTTCGCAGCAGGGGTTTGAGGCGGCGGACGGATGATACGTTCAACCCGATCATCGTCAATGGAGATCCACTCCAGCTTCAGACCTGGGTAGTGGCACAGGTTGTCGACGATGAATCTACGGGTCTCCCGCATGACCCAGACGCATGTGTCGTCGTTTCTGAATTGGGTAACATTCAGGGCACGGAGGCTCGCCAGTCCTGAAATGTGCTGCATGAATGTGTGCTATGGACGGTTAGTTGACCTCACAGTCGGTTCGGATAGTTCTTGAGGTTACTTACAATAGCACGAATCCCAAGCGCCGCGGCCAACTCCTCGAGTTTTCTTCCGCGATTACAGATCAAGAGCATGGCTTTTTCATCCACGTCCCAGGTGGGCCCGGTATCATTCTTGATCATCAGCTTGGTGAGGGTTGGCATGTGCTTCTTGAGCACTAGGCGTCGGATCTGATCCATGATGACATTCGTTTTGGGCGCGAAGCTCTCAGGCTTGTATTTGACCGACCTCTCCAACATGAACAACTCGTTGATCTCTTCCAATTGAGAGGCAAACGTAATGAATGTGGTAGAAACATTGTCGGTGAAAATCTTGCGCAGTGGGAGCGGTTGAACCTTGTTTTCCTTGACCAACATAGCCCAGATTGGAGCTTGATTGCCAACATTGAGCAAAGTGAGCCTCTTGAGGACCCTGACATCAATGGCTGTCTTGAGCACGGATGCCTTCACTGGGATTAGATGGACGCTGAAAGACCGTAGAGCCAGGCCCCTTGTTGATCGAATGTACTCGCTAATACGTTCGTCTTCACCATGTGCTGTCGTGGCAATGCCGTGAACTTGCTTCTCAATATCGCGAATCTCTGACTCGGTCACATTGAGCTCAGCCCGCACGTTCTCAATGTCCCTATAAAAGCCGTGTAACTGGTTCTCGGCTAAGCGAACATACTCCCTGTCGACGGTATGTGTGTCGTCTCTCATTGTTTCCAACTTCTCTCGCACTCGAGTGGCCTCAGTAAGCAAATGCTGCAGCCGGGCGACAAGCGACTCGAAGTTTGCTCTCTGTGTTGACAAGGTCGACAACGCTCGGCTTTTTTCTGGTAGCTGGGATTCGTCGTCTTTTGCCAGTGTTTGCTTTGGCGTCGTATCGGGAGCCGCTAAGGCTTCATCCTTGGGTGGCTCAGCCTTGAGGTCCGCAGGCTCCTCGGCTTCCTCTACTGCGATCGGCTCCTCAATGTCAATATCTTCCGGGTTCGCATCTGCCCCTAACTTCGGCTTCGATTTAGTTTTCTCCACCACAGCAGCGGCAGTACCACAGTTCTCAGGAGGCGGCTGCGCTCCCGTCTCCTGTGTTACCGGTGCAGCTGGGGCAGTGGCAGAGGCAGAGCCCTCACCGGCAGGAGATTCTGATTTGCTCGCTTCTGTGCTGGTTTTTGTTGCCTCCTCTTCCAAGTACTTCCTACTTGCCTTCTCGATCATCTCAAGGATCTCCCGCTTGGATCCGTCGTCGGCATCATGCCCGCTGGCCATCAGTTTGGTAGACACTTCCCGAAGCCGTTTCATGAACGCCTCCGCAGGTGACCCAGCCTCTGTTACGAGCGCCTTCTCTTTCCCCTTCAGACTCTTCCGTTGTTGAGGTTTCTTGGCCAAAAACGGTTCCACATCGAAGATTCTGCCCAATACTGACTCCTGGCTCTTGCGTTCCTCTTGGGCGCGGAACGCCTTCGCAGGCCCACTCGCATCATCCCAACCAGGTGCTGAAGAAATGGGAACTGGTTGGAACTCGTCTTCCTGTTCGGAGTCGTCTGGGTCTGCATCGGGTGGTGGCTTCCGGGATTGGCAAGCAAGATACGAGGAGAACGAGAGCTTTAGCTTAGTGAGTGTGGGGGCGGAATTGCGCACACAAGACTTGATCTCGTTTACGACATCCAAGTTGTCGATTTCAAGGACGGCTAGCGTGCTCAGCTTTCGGAAGCCCGAGAGAGTCGGGGGTTCATTGGCAGCTGGAGTCTTGCGCTTACTTCTAGGCACGGGTTTCAAGGCTGGTGGCAAGGGAGGTGGAGGACCAAGCGAAGGGTTGTACGGGGGTGGAACGGATAGAGGCATGCTTGGGAAAGGAGGAGGAATGGAAGAGAAGACTGGCAGGGGGTCCCAGTGTCCTTGGGTGGTCGTAGGCGGCAAGCTCGAAGTATAGGGAAGTGGAGGAGGGACCTCGAAAAGCGAGGGCCCGGCTTGCATACGAACGTGAAGATTCTTAAGCGGCGCTATGCGGTGCAATGCCCGGTAGACGGGGCGGCTAAGCTCGACTCGAATGTTCCACCTGGAGTTGCACAAAGGTCAGAGACGACAAACAGCAATATACGTGGTGGACCAACCTGAAAGTCTCGAGCGACTTGGCATTCTTGAGGGTCAGGAGCAGCAGGGTGTTCATGAACTTGCCGCAGCTGGCGCTATATAGATATGGCTTATAAGCGGCCTCAGCCTTGTCGCCAGCACTCAGAGTGTCTAGCGATATATCTCGAAGGTGCTGGGCATAGTCGTAGTCGCTCGACACGAAGGTTTCGAGGCCGCCAGCCAAACTGTCGATGGGGGAATCGAAGGAGGGGTCATCTTCGTCAGGGAAGACTATGTGGAAATTTCGATAGAGTTGGGCGGCAGCAAGTTCACGGAACTGTTTAGAGACGAGGGCAAGGCAGATGAGGTCGCTTTGGCAGCACTTTGGACAGGTCAGTAAAACGGAGGCGAACGTAACCGCATCGCACGGGGAAGGCGGGGATGGAATGTCTTACATGGCTGATGATATCCTTCTTGGTTTCGGGTGGAAGATCGAGGAAGTTGAGGGGTTTGCGAGTAGAGGTGATGGCAGCCTTGTCGCAAGACTCGGCGGAGGCCATGATGGGCAAACTTGGCAATTGGAGAAGCAGGTCGGGGATGTTTTTTTTGCGGAGGATGGGGATGTGGCGTCGAAAAGATGCAAAATGCCGTTTGAAATGCGATGTGCTCGACACCAACCACTTGTTTGATTGCGCCGACGTTTGGTTATGGACGGGAAGATGCCGTGGGTAAGGCGAGATCAGGTAGGAGGTAGCGACGACGATTTGTCGAGTCCGTCAAGTCAAGGAAGGGTCTCGGCCTCGTGCCCGCCTCGTTGAATAGAGGGTTGGTGATTGGGGAAGGCAAGACACATGGGGAGGCGCAAGACAGGACAGGATGCAGGTAGACGTGGACTAGACCACACACGCAGCACATACACACATACACACCACCACCACACGACGGCGTAGTAAAGTTGGAGGTAGACTTGGACAGTGACGGGAAGGGACAGTTGCAGGTGGAGGAGGGGCGCATTCGGAGGGCGAAGAGTACATAGTATGGGTAGCCAGCCAGCGAGCGATGCGCCCGCCCCCTCGGCCCGCCGTCAGCGCAATGCAGCAGCACATACTAGGTGGCCCGGGATGTATGTGCTACCAGTGCTGAATGGGGCCATACATAGTAGACAGTAGTATTGGGACCAGCCCTGGTCGCTGTCGTGGCCCCCAGGTCCCCATTGCCCCGTGCACGGGCAACCTGGTTGCAAGCCACTCACCAGTCAACCAACCACTGAAGGGCGACCTTTGCTATGCTCTGAGGCGCTCTTGGGCAGGGAGAGAAAAGAGTTTAGCGTCTTGAGCATTGCTCGCAGCATGCAATTGCTGCACTTTGAATCTGGCTCCACCTGCCGTTGCACCTCCGGCTGTTCTATTAGAAGAAGTCTCCACTGGTGTCATAGTGAGGCAGGGAGGGGAATACGGATACAAATGCCCACAAAAGGAACATCGTCCTCGGCAGAAAAGAGTCTTAGATTGGACACATTTCAAAGTCCCTCCAAAGTCAACAATCGACAAGACTGTTCATGTTTTTAGGAAGATTTAGCTGTGAGCTTCAGTAACGACGAACAATCACTTTTGTTTCTGGACTGATAGACTTACTTATTCAAACTCCTCCACCTTGCAAATCGAACCCAGCCACAAGCCATCACTTATATACTTAAAAGATCGTCACTGAAACATCAGCTTGCAGAAACGATCAAGACCTTTTTCTCCAACAAAAGCCTACGAGGCTAAGACAAACTAACAATTGTCAAGAAGGGCGGCCATCCATGCCAAACGCAAGTCCAGCCTTGTCGAGCTCGTAATGTGACCCCTGGCAACATGGTAGGGCCACTCGTTTTCTACCTTGGCTGTACATGTCATGTCCATGCTTGCTGGCTGGTGTATAGACGAGGGGAGGATCTCCATTACTACTACGTATAGCCCGGTACATGCACAGACCAGAATTGAATTCGACATGGGAATCAGTCTTGGCTAGCTTACGTTTGCCGTCTTTCCTAGTGCCGAACTCCATCCATGAAATGCCTTGTAACACAGCGCAATGACGCCTCTGTGGAGAATTAGAGTGGACAGAGGGGCAACCTGTCTCGGGCTTCGTGATGGATTCCTGCGTTGCTGCGGGCATGGGTTTGCAAGTTTGGTATATTTCAATAGAATATCTACATGAAGTACATGTTTGGCAGGTAACTGCCCATGATGCTCCATCCAGGGTTTGGTATAGTCATGTTTGCTTCCCCCAGGTCGTACAGTGTATAAGCAGATTAAAAAAAAAGGCAGCCCGATCGCCCCTAGCGCGGCCCTCTCAAGGGAACCCCACAGTTCCCCCACTAGCAAGGCTGGGCTGTGCCGACTGATCCAGGCTGGGACCAACACCAAGGGGAACAAGAGGGGAACAAGGGGGGAACAAGGGGATCCAAGACCCCACCAGAATGACTTGGGCCTCGACAGATTTCGCTGTTTAAAAACAGATCAGATGGCGGCTTACCGTCCTCTTCTTAAAACAATGCACACAGCCATCCCATCCTTCCGCTTGCAACCCTTGCACTTACCCCCCATCTGCCTATACTGTATCCTGGCTGGTGCTGGTGCTTGCACTCTTTTCTATTTTACTTTTAATGTGCGTCTGGAACCTTGACCTGTTCCTGTCCCGTCCCGTCCTGTTCCTGTTGCCTGTCATAGCTAGAGCTTGTTCTGCCTGCTAGACGCTACACCAACCAACCACACACCCTGCTTCCTTTTTCCTTCTTGCATGCCTGCCTGTTTGCTTGTTACCGCTTGAGGCGAGGGGCCTTGATTGCCAGCAACAGCACCCCACAACCTGGAAGAGGCTGAGAGCATCGCCACAATTGACCAATTCGGCTCATACACACACACTCAATCACTCTCTCCCTCTGTAACACTACACTACCTATCGCTATTCAGCTGTTGGCAGCCGTGCCAGCAATCGATATTTCGATTGACCACCAGTCTTTTTTTAAATCCCGATCCAGTCATAAGCCACAAAAACGACACGGGTGTGCTTTTCTTTCTATCTGTCACGTTATCCTAACCCATTTAATCTACTTGTTAACTTTGGGCTCCCCTCTTTACCCCCCCTCTTTTCTACTGCTTATATGCGACTGTCCCCTCTGCCAGCTCTTCGCCCATTGCACACCCAGCCAGTCTTTACGGATCGACCTACAGCTTCGTATCGGATGCTTCAATTCTAATCGAGCCCGCACAAAAGTTCCGACGCCCGTAAGGTGCCGTGACTCAGTCGCAAAAAAACCTGCCTGCTGCCTATTTACTCCATTGGGACACCGCGCCGCAAACTAGACCTGCATTGGTGGGGAACAGCCAATTGCCAACACTCCGTACTTTTCGATCGTCATATAACATCCCACCCGTTCGCGCTCCGAGTCGAGACACCCAGCTTCTGTCAATTCTTTTTCTCAGCTCGCCACAGAATCATTGATTGAGCACTCACCATGGCTGATGTCGAAGAGCCCAAGTTCAACACTCTCGCTGAGAGAATTGCTGCTCTAAACCAGCAGAAAAACTTCCAGGCCCCAGAGGCAAAGGCGAAAAGGCCACCGCCGCCCCCTCCACCCAATCGACCTGTTCCGCGAAGCCAGACCTTACCTGTTGTCCAGACAAATGGACAGCCGACTCCTCAAAAGAGTCCCGTCATACCTCCCAGGCCGACCAAAACCGCGCCGGTGAAGGCAAACCCACCACCGCTACCACGTCGAACCACCGATTCTCCTTACCTGGAGCCATCCACCTCGCCCGCACCGAGGGATCGAATCGCCCCTCCACCTCTTCCTACTCGCTCCTCAACCCAACAGATCTCGCCTGCTCTGCCCCCTCGAAGACCTTCCAACCAGCAATTAGAAGTCCGCCGCAACTCAAATGCTTCTGAGATTTCCAACCTTTCGTCACTGTCTCTCAATCAGACAGTATCCTCTGCCACCAGCATTGCCTCTGATGGACCTTCCCGGAAGCTACCTCCAGCTTTCGACCAAGCCAGTCTACCAGCATTACCACCAACAAAGCGTGAACGAGAGGCCCAAGCAAGAGATGCTGCCGCTAGAGAACCGCCGCAACCCAAACATGCACTCGTCTCCGTCAAGTCTTCGCCTATTGTCCGACAAATCGAGCCGCCTCAGAGGCCTGCTTTGCCCCCGCGAATGACCTCCAATTCAGCCAGTCAGCAAGTTCACAAACCCGCCTTGGAGCAAGATGAAGCGCCAGCAAAGCCCAGACGGTTACCGCCTCCCCCTACGGCGTATGTCAAGTCGCAACCGCAAACAAACGGCCACGGCCAAGAGCAGCAACATGCAAACCCACCTCCTTTGCCAGGCAAACGGCCAAGTGCAACCCGTGCTACCGATGACGCGCCTCCTCCCGTGCCCCTCAGTTCCCGGCCAAGCGCTGCACAGATCCAGGCTGTCGAAGCCAAAATTATTGCGCGTGCTAATGAGTGTTTGATCTGCCGTGACTTTTCCGGACCGGATAATCTTGCCCTCCAACACCCTAGGCATACGGTTCCGAGAAATGACCCAACTGGTTACTTGGCTCATGTTCTGTGTGCTCCATTCTCATCCCCCACGGACAAGGCGCGGGCCATCTTCACCTGGTGCCACTACAACATCGCTTACGACTGCCCAGCCTTTTTCAACAAGAATATCAAAGATCAGACAGGAGTCAACACCATCCTCACAGGCAAGGCTGTTTGTGCAGGCTATGCAGAGACGTTCAAAGATGTTGCGATCCGCGCAGGCCTCGAGTGTATCGTCGTTAGCGGACATGGCAAGGGCTACGGGTACACGCCCCTGAAGAAGGGGGAACGCCCCCCAAAACAAGATACCAACCATGCATGGAATGCAGTACGCATCGACGGTGGTGAATGGAAGCTCATTGATGCTTGCTGGGGATCCGGTCATCTCGACATGGCGACCAATGACTACGCGGCGAGGTTTGAACCGCTCGAATTCACAAGGAGTAACGAAGTCTTTGGTCTCACTCATTTCCCCGAAGACAGAAGCAAGTTTTTCCGGTCTGACGGCAGGTCGCTGACATGGGAGGAATACTACATCGGCCCTGTGCATGGGGAGCCGCCCGTCATCTACGGCGATGCCTCTGCGGAGGGCATAGCTCCCATGTCGGTGACTCCTCCGCTGCTACACATACCCGTACACAGCGGCCAGGTGGTGCGCTTCCAGTTCTCAAAGATTTGCGAGCATTGGACTTCGGAGAAGCACGGGCTAGGCAAGCCGCCTTTGTTCTTGTTAAGCATCAACGGACGCGATGGTCGGAAGCAGGACATGGTGCCGATGGAGACGGACGGGTACTGGCACTGGCTGGACGTCAACGCGGTAGACCTCGGCGTGCCGGGCGGCAGCGTCAGCGTCCTGATGGTCACGACCTTTGGCAACGAGGACGCGAGAGGCTTGACCAAACAGGGCTACCTGGCGAAGAAGGGCAGGGTCGGCATGAGCTTCGCCGGCATTATGAAGTGGGATCTGATTTGAGAAAATACCTGAGAGAGGGAGAGGACAATCTGCGCGAAATACCAGTGACGAATGAGACGGCCGACACACACACAAACACACAAACACACACACATATAATGATAATACCTCCCGAAAGCCACATTTTCATAAGTAGTTTTTTTTTATTTTTTTTACGAGGGCTTTCTTCTTATCTCGGCTGAATAGATGGTCAAAAAGAACCAACATGACAAAAGCATTTAATCGCGCGTTCTCTTGTGTCTCTGTTGTGAAGTGAAAATTGAAACCGTGCCAACACGCAATCTATGAGGGGTATATATACTGTCCGTGTACCTATGTAAATAAAAAAGCTATTATCTAATAAATCCTCCCAAAGTATAAACAATCAACCCGAAAATCTTATTTTCTACTTTTTTTTTTTTTTAAAGCTCGAGCTTCTGCCACTTGCGCAACCGGCCACCGTACCTGTAAATCAGCGCCGGCACGGGAATGAGCGCAACGGCTATGAACCCCAACAGGCTGTTCCCCCATCCCAGCCCGAGGGCGTCATACATGGAAGGACCCGCCATGGGCAAGAAGGCCGCGACGATGCTCCGGAACACGGTGAAAGCGGCGAGACCGCTCGCGGCGAAACCCGGGTACGCGTCGATGATGTAGGCCTGGATCGGCTGCCATATGCCCAGGATGGCGATGCCGAACGGCAGCAGGCCGACGACGGGCGCCGCCCAGTGGGTGTGGAACTCGGCCGTCCAGCCGTACCAGAAGAAGGTCACGGGAAGCAGGAAGGCGAAGTAGATGCAGTCCGGCAGGCGCATCTCGGGCTCGAAGACGCCGTTGTTGGCCTTGGTCATGCGCACGACGGTCCTGTCGGAGAGGAACGTGAAGCACGCCATGCCCAGGATGTATCCTATGCCCAGCGGGATGTACACCAGGCCCGTGGTGCCGGTGGAGAAGCCGTACGTGCTGTGGAAGACGAGCGGGATCGTGCTGAAGAGGAGGTAGAGTACGCCGTACGCGAAGGCGATGTACAGGCTCACGCTGAAGATGATGGGCGACAGGAAGAGCATCTTGATCGGCCTGATCAACCCGCGCAGGAGGACCTGGGCGGTCGACTGTGGTGCGGCGCTGGATGCGTCGACGTACACGCTGCGTAACTCCGGGCGGTTCAGCTCGCGGCGCAGACGGGCGACTTTGCGATCAATCAGCACGCGCGGGTTCGTCTCCTGGTTGAAGATGGCGATGACGATGGCCATGGGCGTCGCGGCGATGAAGGCGATCCATGACGCCCAACGCCAGCCGATATCCTGCGCTATAAAGGCCCCGACAAGCGGCGCGAGGGTTGGGCCGACGAGCGGGCCGACCATCCAGATTGTCAGCGCTTTGCCGCGCTCATGAATGGGAATCATGTCGGAGATGACTCCGCCGCCGATGGCGAGACAGCCCGAGCCGCCGACGCCAGACAGAAAGCGGAACACAATGAGCGAGTTGAGAGACGGCGCGAGTGCGCAGCCGATGAGCCACGCGCAGAAAAAGAAGTTTGCGGCGGAAAGCACGGGGCGACGGCCGTATATCTCGGACAGGGGAGCAAGGAATAAGGGCCCGATGGCATACCCCAAAAGGTAGATGGAGACCGGCAGCGTGCCTAGCGTCAGGTCGTCATTCCCGAACTCGTCGTTGAAGTACTCAATCGCAGGCGCGAGAATGGAGGACGCAAAGGGAGTCATGAAGGTTATGCCCGACAGGAACCAGATGATGAGCCATCGGCGCCGGCCATCGAAGTTCATGGGCATCAGGGGATCATCTTGAGAGTCCCAGCCGACTATGCCGTTATCGAGGTCGGACAGCGGGTGAATGGTCGGCGGGAGCTGTTCGCGGGGTTTGCGACGGGATGAGGCGAGACTTGCGATGTGTGAGAGACGGCTCCGGGCGCTCGCGTGAGTGTGAGTTGTCTGGGTACGTTCAATAGCATCCTGCTCGAAGTCAGCAAGGCATTCAAAGGTAAAGACTCCTACTCAAAGACTCATGTTACCACGAGATCCTAGGAAAATTCCGAGCAGTGGAGAGAAAAAAAAAATTATGTGCTAAGCATTGCCCACCCAAAGTCATCATGAGTCTTGGCATAGTGTGAGTCTGGAGTGGGATCACAATCCGAGTACAAACTCACCTCTTCATACGGCTCGCTGTCTGGAGCCTCCTCGACATCGTCGAAGCTCTTTCGTTCCTGCATCTGTCGTTTCTCCCCCTTTTCCAAATCATCTGAAGAGGCAAGCTTCCGACCAGTCTCCTCTTCCGTCAACGTGCCGTGTTCAGAAGATCCTTCTCGGAGCCCGTGGACGCCGGCGGTGGCAGCCGCCTCCACATCCTTCTCAGAACCCATGGCTGCTTTTTTGGGTTGTCGGGGGGAAGCCAAGTGGGTTCAATTCCAAGCGCGCTATAAGTCGGAGAAAACTGACAGGCGGAGACGTTATAAGGCGGCTGAAAGAAGAGGAGGAAGAAGAGGAGACGGTAAATGCCCAGCCTCGGCAAGCGAGGCAAGGCAAACGGGTGCGGCAACTCGCATTTTTATCCATGTTTCCCTTAACCATGCCCGGCAAAGATCAATGAGGGTAAGTGGTTTAGTAATTCAAAACCAACCCCCAGTTGCGGCATGCCCCATCCTGCCTTCCCCCAAAGCCGTAACTAACCTATGGCGGGTGCGAAGGACTCTTTGAGGGGGTTCAAGATGTGACATGATTCGGCGGGAGGACTCCAAACGATCCCCAAATTTCATCATTGCTGGGGCCCTTGCTGTCGTAGTACATGAGAAGCGGGTTTAGCTTCAATTTTTTCTCGGTTGTCTCCCCTGGTTGTTGCTTAACTCCACGTATTATCTCCGCAGTTCAGGATGACACTATATTCCCGAGCTGACAGAGGAGAAGCAGTAGGATCCCCGGAAACAACGAGGACGGTGGGGGGAAAGAAGAGGGGAGAGGGGCGGGATGGAGAGCGCGAGTGTGTGATTCAGTGGGCCGTGGATCTTCCACGGATCTCAATTCAAGGGCGGTGGCAATGCGGGAATCGTGGGGTGGTAAGGTACTATTATTTACTACTATACTAGTAGAGCCGCGGCGGTCAAACTTGGATTGGCGCTGACCACCATCCTTCGGATACACGGCATTTGGTTTTATGATTATTGCCGCGGGGAATGGGTGCTTAAACCCGTGGTTTACCCCGAGGAGATGGCATGCATTTCAAGGAACCAATTCCGCGTCCTTAAGCGTGAAAAGTAGCGAGGACGTGATGAAATGTAACCAAGGTTGAGCCGCTCTCATCATTTATTCTCAATCGGGATTAGTATCCTACATGATTTTGCTAAGTGAATAAGAACTGACTGAAATTTAGTCTATAATCTATAGTTGCAATGTAATACCACGTTTAGAGGTTGTTAGCCGGCCCGAAACCCAAATTCAAATTATGGTTTTCCCTTTTCCCCCTGTTCCCAACTACCTATACCTACGGTATACCTGCCTGCCTATTAGGTCTTTTGCCTAGTACTTTGTCTACGCAGTAGAAGGAAAAAAGAACTCCCTCTGGATGAAGAAACCTGCAACACGGGCCCAGCCCTAGAACGCTTCCCGGCTCCACTTCGGCTGCCAGACTCCAAATTGCCCCGCAGTTCCCGTTGCTGCCCACCCCTTGACCCCCCCATCAAACTTCCACATGGGAAAAGGAAGCAAATCCACGGTACGCGGCTAGTGGAGATGAGACCCTGTCTTCAATGGGCGCAAAACCTCCTGCAACTGTGTCCCGTCGCAAAACTTACGTCGTCGGCCACGTCTGCGTCCACGTTCACGTCGTGAGAGCCTCAACTCCACCAAAAAACAATACAAATCTCGCACCAACAAGTTCACCCTGCCCACACCATGAAAGCTGCACCAGTGAAATAAAGGTCCGACGACACACACAAAGACAGCTAGCTGCAGCTACAACCTTACACTTAGTGCGCATCACGCGCACCCAATTGCAGGATCATGTCTTCTCCGACTCTCACTCGCACCGAGACCCTGAGTCTCTCCTCTCTCTCCTTCGCCGCTCTAGCCGTCCTCCTCAACACCTTTCAAGGCGATGGCGAACCCCTCATCGCATCCCTTTCGCTCTCCGTCCTGGCCTTCGCCCTCTCCTACTCCATGATCCGCTGGCTCGGCCCCGTCTTCATTCGCGCAGGCTTCAAAGGTCGCGACCTCTCGAAACACCACCGCCCCGAGCTGCCGGAATGCATGGGCGCCGTGTGCGCCGCCGTCTACCTACTCGTCGTCATCGTCTTCATCCCGTTCCCATTCTACAAGGACATCGTCGCTGCCACTAGCGGTGGAGGAAACAGGGACGTGGTACTGCAAGTCGAGCACGTTCAGGAGGGAAGGTTCCTGCATCGGTTCCCTCATAGCAAGGTTAGTTGTCGCCGTTCCTAGACGACAGTTTTTCTGCAATATCGCGAGCCAGCGTGTTGTGAACAAATCAACTAATCCGTCTCTTCCGAAAACCAGCTCGCTTCTTACCTCTCCGCCATAATCGCTCTCCAAACCACCGCGCTGCTCGGCATAGGCGACGACCTCTTCGATATCCGCTGGCGCCACAAGTGGTGGATTCCAGGCCTGGCTTCGATACCCATTCTCGTAATCTACTTTGTCGACTTCGGCGTCACCTCCATCGTCATCCCGATCCCCCTTCAGCCCTACCTCGGAGAGCTCTTCGACCTCGGCGTGCTCTACTACATCTACATGGCCTGCATCGCCATGTTCTGTCCGCAGTCGATCAACATGTTCGCAGGCATAAATGGCATCGAGGTCTCTCAGTGCATCGTCGTCTCCCTCCTCCTCGTCCTCAACGATTGTCTCTACCTCTTCACCCCTTACCCGCACCCGGCGACCGACTCCCACCTTTTCTCTCTCTACCTCCTCCTCCCCTGGGTCGGCGTCTCTTTCGCCCTCGTCGCACACAACTGGTACCCCGCCAAAGTCTTCGTCGGCGACACGTACTGCTACTTCTCCGGCATGGTATTCGCGACCGTCGGCATCCTCGGCCACTTTTCAAAGACGCTCGGCCTGCTGCTCGTCCCCCAGCTCTTCAACTTTCTCTACTCCACCCCGCAGATCTTTGGCCTCATCCCCTGCCCTCGCCACCGCCTGCCCAAATTCAACGCCCGCACTGGCCTTCTCGAGCCAAGCGTCACCCCCTGGAGCCCCGAGCGCCAACCTCATCCTCTGGTCGCCCAGGGTCTTCACCTCCTAAGCAAGTTGCGCCTGTTGAAAATCACAACAGATGAGAAGGGCAGCTTCGTAGAAACGAGCAACTTCACTCTGCTCAATCTCTGGTTGGTCTGGAGAGGACCCCTGAGGGAGGACCGCCTGGCGTGGGAGGTAACCTTCCTCCAGGCATTCGTAGGCCTCTTTGGCCTATTCGTGCGTCATCGCCTTGCTCTGCTCATCTTTAAGGAGGATAACTGGGGTATGACGACCAAACGATACTAAACTTCATTTTTTTCATCCGTTATTTGCTTTCCTCTCTCACTCTGTCTCTCACTCTCGCTCTACTGAACAAAAAGAGAGAAAAAAACAGTGGGCGTTCTCAGGTTCAGCGCCTTGAGCTACAGCAGACGCAACAAAAATGTTTGGTTGGACTGGACTTTGCATTTTCACATCAGCCTTTCTTGATTCATTTGGGACGGCACGTGTTGATATGGGGGAGGGCCGTTTGTGTATCATAAAAAAAAATGTAAGATACCCCGTTACAGTATACCCAAACCGCCACATCAAAATATGGCAAAAGTTAGATATCAACAAACATTTAAAAAAGAACAACATTGATCACGTCACAAAACAACTTCTCATCATGGAACAAGGAACGAAGAGGTAATGAGCCGGGAAAACAAGCAGCATAACGGCTGCGGTATCATCCATTTAATCCTTTTCATCGTCATGGGAGCGGGGGCAATACCCGGTGCACAGCCACTCTCACTGGCTTTGCGAACAAGCCTAGAAATACAGAAAGAAAAAAAAAAGGTGTTTGCCTCGTCTGGCAAATGGGGTTTAAAAAAAATATAAAACCCCTTTTCAACCCTCGTCCCAATATCAAAGACCGAGCCCTTGGAAAGCGCTACCTCCTTGCCTTGCTTTACGCCAGAGTTCCCACACCATAAAAAATCGCTCCAAGTTGAACGACAATAAGAAAGACGTTGATATGAATACGACATGTACTCGTTCAACGTGCCGTGCGTGGCCTTTTCTTTTGTCCTTTTGTTTTTGTAGTTCCTCCAGATAGAAACGAAACGGATACAATTCAGACGTTACCGAGTCGCGCTGACCAAAGCTGATATCCCTTATTCCCAATCCATTCATCCGTCGCCACCATAACGCCGAAAATAACCAGACCGTCGTCGCCTTGACGAGTTTTCGAGGTATTCAGAGGTGAAACATGAAACGTTGTCCGTGTTGTCCCGAAAGCACACGTCCAACACCGGTCTATATATGTTACAAGGAATTGTTTGCTGCCACCACTGCTGGGATGGAGCTCACTGCGTTGCCCTGCACGGGTGTCAGGACCTCTACGCTCTTTTCCGTTGCTGGTGAATCGACGATCGCATCCAGTGTCGGCTTAGATTCTTCGGTTCCCGACAAGGATGTCTTCAGCCCCCCGGCTGGCTTCTTGTTCATTCTGCTCTTGGTGTAATCACTAAGACTCAACTTCTTCTTCACCGGGCTCGGGTGTGCTGCGACCCCGTTCACAGCGGACGATGCGAATGGGCTGGCCAGGTTAGGTGCAGACAAGGGGGATTGCGCCACCGTACCGGCCGAAGAAGGCGTCGTGGCGCCAGTTGTCCCCGTGTTAAGCTCATTGAATACCGGAACTGGTGGCATCTGCACTCGTAATTCGGGCGACTTTGTGTTCAGAGGGCTAACAACGCCATTGGTGTGGACCTCGGTCGCTGGTTCTGTCTGGGTGGGGGACTTCGCAGTGCTTGGCGAACTCAGTGGGGCGTCTATCATGGCAACATCTCCTACCGACGGTGCAATTGGCGAGCTGTTAGGGCCATGTTCGTTCGTATCCTTCGAGGGGGTGGGCGAGCTGGCGACGGGCTTTTGGTCAGCCGGCACATCGATATCCATGGCAGTAATCGATGGCTCTTGAGGACAAAGAGCCGGAAGTGATTTGCGTCGCTCGGCTTCATCACACCGCAGACGATGCCGGTTGTTCAACAGACGTTGCGAGAGGGAAATAATACGGCGCCTTGGCTTCGGCGTCTCAGCGGGCTCGCTATACCACTCTCCTTCCACAGGATCGGTTTGCACAGCAGCGTCACAGTAGATAGGACGAGGTGCCGAGGATTCTCGCCTTGACTGGGTCGCGACAGACCCTGTCCGCGAGGCGGGTACTTTGAAAGGGTTTTGTCTAGTCGGCGAGACTCCACTGACGGGTGAGTTCGATTTGCTCCTTGATGTACCGGCGTCAACGTAGCTGCCACTGACCGTCGAGGCGTTATTTGTCGACGGCTTCGGCTTCGATTTGGTCCCGGTACCGTCTGATGTACGCTTCTTTTTCCGGGCGGGCTGTTGCTGCTCCATCCGACGGAAAGACTCCTCAACCATTTGAACTTTCCTCTTTTCCCTGTCTGTGGGTTCGGTGAGTATGCCTGGCTGGTCGAGTGAGCCCTGGCGAGCAGGGGTTCGGTCTCTACTGGGTGGTTTGCTCCGTTCTGAGACCGAACGGCCGTCGGCGTCGGGATCATCTTGATGACCTTCACTGGCTGCTCGACTGTTCGTAGCGTGACCAGTACTAGTGGGTGAGATGGTGCTCGTCTTTGGCTTCCGCTTCTTCTTCGTCACGGTAGGCCGGGACTGTATTTTCGCGTGGTAATGGCGGTGGAAGCGAGCGAAAGCACAGTTGGGGCCCAGATCACACGCACAACCGCCATACTCTGATAAAATTCGGTGAACCCAACCGGAAATCCGTTGGTACTCGACGTCATCCATATCAGGTTCGTCTTGTGCGCGTGTGTCGTCGTCGCCCAAACCGAGCAGGTGCAGCATGCGTGCCTTGCCCTTTTTAGGAAGTCTAAAGTCCCATGGCAGGGTGATCTGCTCATTCGCAGCGATATAGCGGTCGCTCACGAGCCAGAAGTGGTATTCCGATTGACCTGAGAGGTAGGTGTCCAAGACCACATTGGGTTTGCAGCTTCTCCGAACAAAGCGGGCCAGCGAGCCTTCTCTCCGGGTGTCGATGTAGAGTGGTAGCATCGGATGGAAAAACACAAACGGTAGTGGAGACGAAAGTTCTTCCCATAAATTGTCTGGGTCTGCGCAGTAGTCTTTTTGGAAACCTATTTGGCCGTTAAGCTCAAGTAGGGGAACGTCCTTCTCAATAGCCGAAGGGGTCACTAGATACTGCCAAGGCAGAACCATATCCGGTCCAAGGGGGAGTTTCTTGCTCTCCACTTGTAGCGGGCGTTTCTGCGACTCGAGATCCGCTGGCAATTTAGCAAATACGTCGTTAAACTCCTCGCCTGTCTCCTGTCTCATCCGGTCGGGTTCCCGAAGCCACAGAGACATGGTATTGGAAATCGTGAGGCTGGCGAACGAATTTGTTTGCACGATCGGGACATCCTGTTCCTTGATCAGGGACAAAAAGCCGTCAGAGTAGTTGTGTATTTGAAAATCGCTCGGGAGATCAGGAGGGGTGGTCGCAGGGCTTGGAGGGTGCCCGTTGGGTTGAGAGCGACCGTTACCATAGGAAGGACTACGCTTCGCGTTCTGAGAGCTGGTCGAGTGTGAGGGTCGATGGGAAGTTTTTGTCTTCTTGGTTGGATGAGGGTGATCGCTCGGACTTCCGTGCTTTGCGTTCTCCTGGCCTGTAGGGTGGCCATTCAATTGCAAGTCTGTGGGTTTTGGTTTCTTCTTGTGGCTTTTGGATGGCAGCCGTTTGGTTTTCTTGTCTGGTGTGTCCGCTGCAGCGCCGCCGCCGTTCTTGAGTCGACGGGTTCGCTCAATAGCCTTTTGTCGGTCCAAAGGCCGGGGCTTGCAGTCAGCACACGAGTGGGCGAAGTCCTCACGGAGAGCCTCCTCGCGACTGTCAGGGTAGAAGCACTCGATGTGCTGCCAAGTGTCACACGTCTCGCAATAAATCGTGTTTCCATCATCATCAGAGAAGTTGCAGATACACTTGATGGTGTACGGCTCTTCTTCCTCTACTGTCTCGACCTTGCGTGGCACATCGTGATTTGAGACTGGCACGTTCGGAGCGAAGAGGGTCTGACTAGGGGTCGCGATTTGCGTCGACAGCGGCTGCGGCTTTTCTGTCATACTCTAAATTTGCCTCGGAAAGGAGATTGGAGTCGAGGAATGCGTAGGCTGATTACCGTTGCGGCTAGGGTAGCATGACGACGTCCGTCTAGACGCGCAGGAACAGGTCGTCGAGAAAGCCGAAGGAACAGCGACACCAAGCGTTGTGGTCATCCGTCGGGGGATCCAAGGTGTAATCAACCGAGTCGAAGAATCGCAGTAGAGGGATCGAGGGCAGGACTCGACGTAAAGCGGAGGGAGCGGGTTCAATGGGTAGGCCGTCGAGGAAGCAAAAAACCGAGAGATCGAGGTGGTCTTTAAGTTTTTAGCAGTCCCCACGAGGCAGAAAGGTCTTGTCGACACGTCACAGAATTGTGTTGTGAGCGTCGTGTGGAAAAGTTTTCGAGTGATCGCGAAGTATGGGTGTGTGGCCACGAGGAGCAAGAAGGGCAGACGGGATCGAGGAAGGGTCAAGCGGATGCGCCTCGTCGACGGAGAGGAATAGGACGAATCGAGTGGTTATGTCGAGTCGAAGGTACGAGTAGTAAGGAGTATTCCGAGTGATTTCAACCGAAAATGAGGGAGAGTATGGTGATTTGTGCCACGACGATGGAGAAGGAAAAGAGATTGAAAGAGAGGAAGAGAGGGGGGCACAACACGAAGGACTGGAAAGGATGGATGGATGGATGGGTCCCCCAAGGAGAGAGTAGTAGCAAAGCACCAGAAGCACCAGCACCAAGCAGCAAGAGCAGTGCGGTGCGGTGCGGTGCGAGTTGAGCGAGACAGGTACCAGCGCAGGAGCGTGCGGACCAGAGACCAGACCAAGCCAAAAAGAGAGAAGGCGAACGGGTAAGAAACAGTGACTGCACTGCTGGGACTGACTTGGGTTTGGGGGGGACACGACTAGGACTGGCTGGGCACCTGGTGCTTTGGAGTGCGCGGGCGGCGGCGGACTCGATTGGGGAGGGAGGGGAGGACAAGAAAGGGCAGGATGGGATTTTTGGGGGGACGAGGAAGGGGTACCAGGATGTGCTGAGTGCACCTGCTCAGCTAGTTGGTATGCCCTGGATGGGTGGCTGCTTGCTGCTGTTGTCGCTGCTAGGGGAGAGGCACTGGCTGGCCTGTCCAGCAGTGAGCAAAGCAAACCAGCCGAGCTGGCAACCCAGGCCAGCCAGCCAGCCAGTCCAGCCAACCAGCCCCAGCCCAGGCCAGCCTGGTATAGACAACCAGACCAGCACACTGAGAAAAGAGTGTGCGAGCCGCGAAGTGAGAGGGAGTGAGAGGAGGAGACTCTGGGAGAGACGGGACAGAAAAGCCAAAGCCCGTGGCTAAGAAAAACAGGGTACGGAGGTACCAGTACTTACCTGGAGCTAGTCCCGAAAGGCGGTGGGCGCGCTGATATGAGTGGCTCCGGCAATCCAATCAGACCTTTAGCGCAGAAATGTGGGTGCCTCAGGCAAATCAAGTTTCAGGCCGCAACCAGACAAGAGGTGGTGCCCGTCTGATGAAGGACTGACGACTGCCTGGTAGCCCTCCGCACTAGAAGGGCGGCCAAAAATGAAACGGGGAAAGAAAGAAGCAAAATGTTGGCAGGTGGATGGTAACTTTCCCTTGCGTGGGGAAAGAAAGAAGGAGAAGAAAAAATAAAAACAAAACCACACATTGACAACATAATCAACGTGTTTTGATGGTTTTTGGAGCGATAAGAGAGATGTTACTCTTCTGATTACCTTGATCAGAGAGTGTTTGGTTTGTGTCCATGTTTTTCTTGGGAGGCCATCTTCTTGGTGAGCAAAAAGGCAGATGCGTCAGACGGGAGTGGAGGGACAAGAAGCGGCATGCAAAGATTTAATGAGTAATAAAAGAGAAGAAATGGGCGGCAGAGTGTGTGATTGTTTGTGACTCTCTGGCCCTAGTAGAGACGGATGTGACGGGAGTGGGAAATAGAACGGTGGAGGGTGGGAGAGAGGGATAGACGGTGACCCGTAGCAACGGAAAGAGGCGGGCGGGAAAGGTAACGGATACCGCTACGGCTGGATTTCAGAATTTCAGCCCATAGAGAGAAGGGGCATTTGAGTGCCAAAGTAGACAATCGACCAGCCGTCTACCTAAAGCCCAGCCCGCCTCGCGCCGTAAGCAAGGCATGCAGAAATCAAACAAAAAAAAAGTGTTTTCGTAGGCGGTACAAGCGTGCACCAAAGAAACGGAACGGGAGAATGTCGGGCGTAATGTTTTGGCGTTGTTGGTCGTGTTGTAGAGTTCCAGAGAAGTCGAGGATTGAGCGACTTGGAAGGCCAACAAAATCTATGATCCAGAGTCGGGGGTTTCCATGACTTTCATCCCGTGAAGACGACAACATGAGGCCGGGTAAATCATGCGCAATTTTTTTTTTATAAATAGGAGCGGTCGGAGTGACATGATGCTGTGGTGTAGTTTACGCGGCCATCGTTGTACCTTCCCCTCCCTCCATCTTCCCAGCCCTCGCCTCCTGTCTCTGTCTGGCCGGGAGAACTCGTACCACTTCTTCCTTCATGTTGCCACGCCGCCGTGTTTGTGAACATAAGAAGTCGCCTCTCACTGGAACTCCGCTTTCTCGGTGGCCCAGCGAATGACTGGCACTTGGATGGCTGGAGGATGGGAATGGAGCATCTTCTTGCCGAGGCGGGGTTACTTCTATTACCTGCCTAGCCAGAGGCAACGATACTAAAATGGATCAAGCAAAGTGGTCAAGTTAGCAGGCACGCAGGACACGCCAAGGTTTGTACCAGAGGCACGCTACTGTTTTTGAGTACAAAAGTGTACTCGAGGCCATGCGCCCTAGTAGGTGCGAAACAAGCTGAGCGTGAAAGTACATGAAAAAGTACATTTGCCATGTACCTCGTTGAGCAACTTGAGAGTGGGTCCCCACTTTTCAACTAGCCAAGGGCAGCTCTGCGCAGTGTCGCGTCGCTCTGTCTCGAATCTCAACTCAACCACCCAAGTCATCATATCATTGGTCAACGCGACCCTATGAGAAAGGGAGATGGGGTCTTACTGCCAGGGCCTAATATTATTGTGCATGGAGCTGGTCTGTTGTTCGCTTCCTCCACTCCCCTGTAACCATGCCCATACCAAGCACACGCAAGTCGGTCCGCCCTGCCCCGGTCCTTCGTGTTGGCGACCTGCAGAACAAGACCTGCACAGTCTTACATGGCTCTTTTGTTTATGTCGTCGAAAGGCGACAAATAATTCAGCGATTCAGATGGCAATTTCAATTTGGTCGATGCCGTCGATGGAGCAAAACGTCTTTTCGTCTGCAAACCAGACCATCATCACCTTACACGGCATTCGATGACTGCCTGCAGCAAACCCTCCCGCCTCACTCCGTCACCAAACCATATCCCATCATCATGCTGCCATCTTACGTCGCCCATCGGCAAAGAACGACAGCAGTATGCAGGAGGGCATGTCATCACTGGTATTCATACTCCCACAATCCACTGCGCTGCGTCCTCCCGGCACTGAAAGCCCTTGCCGGCCCCTCTTCCCAAGCACTGTGACCTAAACCATCCCACGTTGCCTTTCTCCTCCACTTCCGCTTTACCTGTCGCCGTCACTGGTGCTCTCTTCTGCTCTTGCACTCTCCTTCTCCGGGACGGGCTCACCTCCTCACCTCCTCACCAAAGACTAGGTTCACCTCCAAAGGCTCGGTCAATGGCACGCTACCTTGAACTCTACGCGACATACCGACAAGGGTGGTGGCCTTTTGGCCTGCTTAGGTGTCATCAATCCGCCTCAAGCAGTCAGAGTTGCCCAAGTATCGGTACATGTCTCCCGTCAATGCTCGAACCCAGTATATGTGCACACTTGAAATGCGACTCGGCGCCTTTGCGCTTCCCTTATCTGCGCTGCACTGCCGCTGTCATTAGGGCGACGCCGAGACTCAGAGCGCTCTGGTTGATCCGAGTGCAACAGGACGAGGTAGAGGAGACAATGATGCACGCCATATTCTCGAATACGTCTTACTTTTTTTTTATGGTGATTTTATTCTCCCTTCCCTCTGACTACGCCCTCCCTTGGTCATTCAGATCGACATGCTAAAAAGCGCTACTTGGCTTCCCCGTTGCATTCGCCCCCGCCTTTTCGCATCCCTCAAACCCGGCAGCAGCAGTCTGGTGGACAAACAAAACAAAGAGTCGCGACTCTCGAACGTACATTTCGTCTTCAGCTGGCGTCTGTCCCCCTACCCCATCATGATTCGCGGTCCATATATAGTTAACTAGGATGTCCCTGTCCTACATTGTTGTTTTCGAGGCCTAACGCAAAGTATGCGACGCCGATAGCCACGGCTGCAGGCTGAGGTGTCCGGTACTTGACCACGGTTCCCCCGATCTTCGTCCAAGGTGGTCCCCTTCTCAAGCCTCTCACTCACGCCCTTCCAGCGAAGGCTCCCTGCTCTTCGAAGTCGCTGTGATTGGGCTAAGTCAACCTTTGCGACCCTAAAATGATAGCTACCCAGCGTAGGAGATGCATAAGGTGGTGTGGCTCCTGTTGTGGCACCGTGGCTACCTTTTCCACAGGTCATCATCCATGCTGTAGCACACCTCTTGAGTCGTGGGGGTCGGTTGTCCAATCACGAAACCTGCGCAATCGGGACTTTCTGAATGCTTCGATCGGAAGAAGGACCATGCTGCGCTGGTCCTAACGCCAGGAAGCTCGGGGGGTTCAGTGGCTTGCGACGGTAAAAGACCTTGAGAGAATGGAGGAAAGAGGGCCGGCCACTTGGCTCTTTATGCTGATGTTCGTTGACTGCCTGCTTGGACCTAACCACGGGACCAAAAAGTCCAGGGATCTTCCAGCGATACCTGCGTAGTCGAAACGGACAGTTACTTTTCATTAATCAAGCAATCCCATTTGTTGGGCATGATGGAGGCAAAAACCAATTGCCTTAACCGTAGTAACGAGATTGCCATCTAACGCTGCCTCGCTTCAGTAGCCTTGGTAGTGTTGTGGTTGAACGCGAGTGCTTTGTCGCAGGCCTTCGCCGCAATGTAGGTTATAGTGGCGCTCTGCACTTCAAGAAAGATAATCTGGGAAGCTGATAACGAATGTGGGATCGGGAGGGGACGACGCAAAAAGTGGGAATTCGAGATGGCTCGTGCACTGAGGACTACCAGAACAAGAGATGTGCCATTTGGGGGTTTACTTTCTTCAAGACAGCCCCAAATGGCGACGAAGTGAGATGGCCAAATCGTTCATTTGGGGTCTCAGTAGACTTCCAAAGAGTCGAGATTGGCAAATGTCATCCAGATTTTTCTGAGTGAACTTATTTGTATAAAGCCTCTTTGTACATAACAGCAAGTCTATTCGCCGACCAGGCCTTTCAATGTCGCCATGGCCTCTGCGGAGGGAAACGGCGCTTGTTCCCAACCAATGATCCACCCCGAGCGACGAATCAGAGTGCTCCTTGGTTGCCCCCATGACGTTCTCCCCCAAACCCAGCCCCATTGTTCACCACCTGCCAACCGCAGTCTCTCGCAGGAGCTGCTCCATCTCTCTATCTTACCTCACCAGCCATCTCTACGCGAAACGTCGAAGCTAGGACATCAAAGACCTCACGCCAACACCTCTAATACCGCCGCCGTACTGTCTTCAGATCATCCAACATTCGAAATTTATCTTCCTATCTCGCCCTAACGTACCGCTTCATCTTCGCCCGCGATGAGGTTCGCCACGGCTGTCATCGCCTTCCTCTCCGCCGGTCTCGCACCGGCTGGTGCCAGCGTTCTCGTCCAGAGGGACCAATCCGTCATCGTTAACGACGGCCTCAAGGTCCCCGGTGACTCTCCCCTTGAGCTTTGCGATAAGGATCACAACAGCGACATTGTCAAGATCGACAGCGTTGACCTTTCTCCCAACCCTCCTCAGGCGTACGTTTCTTACCGGTTACTCTACATTCAAACGCAGTCGATGACGCGCATCAAATATCCCGGCATCTTGAAACAAAGGGCTGGCTAACATGATTTTTTTTTCAGTGGCAAGGAGCTTGTCATCAAAGCTTCCGGCACCGTCAAGGAGAACATCGAGCAGGGCGCCTACGTCCTCCTGCAGGTCAAGTACGGCCTCATTCGCCTCATCAGCACGAAGGCAGATCTGTGTGACCAGATCGAGAACGTCGACCTCGAGTGCCCTATTGAGAAGGGAGCCCTTAGCATCGTCAAGTCTGTCGAGCTTCCCAATGAGATTCCTTCTGTAAGTTTCCACCTGCTGGTGTCCCTTTTAGTTGTGAACAAGTCACTGACCCTATGTACAGGGCAAGTACACTGTTCTGGCGGACGTTTACACCGCCGATGACAAGCCCATCACCTGTTTGACCGCGTCTGTCGTCTTTTCTCGCAGCAACAAGAAGAGCTTCTTCAGTCTCGAGCTCTAAAGTATTGTCAAAGGCATCATGATTGGTTTACGATGACGGAGTATGAGCATGGTTTACAGTTGCACGTAGCGATACATATCAGATTGACGTTGAGGGAGTTTCCACATCATAGCTCGGCTTTGGCATCATTACCTTGGAATACCGCACCTCGTTACTCTCATGGCTGCTTCGCTTGGGATGCTCTTTTCTTCCTTTGGAATACTTTGTTCTGCGTAGGAGTGTCGGCATGATAATGCATACGTACATAGGGCCGCGGGGTACTAGACTGGTAGCTCTCGATTTATTTTAATGATAGACCTGTATGGGCCATCCGTATCCTGCATTCTCTAACCCCATGCCGGATCTTCTCTTCTTCCCGACCATCCCAAATTTGTGCAGGCATTTGTCTACTCTCCAAACAATCTGCGCACCCTGCGCAAGACGCTGTCCTTCTCTGGGTCGTACGGGTGGTCCTTGGACGGTATCTCCAGCACGGTCGGGAATGCGGCTGTATAGGTATCGATGCGGTGTCTTATGCGGTCGGCAACCTGTCCTCTTATTAGCCTTCACCACTGTATGATGCATTTCCCCCTCTCGAGCGCAACTGACGTGCTGATTGATGAGGACGATGCCAATATCCTTCCTCGACGTAAATGATTCAAACGCAGACTCGATCGCAGCGGTATCAGTCTTGCTATCCACCACCAAGAAGTTCTTCTCCTGGTCGGCACCCGTGCTGACGTGCTGCAAAGCCGTTAGCGAACCTTGAACCGACGTTGTCGTTCGTGTATTTGAGAGAGCGCACCCCGATGCCTGCGAGGAGGAGGCCGGTAACCGAGTCCTATCGAAGCCGTCAGCTGCTGCAATCGCGCTATCATCATATCAGGCAGTCAAACCTCGTCGCCAATCACGGCAAGGAACTGCCGGTCCTTGTAGTCTGCTTGTGAAGTCATCCTGGCGGGTGACTTGTTGCGGGTTGTAGGAGAGCTTGCGGTGCCCAGGAGTCGGCGAGCGGATTGACGTACTGCCTTGATTACCTACTAGGACGGTTCGTACAGCCACAGGCCGCAACAGCCTCTTGCGGGTCCCTGGAGGTGTTAGCACTTGGCCACCTGGTACTGCCTGCGACCACCAAGGCCTACTAACAGATGCACGGATGCGACTGCTTCCTTCCATGAGACCAGCCCCACTAACCCACGACATGAGGTACGTATCTGTCTCTCAGTGTCGGTACCTTTCAATTCTTTGGACCTTGCGCATGCCACCTTACCCCTGTAGGAAGCTCTGCCTGGCGGGACAACCTCCAAAAATCAATAGACCTGGCGACGGCTTCTTTGTAAACAATTTCGCAAGCGACAACAACCACCCTCGGGCTCGTCGACAACCCCTTTCGACGCCGTTAGGCCGCCAAAACATCAACTTCGCCGGGAATATCGACAAGGAGAAACGCAATTACTCAAGGAGATGCCGCGTCTTGTCAGGAAGAAGCCGCTCGCCGAGCGCGTGAAAGCCTGGCTCAACCCGATGGACAACCTTCTATGGTTGTCGGAGGAGCTCGAGACAAGGGATTGGGACTCCAAGGCGCTGGGGACACAGCTGGGGCTCGCATTCAACTTCGCCTTCCTTCTTTCCAGAGCTAATAGCACGGTTTCGGATGTCGAGGATGATGTATTCGGGGACGCAGGTTCTGGCAGCTTCGTGACGTTCGTGGTTAGTTGTTCATCATCATACGCTTCGCGCATCGCATACGCTAATTCATCCCCAGGTTCGACCACTCGTTTGGGTTCTAGCCATCGTTTCCTTTACCAACGCATTCTACGCCATGACAAGAACGAGACAGTACCGATTGTTCCAAGTCAGTGTCGAGGACAAGCCGCATACCCCTTCAGCTCAACGAGTTAAGGCAAGATCCGATCCTTCCGTCTCTTCTCCTCTTCGACGACTAGGAAGCCTTCTTGCACCTGAAAATGCCGAGGCTCGCGCCCACCCTGATAAGCTGAGTGATGTGTGGGAACTGAGCGTTTGGGACCCTCTCCCGGTTTCTCTACAGCTCTTCTGCTTGTTCAGCCCCGGCCACGTTCTGGTCTACATGATGTTCCTTCCCCTGGTGCCCTTGGACCCGCGACCTAGCGTCACTGTCTTTAACTGCATCATTTTGCAGCTTATTCTCTCGGCGCAGCTGCTTTTCGTCCAGTCCCGATACGCCCAACAGATCAAGGACACGGCCATTATCCACAAGGAGGTTCTTCACGAGTACGACGCCAAGTTTGTGCGCCCGCGCCTTCACCCTGTTGTTCGCGATGTCGGTACGCAGTGCTCGCCTGAAGAGTCTAAAGATGAAGAGTCATTTGTCGAAGTCGGTACTCCCACAACGGTCATCAAGAAGGAATTTGTGGTCACTCCCAATCCCCACGTTAGCAAGGACGAGCCGGTTCATACACCACCTACGAGTGGGTTTGCTTCTCGTCTTTTCACACCTACATCGAGCCGGCGCTCTGAAATGTTCACGCCAGTACCTAGTTCACGACCCATCCGACAGAGCCTCCCGTCTGGGTATCAGTCTACTTCGACATCTACTTCAAACATTGGCACAAATGCTGGGTCCACAAACTTTGGTGGAAACCTTGGCGTGTTCACGCATGCGAAGTCGCCGCTTAAGAAGGCAACAAGCATGAACGATGTCAACCAAGGTTTTATGTCACCGCGGAACTCTCGGGAAATGGCGGCACTTGAACAGCGCAGGGGAGGAAGCCCGCTGAAGCATTCCGAGACAAGAAGATCAACGGGCTCCGATGCGGTGGACACACATTCAGCCAACTACAACCCTTTTGCTAGTGCGAAGAGGAATAGGACATTGCAACAACAAGAACGATACCCGTCGAGATGGTCTGGGTTCCATTAGGAAATCCAGATTTCTTCATTAAGGTGCGGTTCAAGCATAGGTATTTCAACGGTAGTTTACGGCGGACTTTTTTCTTTTGCCAAGTAGTTTCGAAACGCATCTACATCTGCAGCATACGGCGGCGTTGGGTTTTGGCGGTGGGTGGGCAATCAGGGCTGGCGTTCTTTTCCGTTAACTCTTAATTCAACCATCAGACTGAACAAGAATGAGGTTCCTCCACTCCTGCGACTGCCTCTTTGTTGTGTCAACAGTGAATACTTGTGGTGCAAGTGACAACATGATGAAATCCAACGTTTTCAGAGTTGAAAAGGTTAGTCCAGTAGTTGCGTGATCTATGGCGTTGAAGCAACAAGCCAGTTCTTGGTTGTTTTCTTCATAGTTGTTCATAGATGGACGTCAATATTGCGTCCTTATCAAGGCATATTATGCTAGGCTCACTTACACCTGTTTGCAACGGAAACAGGCCGCAAAATAACACTGGCATAGACAGCGAGTAAAGTTGCAGTAATACAACCAGACGAAAGAAGCAAATAATGTAGAAACAATCGGCAAACTTTTCCGTTGACAGTTACGTTTAAGCACCTTCCGAGTCTCCCTGCAGCAAATAACTGCGTGACTCTATCGCAAGTACGGAAGGAAAGAGAAGGCGTAATCAAGACAGAATTCGTGGGGCCGCCTTTCATTAAAAACACAGTACTTTGCGGAATAATTGAAGGTAGTCTGGTCCTCAGTACATGTCACTGTTCCATCGTTCCCCCTCCTTTATCATTACAAGGGTACCCTTTCCCCATCTTGGTCGACCACCAAGTTTTACCATCAACGTTGCAGGATATTCCCAGTGACATCTCACGGCTAACAACGCCTCGTTATTGTTTGTTTACCTCCTAAGTTGTAGCATTTTGCCTCCTAGAATGTCCCCGACATAACAATGTCTACCCACTCTGCCCCAGGCGCTGATCAGCGACTTCAAGGCCCTTCGTTTCCAGGCTTTCGCCAGAGATCCGAGGAACAACAATCCGAGGAATCGGCCACAAAGCCGACTCTCAGCTCGCGATTGAGAAGTCTCTTGCCGAGTTATCGCGCCGAGAAAGGGGGTACACTTCGAGTTAGAGGATACTGGGAGACCCACGAGAAGAAAAAGACAAAAACTCGCCGTTCTCACCGCGGATCGTCTCGGGTGGGAAAAGCCTCAAATCGCAGTGATAATTGGAACATAACTGAAGAGGCATCTAATCACATTGATCTTTCTTCAGCTGCCGAGTCTAAAATTTAGGAAGCTGGCACTGGAGCGAACGCCACGGCTACCAAAACCACACAGGAACGGAGTATAGAGGAGCGCCGACTGGCCCATTCGCAAAGGAGAAGTCTCAAAGAAAGCGGTGACTATCTTGGCGTTCAAGGTGTCAACCCTGGTACTGGGGAATTGGATGTTGTTACACCCTCTACAAGCAGCTCGGCAACCTGGGCCCTGGACCAGAAGTTGTCGTCATTTCAGAAGCCGCAGAGAAAACCTGTGGTTGATCGCAGAGGAGCTACGGTATTGACTGAGCAAGACACGAAGCGTGTCTTAAACCGCGAAAAAGAGAGATTTGCTCGGAAGGATCGAGAAAAAGAAGCGCTTCGCCGTGCTCAGGACAAGGTCCAGTGGAAGCAATATCGACAACAGTGGTCATCTGCACGTGGACCTGGCCTGAGTCCTATCGCGCAGTCATCAGGAAGCATGTCCAACCACGGTAAGTTAACAAGCTAAACACTGAGGGCAAAACTCTTTCATCGAACGACATTCGAACAGACGAAAGATCAAAATGGGACGTTGAACCACAGTTGCTGATTGGGTGCACAGGCTCAGTAACTAAGGACGGTCGCATTTCGCCGAAGCCTCGAAGAGTACAAGATCTCCTTGAGTCGGCATCGAACATCTCAGGCTCCAAGAGACTTGCACCGAAGCGTATCATAGTCGATAAGGATCACGCAGATTCTTCGGATACGATCGTACACCATTTCTACCAGAAGAATTATGATCTTGTGCCTCTTGGTGATACAGAACCCATAGGCAATGGTATCTCCTTTGATGTCAAACCATACACAACTAATCCGCCACATCACTCCAAACTTCCAGACCCGGTGTGTAACGACGGTCCAAAGTCCCCTTCGACGCAGAAAACCCCTCCTACTCCTTATTCGCTGCCTAGCGGTAACTCGAACATCACAATACTACCACAGCCCAACAACAATGCGAAACCAGCCCCTTTTTTAGTCCAGCAGCCTCTGGAGGAAGTCGAGCCGGGAGACGAGCAAGCACCCCCGGTCGATTCCATCCAGACGGCGCAATTGAGCGTAGGAAAGAACGATTTGCAAAAACGAACTCTATCAGACCAACTGAGCAGGAAAAAATTGGGGATGATTCCGTTGCCCCTCGGTCATTCGGGCACAACCTTGAACAACAAACAATCGGCCAGCAATCTCAGCCGAGTCTTTTCCCTGGACAAAACCCACGAACTTCAGAACCACTGGCCGGAACAACAGAGAACAGAGAATCCCATCATAGAAGACTACTTTCACCCGATGGCATACGAACAGAATCCTCAAATGCACGCAACCCAGGCCTTCGATACCCAGAACGAAACCACAAGAGAACAGGTTCTCACACTCGAAGCAAATCCGTACGTTTCGAAGATGAAGACATCAGCCAAGCCTCCCATGAAGGAAGTTACAGTGACCTTATCCCGGTCAGGGTCATCTTCGACACATCTGCTTCCTTCAGTAATTCCAAAGCCGTCACCAACAGGCAAGAGGGCCAAGGATTATCTTCAGGATCCAGTTGGCAAACATCTCGGGATGGTGGATTTCATACCAACCCAGGAGAGCTTTCTCCCAACGGAAGAGATGGGGATCAGAGAAAAGTCGACACCACATTGCATTCCAATGTGGACTATATCAAACCAGGAACAGGCCGAGGATCGGACGGCAACCAACAGTGCTCTCATGCACACCACCACCACTACTGGCTTCGACCAAAGTCTTGGTATGCTGAGCCAATGCGAAGAGCCCCAAGACAGACAAGGGAGCGAAAGGTGGAGTGTAATGACACATCGACACTCAAGTCGGCTATACGACGATCAAATGTCAACATCGACAGACGAGACATCAGCGGTACCATTTCAGTGCCGCCCCAGCAATCTAGCGGAACAGTCGGCAGAGAACGAACCAGCGACGTCGGCTCATTACCAGTTATGCAGCCCAGCATCGACGTCGACAGACAGCTGTCCAGAAAAGCCGGCACATTACCGAGCAAGCAATCCCATATTGACAACCAAGGGAGGCAGCCGACCGAAGTCAGTTCATTTCCGCTTCAACAGCCCGGTGCTAAGTTCACGAGAAAACAACCCCACAACGTCTCCTCCTTGCCGGCTCAAGTGCCCGGGACGCGGTCAGGCTCTGGTTTCGAGAGACAGCGATCTGATACAGACCCTCCCAAAGCCTGCGATCCGGGAGGTGGCCGTGAGGTCATATGCAAGCAATTCCCTTGTGGAAGAGAACCTTCAGGTGGACTTGACGGAGGACTCTGTCACATCACACACGTCCACGTCTATATTACCCCTGAGCGTCTTGGGGGAAGCCGTTCACCACATCTACAAAACGAACAAAACTTTAGAAATGCCCAGGCCCGCATTGCCAGAGTTGGACAACAGGACGGTGGAAACTCCGAAAAGAAGCGTTCCAGTGAGCAAGAGAGGAAATACAGACGCTCACAACTTGAAGAGCTTACCTCTCAATGGCGTAGTCAGAACCAGGATACAAAATGGTGTCCACATGATCAAAGCAGCCAACAAGAGCAAAGCAATTCGGAAAGGCCGCAAGGCCAATGGTGCGATTCCGGAATTGATCAAGCATGCCAAGTCCCATTTGGTAACGATGCGAGGCGACTCCAACTCGAGCACAGCATCTTTGGAGAGTCGCAACATGCAAGTCGCGAAATCGGAGGCTATCACGAATGGAAACCTACTGTTTTTGGACAAACAGAGCAACCGCAATCAACACAAACAGCACAAATTGGTGAGGCAAGCGCTATACAACAAGTGCAACACGACACTGCCACCCAACCCGGTCAAACAAGTCAGTCTAAAGAATCTAGCCACGTCGACGGTTGGCTGCAACGGCTCGACTACCCGGAAGGCCAACCGCTCCGAAGACGGCGCCATCGAAAGTCATTTGCGAAGAGAGGAATGGAATAGGAAGATGCAGGAACACGCCACTCAAGGCCAGCAGCTCGTGATTAGCTTGGCCAAGTCGTACTGGGAACTCATATCACCATGCTTCGTTCCGACATCGCCTCTCAGACAGCGAGTCGATGCTTACAAGTCGACCTGGGCAGACGTTTGGGTGGTCCTGCTTGCGTTGATCGGCGGTTTCATCTCATTGGCGGCAGCAATCCGGACGTCACAGGGGATCGCATGGGTGATGCGGATGATGCGAACCATGCTGGGGATCTGAAAGGCATGCTGGGGGATATTTGATTGTGATTTACGGTTCCTGGCAGCCGGTGGTTTGACAGAAGAGGGCAGCTGTGGAGGAAAGCTTGGCGTTCAAGCCCGACCAACCGCCGATCGGCGCAGTAGGGACCGGGATGGCTGTGCGGCCCTGTCACGCCGTACATCGGCTGGGTTGGGGGAGAGGGTGTCAGGGTGTGTGTGCGATAAGGCGAGTCCGAAAGCGCAGTGTGAGAAAAATGATACGAGATTGACGGCCACTGTTGAGCTTGTGTGGGGTAGGAGAGTGGACAAGCATGCAGAAGGGTAGGGAAGCGGTACGGCTAGCCAGTAGCGTAGAGGTAGATTGGCGATACAGTATCGATATGTGGCATGGTTAACTCTACTCAGTGATGTGCATTGCAGAACGGGCGCTGAGTTATGCGTGGTGCTTGATGAAAGGTCGGCACCTCGGGTCTAAATGTCGAGTTTTGTAATAAGCTCCGGTTTAGTTTGGGGCGAGTGTTGGGATCACCGTAGGAGACACGGCCGATGCGGTGAGAGCTGAGTGACTGGGAGTCAGTCTTTTCAGGAAGGTCTGGCTTCACAAATCACACAGTAGCCTGGTCGGCGCCGATCTAGACCGTTTGTCAAGTGGTTATGCGGTTATGTAGTGTAGCGTCATCATCGAGTAAGCGCTGTACTGACTGTTGCATACATATCTGCGACAGTTTTGTGTGATACGCGTGTACGGAGCCTATTACGCTCCAGTCCAATGCAACACGTTGCCAAGTACTGGCTGAGGACTGCCGGCGTCGGGATCGAAACCGGTCCCTCTCTCTTTCTCTCTCTCTCTCTCTCTCCCACTCTGCCTCAACTGCAATGTACCACAGGATCCTGTCGATCACGCACATGAAGATACAAATGAGACCAGCGCGACAACGGTAATGTAGAGACGGCAAACGACGGATGGAAACGGGGGCAATTCTGGGTCCGTTCAATTCAAAGGTACAACTCGGACACATGAAAACTCAAAGACTTGCTGTTTTCGGCGGAACTGAGCCCCTACAAGCCCATATTACTCGTCAGATTGCGGGCTCTAGGTGGCTCACGTGCATCTGTATAGTCAAGCGTGTGGCCCAAGGAGAAAAAAAAAATTAATCAGACCAAAGAGAAAAAAAAAAAAGAGGCCCCCTTACGCTGTGAAGACTCATAGAGGGGCAACCCGCCCATGTGCCCAGTTTTGCCCGTCTCATCCACTAATCTCTCTCATGGCCAATTTCGTGGCAGCATTTGGAAGGTTCTGAGCGGACCCCTCGGGGCAGGGCACCTGGCTGTGGCGGGCCAATCCACTGCCGTCATTTGCAAATCAGGGCGCTGTACCCCGCGTTCCGGCGACCGGACCCGCCCCTGGCTGGAGCTGACGCCTCCGATGATCGGAACAGATTCGTTCCAAAGCTTCATGGCTTTGGCCATTTTGTTTCGTTAGGAAGGTACGTTGCGGGCACTTTTGTGAAGACGCGGGGCGCGGCCTCTTCCTTGCTCAGACTCGTATCGTTTGTTGATTCAGTGTTCCCCCAACTCTAAGAAGTAAAGGGTACCTGACATAGTACCGGACTCCCTTTATTTCAGTCCACACCATCAGGTCGAAGGCCTCCCGGTCCGGCAGATACATATTGAGCTGTTCTTCCCCCACATCCTGCCACCCTCTCTCCGACACAGGAAATTTCTACCTTTTTCTTCTACTCTTTTACTCTCCCTCCCTCTCCCCAATTCCCCCCTTTTACACTTTCTCACGACTCCTCCTGTTTGCTTCTTGATTCCAATCGGACCAGTTCTCTCTCTCACTCTTTACAAACCATCCCCCCCACTTGATTGAGAGTCTCCGAGTGAAAAGAGGATACTCAGATCCCGTCCCTTATCGTGAGGACACTGCTTGCTTTTGGATTTCGCTTTCCGGTTATACACTTGCACAATGCCTGTCGCCGAAGGTACCCCGCAGACTCTCTACGACAAGGTCCTCCAGGCCCACGTCGTTGATGAGAAGCTCGATGGCACAGTTCTTCTGTACATTGGTAAGTCAAACTCCGGAACGAGCTCTGCTTTGGTACCTAAAAACGGTTGAACTCTTACTGACGGTGGTTGCGCAATAGACAGACATCTGGTTCACGAGGTTACCTCTCCTGTATGTGACGCCTCTTTTTTTTGGTCCGCCTTCGGATGACGTCGGTGTTCCGAACCCCACCACAACAGCCCACTAACAAAGCCTGCAGCAAGCCTTCGAGGGTCTGAAGAATGCCGGCCGTAAAGTGCGCCGTCCGGACTGCACTCTGGCGACAACTGATCACGTAAGTCATTAATCCCATGCATGCACTTCCCCTAAAAGCCGCATTTGCTGACTCCATGGGACGACAGAATGTCCCCACTTCGTCGAGAAAAGGCATGAAGGACATCGGCTCCTTCATTGAGGAGGATGACTCTAGGGTTCAGTGCGTCACTCTGGAGGAGAATGTCAAGGACTTTGGCCTCACATACTTTGGCCTTGGCGACAAGCGCCAGGGTATTGTCCATGTCATTGGCCCTGAGCAGGGCTTCACTCTCCCCGGCACAACTGTTGTCTGCGGAGACAGTCACACCTCCACCCACGGCGCCTTCGGTGCCCTGGCTTTCGGTATCGGTACCAGTGAGGTAGAGCACGTCCTCGCCACCCAGTGCTTGATTACCAAGAGGAGCAAGAACATGAGGATACAGGTCGACGGCGAGTTGGCTCCCGGCGTCAGCTCCAAGGACGTTGTCCTCCACGCCATCGGCAAGATCGGAACTGCCGGAGGTACCGGTGCCGTCATTGAGTTCTGCGGTTCTGTTATTCGCAGCCTCAGCATGGAGGCCCGCATGTCCATCTGCAACATGTCTATTGAGGGTGGCGCAAGAGCCGGCATGGTCGCCCCCGACGAGATCACCTTTGAGTACCTCAAGAACCGCCCCCTCGCCCCCAAGTACAATTCGGACGAGTGGCACCGCGCCACCAAGTACTGGAAGTCCCTCCAGTCCGACCCCGAGGCCAAGTATGACATTGACGTCTTCATTGACGCCAAGGATATCATCCCCACAATTACCTGGGGTACTAGCCCCGAGGACGTTGTCCCCATCACCGGCACCGTTCCCGATCCCGAGACCTTCTCCACCGAGGCCAAGAAGGCTGCCGGTCGCAGAATGCTGGAGTACATGGGTCTGACCGCCGGCACTCCCATGGAAGACATTGTTGTCGACAAGGTCTTCATCGGCTCTTGCACTAACTCCCGTATTGAGGATCTGCGTGCCGCTGCCCACGTCGTCAAGGGCAAGAAGATTGCTTCCAACATCAAGCGCGCCATGGTCGTTCCTGGCTCCGGTCTGGTCAAGACTCAGGCCGAGGCTGAGGGTCTGGACAAGATCTTCTCTGACGCTGGTTTCGAGTGGCGTGAGGCTGGTTGCAGTATGTGCCTGGGCATGAACCCCGACATCCTTGCCCCCAAGGAGAGATGCGCAAGCACTAGCAACAGAAACTTCGAGGGTCGCCAGGGTGCCGGCAGCCGGACGCATCTCATGTCCCCCGTCATGGCTGCTGCGGCTGCCGTTGTCGGCAAGTTGGCTGATGTCAGGAAACTGTCTCAGTACAAGGCCAGCCCTCACATTGAGGCTGCCATCACCCCTCTCGAGCCCCATGTCGATGAGCGCATCGAGGAGAGCGCTGCGGACAAGGACGCTATCGCTGACATGCCCGAGGACAACGAGCCTCACACCAACACAACCGCCGCCGCCGCCGCTGGTGCTGGCGGCTCCACCGGCCTCCCCAAGTTCACCAACCTCAAGGGCATTGCTGCCCCCCTGGAGATGTCCAACGTTGACACCGACGCCATCATTCCCAAGCAGTTCCTCAAGACCATCAAGCGCACTGGTCTCGGAAAGGCCCTTTTCTACGCCCTGCGCTTCAACGAGGATGGGTCCGAGAACCCCAAGTTCGTCCTCAACAACGAGCCCTACCGTAGCTCCAAGATCCTTGTTGTCACTGGCCCCAACTTCGGCTGTGGTAGCTCAAGAGAGCACGCCCCCTGGGCCTTGAACGACTTTGGCATCAGGTGTATTCTCGCGCCCTCTTTCGCCGATATCTTCTTCAACAACACTTTCAAGAACGGCATGTTGCCCATCGTCATCCCCGACCAGGCGAAGCTTGAGAGGATTGCCGACGAGGCGCGCGCTGGCAAGGAGGTTGAGATTGACCTTCCCAACCAGCTCATCAAGGATGCTGCCGGCAACACCCTCGCCAGCTTCGATGTCGAGGAGTTCCGCAAGCACTGCCTTATCAACGGTCTCGACGACATTGGCCTGACCATGCAGCTCAACGACAAGATCACTGAGTACGAGAACCGCATGTCCAAACTTACTCCTTGGCTCGACGGCACCAGCTACCTCAAGAGGAACCCAAAGACTGGCCAGCTCCTCGCCAAGGCTGTCCCCGTTCCCAAGACGAACCGGGGAGAGACCAAGACGGAGCCTCTCGAGTGGTAAAGGAACAAAGGGATAGAAAAAGGAAATCGGTTTTCGGAGTTTTTAACAGTAACGTGTATACGATACGATGGGTTTATTGGCTTTTCTGAGCATATTTTGTATGCTGGCGGCGATTGGGAGATCAAACTTTTAGGGATTGGTTACATGGCTTTCTATAACAAGCCGAAAAGTTATTTATGTCAATGTAGGGTAGATGCGCAGCAAAACAGAGCTTTCGCAAGACCAATGTTTTTTGCACACCCTTTTTTCAAAACCAACTTTCCAGAATCTCGTCTGCTCTTCTTTTTTCCCCCTTGGTGAAAACTGTATTGATGGTAGTAGGAACGACCGCATCTAGATCTCGAAACGGGACTCTCTAAGGATACCCATGTGAACCACAAACCCAGCCTCGATCCGGAGCCCCTCGGGCAACAGCGAATCCGGGACGCGCCAGACGCGAAACTTGTCGTGAAAACTCTTGGCCCATTCCTCAAAGACGTCGGGGCTGCGCAGCTGCTGGGCCACTATGCAAACGCACGGCTCGGACCGAACCGCCGCCTCCTCCTCCTTCTTCTCCCCTTCCCCCCCTTCCTCGTCTTCCTGGGCGCGGAGGCGGAGACGAGCGAGGTCGGCGGTCGTGGAGACGAGGGGGTCGACGAGCGCCTCGTTGTAAATGCAGTCGCAGCACACCACGGCGTCGAAGCTGCGGGCCGACGGGGACCCCGTCAGGTCCGGGGTCGGGGTGTCGAGTTCCCAGTCCAGAGAGCGGAACTCGATTACCCCCCCTTGACCAACCCCGGCAGCAGCGTGGGAAGCGGACGAAGAAGAAGAAGAAGAAGAAGAAGCTCCGCTTCCGCCTCCGCCTCCGCCTGCCTTTCGTCTGCGGGAGGAAGAGGACGATTTCGTCGCGGCGGACGATGCTAAGGGGTTCGCTTCGAGGTTCTGGTGGATCATGCGCGAGACGTAAGGTTGGTCTGTCAGGATGTAGCGGGATATCCGCGGGGCGAGGAGGAGGGCTGTCAGGGGTGATATTCCGCAGCCTAGTTCTAGCACCGTGGAGGAAGGGTGGAAGATGGTGGCGAAGGGTGAGGTCGGGGAGGAGAGGTAGGATGCGAAGACGGGGGTGATTTTCCAGAGGACTGGGGAGTTGAGGTTAGTTTTGCTTGAAGCGTGATTCTCCATGAAAGAAAAAAAAAAAAAATATGAGTGCCCCGGTTTCCATGAGGTCGAGAGTAGGTGAAAAGGGGAGGAGATCTGATTAAGGTGAGGCTGCTCACCTGCGCCGGTTGTACCGCCTGCGCGGGTCGATGAGAGGACGGTGGGGGATTGATGGATGGTGAAATCTCGGTCCGCTAAAGTCAGCGAGAGAGATGTCGCTTTGGGGTCGATGAAGCCCAGATTCGATGAGGGGATTTTGTGCGAGAAGAGGAAGAACGTTTCTGGGGTGCTTTTGTAAGTCGCTGGTCATGACGCTGGAAGGCTATTTTTGGTTACCTTCTTCCGGATCAAGGATTTCATCCTCGAGAGTGGAGATGAGGGCTTTTACGGCCATGGTTGTGAGGCGATTATGAGACCTGTAAACTGACTTGGTGGTGTTGTATGAGTCGCGATTCAATGTTGGCAGGTTTTTCGGACTATAGCATCCATTTGTGAGAGGTTGTCGGTGGGTGATGTGGGTGGAATTGAGAATGTGAGGTGGGTTTGAGCGGGATCTGCACTAACAATTTTTCAAGCAGAGCCAAAGCCGACGACATGACCTGGTGTTGATCCTCTTTACCCATTCCTACCCGATTAAACTTTCTGGTTTGTTTCCTCAAACTGATTCAAGTTCTAGTTTTAAGTAAGATTTATCTGCTCTCATTTTACTTTATCATAAACGTAGAAACTATGTAGTTCTTCAAGCCCTGTTCATCACCAAGCTAAATCTACGGGGCTGGCGAGAAGTAAACATTAAGGGAGTAAGATGGTTCAAAAGAAAACAACAAAAAGATATTAAGTAACGTGCTTCAAAATATTAATTATTCAGGTTGATATAGAATATTCAATGAGTTTGGTTCAGTCTTCATGTTGTCGCCTTCCGTCTTCCACATTCTTAGGCATCAAACAAGGAAGCCTAAGAGGCTAAATGGTCGGGTTTTTGAAGAATATCACTGCAGCAAGAACAATGCAGACAGTAGTAGACTTAGGCAGACACTTTTGTGGTGAGAGGCACCAGTGCATACCGGAACACCTACGACAGGCGTAGTATTCTTATTTGTCCCTGTAGCCTTAGAAGCCAAGCGGTGTCTATGCAGCAGCCAAGTCATCGGTTTTGGTTTATTATTCTTTCAAAGTTGTGCCTAACCCTGCCTTGATAATCAGTGATGTACCAAGACTGAAAGATCTGCTAGAAAGTATTTGCATCTTCATTCTGTTGACTGTCTTCTCAAAAAACCTATTTCAAACGTGTTGAGTTCCGTATGAATTTCTATCACAAGTCTATGCATGCTGGATGCAAGCATAAGGATGACGCTATCTGGGAGTTCCTCTTCATTGATTTTATACATGATGGGAATATTGTGTAAATATCTGTTTGTGAGCACTACTCTTTGTAATAAAGTGAAGTCGTGAATGATTCTGCATTTTCGTTTGTTGGTTTGCTCTGGTTCTCTTTTGCATTCCATATCGCAGATGCCTGGTCATTGTCCCCAAAAAGCCCAACCGACTGTATTGAATTTAGAAGGAAGGATGTCGGAGGCCGGCAAGCACCTTCCTCTACCGACTATTTAAATCTCTTCTTACTCTTCTCACCTCTTCCTTTTCTCAACCATTCCCCCTTCTCACTTCTCAACTCCTCCCACTTCCAACTCTTTACGTCTTAACGTTCTTGTCCTTTCTCAAAAACACATCTTAATCATCTTTCATCTCAGCTTCACTGGTTAGCTTTCGTCATGGCTCCAGTGCAGTCAACGCCTCAGACGCCAGGTTTGGGTAACCGCCATTTGCTGGATAAAATCGATCGACTTCGTGAGCTTGGAATCTCTAAACAGGTTCCTCTTCCACAGGTGAGTAAAGTGAGTTTCTTAATTTGAAATGTTTGTTAACAATTTGGTTTCCTCTAGCTCGTTGTCGTTGGAGACCAGTCATCTGGCAAGTCAAGCGTCCTGGAGAGCTTGACAGGATATTACTTCCCCCGTTCGGTTGGACTTTGCACTCGACACGCCACGGAGATCGTGTGCAGACGTGAGCAAGAGACTAGCATAGTAGTCACGGTCCATCCCGTCGATGCCACTCCGGAAAGGGAGGAACGCGCAAAGTCGTTCAAACAAGTGCTGAAGGACTTGAAAGGAGAAGAATTTGCCAATGTTCTTAAGAAGGTGGGGTTCAAGTTACGCTGCAAGTTACAAGTATATTGACTTAATTGGCTTTGGAGGCTTCTGAGGTGATGGGATTGCAGTCAGCTGCCAACACATCCTCTGGTGCTGCCTTCAGCAAGGACATCCTTCGTGTGGAGATTTGTGGCCCTGAAGAAGAGCACTTGACCATCATTGATGTTCCCGGTAAGTCGGAGCCCTGAGTTCAGTGACAAAATCTCACTAATATTGTTGCCAGGAATATTCGAGAACCCTCAAGAAGGTACGTCGGGTATAAGTCTTATCCGAGCACGCCTTATCTCAATGCGACTACGTTGTGCATGACACTCCCTTCTTCGTCGAAAATATCTGCGTATTCTCTTAAACTATTCAGGGGGTTTATCGCAGGAGTGCACAGAATAGGTGTGGGGTATATTGAGGAGTTGTGCTAATTATCTGCAGGTGTCACAACCGCTCAGGACGTGGCTTTGGTCAAGGCCATGGTGAAGGAGTACATCAAAGATTCCAGAACAATGTAAGCCATAAATATTGCAGCATATGCGCAACTACTAATCTTAACGTCTAGAATTCTTGCTGTCATTCCCTGCAATGTTGATGTCGCAACCCAGACGATCTTAACCTATGCCGCTGAGGCTGATCCAGATGGAAAGCGGACCTTGGGCGTCCTCACAAAGCCAGACCTGGTTAGTGAGAACGCTACTAAGATGGCCGTCATGGATCTTGTCCGCGGAAAGAGACGTGATATTCAACTTGGATATTACGTGGTCAAGAATCGAAGTGCGGATGATACATCTTCCAACAAGGAAGAGCGAGACTTGCAGGAGGAGGAATTCTTCGGCAAAGACCCATGGTCAAAGCTCGATAAGTCACGTCTGGGAATTTCTGCTCTACGCAAACGCCTGCGTGAGCTACTCATGGATCGCACCAAGAGCGAGTTTCCCAAGGTGAAGCGCGACATCATTGCAAAAATTCATGAAGCGAAGGGTCGGCTTCAAGCATTGGGAGAGCCTCGCAGCAACGCAGATGAACAGAGAGCCTTCCTTGGCAAAATCGTCAGTCGATACTGTGAGCTCAAGAAATTCGGGCTCGATGCCTACTACACTGCCGATCCTGTGTTTGAACACAATCCCAAGCTTAAGCTGGTGACTCGAATTCGCGAGATGAACACTGCTTTTTCTCTGATGTTCTTCGAGAAAGGCCATCTCCGCAGCTTTGAGGCTTTGAATGCTGGCAATCGAGGAACACAGGGGGGCTCAAGCGAATCCGACAAATCCGACGAAGTCGACGAAGACGAGGCGGTGGATGACTCTGCCTGGGACGAGCTTTACCCACTTTCGTTTATTATGCCTCTAGATCAACTCGACGATGTAGAAGAGGTTCTGTCCGAACCTGCCGACTGCTCCGAGCCCGAGGTCGGCACAATCATGGAACACCTCGAGAAGCTATTTGTTACTTCTCGTGGTTATGATCTGGGCACTGTGAGTGAAGTGCCTTCTACGACTTGTGATTATTAACTGACGTTACTGCAGTTTGGAAGCCACATGTTACCCATGGCTTTCAAAGAACAGTCCAGTAAGTGGGAGTCCATCGCGTTAGCACATGTCAGCAGTGCCATTCTCGTTGTGCACCATTTCATACACGGGGTAGTTCGAGAGGCATGCGGCGATGAACAAGTCCGCGATTTGCTTTGGTCATCTATGCTCGAGGACCTCACCAAGCGATATGAAGCGGCCATGAAACATGCCAGGTTCCTGATCCACGTTGAGCGCGACGGTCGCTCGATCACTTACAACCCTGCTTTCGACCGGGCTTTCAGCCTCGTTAAGAGCAGTAGATTTGCGGACCAGCACAAGTCTTCCAAGGTGAGGATCCGGTATAATGAAACTCTTGTCGACGTCGTTCGATGGGATGATCTGAACCGGCCGAAGACCGATGCTCAGGGGCTCAAAGAGACCTGCTGTGCTATCCACGATCTTCTCAAGAGCTACTATGACATTTCAAGTGCACGCTTCATCGATATGGTCTGCACGCAAGTCGTCGACCATTTCCTTGTTGGCGGCGAGGACAGCCCCCTGGGAGTTCTCTCTCCCAACCGGCTCTTTGGTATGTCGGAGGAGGAACTGGAAATGATAGCTGGAGAGGATTCGATCAGCAAGAGCACCCGCGAAATGTTGATCGCCAACATCCTGATGCTCGAGGCAGGCAAGAAGATTCTTTGATGGAGGTCAAGTGTGAACCTTGCCAGGGATGAGTGACGTTTCGGTGGTGTTTATTGTTGGCTTGTGGCAGAAGTTGGTTTCTCAACTGCCAAATAGGGATAGGCATTCGTGATACCAAAAACAGTGCATGAGAATCTGTTCCTGCTAATCTGTCCCATCAGAATGGCATATTGAATTCTGCTCCTACTGTATTGCCGGGAACATTGGAATTGAACACTCTTGAACTTACACCCGGCATACGGCATGTCAAAAGCCTTGGCCCCCCGGGTTTTTGACGAGCCAATTTCTTGCGGTGTTAAATAACAGTAGACCCCACCCGGAACCGGACGTAGTGGGAGGGTTCCGTTCCGGAGAAAAAGTGGAACTCAAATTGGCCGTTCACAACAGCGCGGAGCAGCCCATGGCAAGACATGGACCAGCATGATCAGTGATGCTTTCCTCGTTATCGTTCTCAGTCTGGTAGTTTGAAACTGATGCCGAACTCAGAACTCACTGGGGTTGTGACAGGGGAATCAGGCAGTGCAAGACAAGAACCCTTATGGTGCCCCCCGGGCCCCCCCGCGAAAGTGTTCTTCAACCGGCGATATACTAAAACGCGTAGGCGTCAAGTGTCTCGGAACCTGAATTGAACAGCTGCTGCCATAAGATGTTGCTGAGAACGGTTCAGTTCGTGTAACGACAACCACATCAAGGGAAGGAGTACCTGGGCTTGCACATGGTGTCCAGAATCAAAGCTGCCATGGGAACTAGCCTGAGTCAAAACAAACTAAGTCGAATCAGTGATCCACCCAAAGCCGCTGTGAGGTATTTAGACATTTTGAGGGTGGAACCTCCCAGGCGGCCGATCAGAAAGCTTGTTCCAATTCCAAGGTCGCATCGACCCACGTGACCGCCCAAAGACATGCCGTGCCTGTCCACGTTTGGGTCTAATATCCGCCCGACCTCCCACCTCCCACCTCAAGCTGTGGGCAATTGAAACTCGATATCGTTAAAGACGTCGCACAACCGTGGTCGTCTGACAACGACAACCACCACCACCCGCGTCTAAATTATCTGAGAAAACCTCAGGGGCTCTCCCGGTCCGCGTTGTAAGGGAATGCACTAATGCCGTTTATTTCCGAACGCCATCCATACGCACTGCGCCCCGTTGCTCACTTAGAGTAACCCAGACACACGAGACATAGCTCGCTTTTCTTAGCCCGTTAACCTCTCTACCCACATTGCATCCACATTGCATCCCACATACGCCCGATTAAACCCCTGGCACGAGGGGGACAAGGATGCAGCGGGCGGACCTACGTCGTACGCAAGCTCACTAGCCCAGACGACCATCTGGACCACTCTGATCTCAATTTTTCCACTCTCCGGCACCTGCCTGCCATCCATCTGCCGCCATGGGTAGAGTATCCGACGTCGCTACCTCCGCCTACAAGTCCGTGAGGGGCCTCCTCACGGGCGAGGCATATAAATACAGCTCGATCCCTGACGACGAGGGGAGAGAGGTCCCTGAGACGGACGAACAGCCCGACACTAACTGGTCCGACCAGACACGCCGACTTCTCATTCTCATAATAAGCGCCATGGTTTTCGCAGCCGTACTTTCATTAGCCCTTGGCTTCAGGTGAGCCTTTGATAACTACAACTCACATGAGATGTATCCATGTGAGGAAGCTGAATTGAGCCATCTAACTAACGCCACTCGCAGTCTTGTCAGCGGCCAGGCGCCGGGTGACAACACTGAATCCATCTCTCAGTTCTGGGGACAGTATTCCCCCTTCTTCTCGGTGCCGTCTGAGATCAACACCGCAACGCCTGAAGGCTGCGAGATCACCTTCGCACAGGTTTTATCCCGACATGGCGCCCGAGACCCCACCGCCGGCAAGACCAAAGTCTACAAGGACCTTGTCGACCGCATCCATACCAGAGTGACAACCTACGGCAGGGGGTTCGAGTTCATCAAAGACTACCAGTACACCCTCGGCGCCGACGAGCTCACTGAGTTTGGCCAGCGGCAGATGGTTGACTCGGGAGAGGCCTTCTACAAGCGTTATCAGCCACTGGCTTCCCAAGCAAACCCCTTTATTAGATCCTCGGGCCAAAGCCGGGTCGTTGCGTCGGGTCTCAATTGGACTGAGGGCTTCTATGGTGCCAAAATCATTGACGGCCATAACGGACCCGACGGAGGACTCAGCGGACAGATCATGGTGATTCCCGAGGAGAAGGGCATCAACAACACATTAGACCACAGCCTGTGCACGGCATTCGAGCAGGGCAACTTCTCCAAGGTTGGAGACGACGCGCAGGTCGCCTGGCGTCAAGAATTTACGGCCCCCATTGTTACGCGGCTCAACGCAAACCTGCCTGGCGTGAACTTCACTCCTGAGGACGCCGTGAGCTTTATGCAGCTGTGCCCATTCAACACGGTGGTCAACGGCACCCAATCGCGGTTCTGCGACCTCTTCACGCTGGACGAGTGGAAGGACCTCGAGTACTACGAGACGCTGGGCAAGTATTACGGCTTCAACGCGGGCAACCCGCTCGGACCGACGCAGGGTGTCGGCTTCACTAATGAACTCATCGCGAGGTTGACGAGGCAGGCGGTGGTGGATAACACATCAACAAACTCGACGCTCGACGCCGACCCGGAGTCGTTCCCGCTCGACAGGGTGCTGTATGCCGACTTCAGCCACGACAACGACATGATGAGCATCTACGGGGCGCTAGGTCTCTACAACGAGACGACGCCGCTGTCCCAGACGGCGCGGACGTCGGTGCAGGATGCCAGGGGCTTCACGGCCAGCTGGACAGTGCCTTTTGCAGCACGCATGTACGTTGAGAAGATGAAGTGTGGGGGATCGGACGAGGAAATGGTTCGGATTCTCGTCAACGACAGGGTCGTTCCCCTGGTTGGATGCGGTGCGGACGACCTTGGACGATGCAAGCTGGGTGCGTTTGTGAACAGCCAAAAGTTCGCAAGGAGCGGCGGACGCTGGGACCAATGTTTCGTGTGATACCCAAGAATAGGCTTCTTTGGTTGCATTTGTGGGGGATATTGTTTTGTTAAAGAGGATTATGTAACGGTAATTAATTGCAACCTCAATAGAGTTGAGTAGACATGGAGGTCGAGCCCACTACCGCAAAAGCGAAAGAGTGTCAAGTGTCAAGTGTCTTTGTTTTAGGGGGTGCGCTAGGTTTCAGTGACAGGGACATTTAGGGTCTGATCTTTGCAGGCGTCAGCCGGCGAGGCGACGACCTGTGGGAAACATGTTTCCTGCAGCTGCTGAAGAAGACGAAGAACGGCGTGATAGTGGCCAGTGGTTCAAGCTACATACATGCATATTCCGGTTGACAAGATGCCATGACATGCATACATAGTTAAAGAGCGTGCAGGCGACGTTGGTGCGTTTAAGGGGGTGATTGATTGAGTAGCTGTCTCGGCTGCAAGGGGAAGACGCCTTCATGAGAGAAGGGGAAAAACCAAAAAGCACGATGAAAATGCTCCGATGGCAGGGGGTTCAGAGCTGGTTTCGTTTACACTACAGGTTTCGCTAAAACGCCCATTTGACGGGGGGAGCGAGCAAACAAAATGCGCTATGGGCACGGATGGGAAAAGCTCTTCCAGAACGGGTGGGCAAAACGCACGTCATTGGATTTATCTCTCTCTCTTAAGGCCCCTACTTAACCTGTCTTCGGCCATCCAGGACCGGATTTCCGGGAGTTGCTGCCGACTTGACCGTCCGGGGGGCAGAGCTTACGGTCAACCTTTTTTTTTTTTTTTTTTTTTTTTTTCCTTTTTCTTCTTAACCGACCGTCCAACATTGAAGTGGGTGCTGCATCGGCCTTGGAATGCGCACCATCTTTTGGCCCATTCGCCAGCGTGCAGTCTCTCTCGTTCTTCAGCAATATGCAAACAAATATGTGATTGGGCAGCTATAGGCAATCATCAGAGCTAACGCACCAACCATTTACTACGTAGGGAGGCGCGGGCTCCACCTTTGAAATTCCATTCCCACTGCTAGTAAAAAAGCAGCAAACTGTTGGCCAAGCTCTGGAGAGGAATGGAGCTACTAGTACAAACTGGAGCTGGACCTCGCTTGGAGTCGCTAAGAGGGAGCCTAATTGCCCATCTCCTCCACTCTCCCTCACCCCCCGAAAAAAGAATTGGGGAGAGAGAGCAGGTTTGCGGCAGCAGTCGGTGACGGAGACCGCGGACTTACAGAAACGGGCATTGCTGTAATTGGCAGCTGCTATGTTCACTATTTGCACATCACCCGCTGGGGTGCAGGGTGCAGGTTGGCTGCTGCAGCCGCCTGGTCTGGTCGAGCTTGGTCTTGTCTTTGCGCTCTCCAACTTATCCCATCCTATCCGGCCTGGGGCCCTTTTACCACCTTAATTCACCTCACCTCTGGTCATCTCGACCCCTCAGGGAAAATACCAAGGCCACAAGATAAGAGAGAGAAAAAAAGTCAACTGGAGTTTGGGTGCTGACCTGTCCTGAACCCACCGCCTCACCTCATCAAAACAAGGTTTTGTTGCCGGGCTTTGCGTGCTGTTCATCATTCAGCTTACTTTTCCCGCCTCTGCGTACCCTTTTTTTATTTTTCTCACTCATCCTCTTCTTCTGTGCCACGCAATCGCGTGCTTTTTCCTCCATTGTCCGGCGCTCGCTTGGTCGCCCGCGCATGCCACAGCCAAAGCTCAGGCGATAACAGTGACTGCGACAAACATCATCACACACTTTACTGTCCGCTACCACCCCCTTGCCCCATGAGCCGGACCCCCATCGCCTACCGGATACCTTCAACCACCATCACCATCTCCACCACTACCACCACTACCACCATCGATTGATACCCTGTGCCACAACACCTCTCAAAGCGACGGATTCTCGTCGCAATTGAATCGCCATCATGGTGTCAGCCGCCGGAGGCATCGTTATCGCCATTCTGGTCCTTGTCGTCCTGGGCGGCGTCGGTTGGGTCATCTTCACTCAGCTGCGCGCCCGGAGACTAGGCGTAAGTCAAACCCACCCCTGTAGATCTCTCGTCATTGCCTCAACTTGCGCAAAAAATATCGTCGCATCGCATCTTAATTTTCCGGGTGCTAACGTCCTCGTCAATAGCTCCCGCCTCCTTCACTCTCCTCGTACATACCATTCCGAAAATCCGATCCACCGTCTTACGGACCCCCGCGCCCAGCGCCCAGCGGCATTGTTGGCTGGTTCAACAACAAGATCACCTCCTTCAAGAACCGCAACAACCGTTCTGCGGCCGGCGCTTACGAGCAGCCCTCTGGCGGCACTGCCCGCCGCGGCTTCGGCCCCCTCGATCCCGATGAAGCCTGGGACACGCGCGTTGGCCATGAGGCGGAGACCTACGGCCCCTACGGCAACTACGAGGAACAGGAGCTCGGATACCGCGGCGGCGGAAGTGCCGCCGCTGGAGGCAACAGCTATAACATGAACCTGGCCTCCACCCCCGGCGTGCACGACGAGCCTCGGGGCCGCAGCCTCAGCCGACCCGGTGACGAGCTCTCCGTGCCCAAGGGAGGCAGGAATCCGTTCGACGACGACGCAGAGCCGAGCAACATCAGCCTTCGCGGCGTAAGTCCCCGGCCGATAGTCGACACGGCACCGCAGCAGCAGCCAAAGGAGAACGGCGAGAGCCCGACGGAGCGGAGATCAATTTTCCGCGAGAACGTATAATACGGTGAAGTCGATGAGAGATTTACGCCAGAACCGACCATCTGAACAAGAAGCACGAGTCGTAGAAGTTATGGTCTATAGAAGGCCATACAGTTTACAGTTGCTTTCAACAGCGGTGTTTTTTCTTCTTTTTAGTTTCTAGGCCGGGACGAAGCCAGGCAGCTTGTCTCTGGGCAATGCGGGTATGATGTAAGGAAAGCGGGCCAGAAGGGTAAGGCATGGTGTGGGACATGTCACGATCGGGATGTGCGATATGGTTTTCATGCGAATCCAAGGCGTTGGGTCTTAAGTGATCTTACTTTTTTTGTCCATCTCATCTTGTTCTTCTCCCACCGGGAAAACAATAAAATTGTACAAGAAGCCGCACGCTCGGCGTATTGCTTCGCCGATTTTTCGCCTTTTCAACGTCCCGCAAACTAATGCGACAAAGAGCCATGCAAAGCACTCCATCGTACCAGGCAACCCCGTGGAGAACAACCTTTTCTTCTTTACCTGTTGCCTGATTTGAGCTTCCATCGCATGCGCCGTCCACGGGCCATCATTGGTCCGCCTCTCCCCGGGTCCCTGTCCGCCCGCCTGATCCGAACCGCCAAGCCCACCACCCCTCCGTACAGGTAACCTGACAACCGTCGACTGTACCCCGGGGTCGTGGACGCTTAGAGGGTGAGGTCCCCACAGTTCCCGCCCGCCGTGACCTCATTCCTCAAGCCCCGCCATCACTTCCTTCCCCTCCTCCTCTGCCCCTCCAAAGCTGAACTTGACCTCCAAAAAAAACCCAATTGATCGACAAACACCTTTCGCCCTAGCGAAAAAGACGTTAAAGTTTACGATACGGCACAATTGGCCTTTGATCGATACCCCTTTTCTCGACTTTTTGAACCTGCAGCAGCAACAGCAGCAGGCAAATAGCAAAGATGGCAGACCTCAACCTCCAAGAGATCCACGACACCCTCCTCGACATCGCCAGCGAGGCAGGCAAGATGATTATGGCTGCGAACCCGTCATCAATCGACCAGGGAACCAAGCTCAACTGTACGTCTTCCTCCCAGTTCCCCTTCCATTGACGATTTCGGTATCGCCCAGCTGTTCTCGATCTCAGCTAACCACCCCCTTCCCAGCCGTTGACATCGTGACGGAAACGGACCAAGCTGTCGAGAAGATGGTCTCGACCCGCCTGCAATCAACTTACCCCTCCATAAACTTCATGGGCGAGGAGACCTATACTAAGGGAACCCGCCTCGGTCCGGAGCCCACCTTCGTCGTTGACCCCATCGACGGCACCACCAACTTTGTCCACTCCTTCCCTGACGCCTGCATCTCCCTCGGTCTGGCCGTCGACCACGTCCCCGTCGTCGGCGTCATCTACAACCCGTTCCAGGACCTCCTCTTCACCGCCATCAAGGGCAAGGGCGCGTACATGCGTCGAGCCGGCGGCGCTCCCCAGCGCTTGCCTCTGGCGAAGAACCCCCTGCCCCTGAAGGGCCTCGACAGCGCGCTGCTGGCGTGCGAGTGGGGTTCCACGCGCGACGGCCCCAACTTTGAGCTCAAGGCCGAGACGTTCAAGAAGCTCGCCGCGACCAAGGAGAGCGGCGGCGCCATGGTGCACTCGATGCGCGCCCTGGGTTCCGCCGCCCTCAACATCGCCGCCGTCGCCGCCGGCCAGTTGGACATGTACTGGGAGGGCGGCTGCTGGGCCTGGGACGTTTGCGCGGGCTGGTGCATTCTCAGCGAGGCCGGCGGTATCATGGCCGGCGGTAACCCTGGTGTGTGGAACCCCGCCGTGGACGAGCGTGTGTATCTTGCCGTCCGCGGGGCGCCGAGCGGCCAGAAGGAGATTGTGGAGGAGTTTTGGGGCGTTCTCGGGGATGGCAAGCTGGATTACACCGTTTGAGGCTCGCGTCTGACGTCTGACGTCTGAGACGGACGTGGATTTTGTTGGGGTGTGTGTGTGTGAGATTTGTGAGATATGATTTTGATGATGAATGAAAACGGGGGTATAGATCGCTGGCCTGCCGGGCTTTGGTGGGTCTCCTGGATGGATTTGATAGACTTTGGATAGACCGATGTCCTGCTGAAAAATAGACCGATTAGAATATTATATGCGCGGCTAGTACGTTGCTGCGATTTGGATATGATACATATCGTTTTCGTGGTACTGGGGTATCGTGGGTACGAGACGCTTATCGTGCGAACCAGATGAGATTTTGTATGTTCAGATGACCGGCCGCATATTCCGCCATGAGACGGCGTGGGGCAATTTTACATGGGACGACGGGAATGTGTTTCGTCTGCAAGTGGTTAATGCAGTTTCTCTTTTCACAGAGATCGGTTCTTTGTAAAAAATAGAGCGTCATCATTCAATAAACGAACAATATTTGCACACGACACACTCATGGTAGATCTGAAGGGGGGCATCGTGGGCAAGTCTCACCGACGCATGCTGTCACTAACTGTAATCACTAACTGTAAGGTGTAAAGTTCCGGACAGGATAACGCATCGGCCACAAGTCATTTCCAATGGTGCAACATCGTTGAGGGTCTTTTTTGAGAGTTACATGTGTTATTTTATAGTATGACCGGCCTCGACTCACCCGGCATCGTGTTGCTTTATCTGGTCAACGAGGTGTAGCTCACTTGTTCGTGGAGATATCAAGACTCCATAGGAATCCGGGCACGGTTTGAGGTTGCATAGTTGGCGCTGCAGATACGGCAGAGCTATATACATGGGTCTGGACGCACATCACGTCCATGAAACAAAGTGTCGACTCGGCGGTCTGGGATGCCATCACGAAGCGTTGATATTATTCTGGGCACAAGGCTTGTTTGAGTTGGTGGAGAAGTGAGATGGAGAAAGTCGTATCGTGAATACCACCATGTTCAAATATTCTGAAAGGGAGGGATAACTGGCCCAGTTCTCCGTCCGAAGTAGTACCCGGCATTCCGCGTATCTTCTTGTTCGAGCTGCGATACCGAGAAAGGTACCGGCAAACCGCCGCATGGCTTACGGCTGCGCTTATACAGATGACGAGATTCGATTTCGCCATTGATAGGGCCTACAATGTAATCTCTGACCACTTGCTTGTCGCGTCAAGCTATGCTGCGGGTGAGCTGCCAATGCTCAAAGCCGAACTTGTGTCTTGACAAGTGGTAGCTGAGAACAAGTGCGCATGTTACTGTCACCAGGCCTCTTGTCCTAATTCCAAACTTGGTAACAGAAACACAGAATAATACATTGAACAGGGGAAAATGTGACATTGTAGTAGCGAGTGTTTGCCAAAATATTTTCCAGAAAGCGTTGCCATCAATACTATATCAAAATATACCATACCAGCATGAGTATTAACAAACCATACCATTGTTGGTTAGGGATCACTCTGAATCGTTGATCCCTTTCCAAGCTGCAACTTCCTTAGCCAACACTCGATATAATAGACAGAAATCAATGCAGCAGGATAGACATCACCTGGTTATGGTATTGGGGAGCCGCCTACCTGAAACTTGAACCTCCACTCAGACGCAGCGAATTTGACACGTCGATAGCCCCTGTGGCAGGCCCACAAACTGGATAATCGAACCTGATGTCAGTAGTTTGGAAACTTTGCGGAAACACTCACGTGAGGTTTTAAACATTGAGCGGCTCGGAGTCGATCTGTTTACTATCATCGGCTGAGTCGCCGATCCCGCGATATCGTGGGCTCTACAATTAAGGCTGGGTGGATTGGGTCTGTAATAGAATAGTGTTTAACTCTTCGTATACCATGATGTGTTGGAACTATGAAAAGACAACTCTATATACGCGGCTGCAACGAGAAGAGAATCTGTTTACTATGGCATTACAAGGGGGTGATCAGTGTTTTCGTGGCCTTGCTACCCTGAAGCCACACTAATGAGACACCCAACAGCTTCTGGGTGCCTCATGTGCCCAGCACAACCGTATAAATACAAGCAACCGAAGAAAAAGTAACGCTAAACCGCAGCAGAACGTGGAGAAATCAAACTGGCCTTTGAAGGCAAGGCTTCCTTCCCCCTAAATCAAAGGGGAAAAAAATTATATCTTGTTTGGAGAGAAGTCGTATGCGAATGGCCTCTACTATCGCCCTGTCGCTCTGTCGTTCTATCGCCCTCATCCCCGTTAGTATCAGCGTCGCCAGCGTATTTGTCTATTATACTAATGACGTTGACTAGCACTACCGCGGGTAGACGACGAGGAAGTCAAGGAACATGAGAATCACAGCTTCAGGACCTTGTTAAAGCCTTCGCCTGATACCTAACCGGCTGTATGGTAAGCGGTAACTAGGCCCGTCCTTTCGAATTGAGGTGTGTACTTCCCAACTTTAGTTGAAAACTGGCTGTGAATATGTATACTACTACAGGACGATACCCCGAAACTCGCAGGATGTGTCTTGACATATCTGGAATCGTATTTGAAAGTCAAGTATCATGTGCTCTCCAAGTCTATTCACAAAGTTTTCTGTCAACTGAGAAGATCCCATGTGCGCTCTGGTCAGTGGAACTCCAGAGGTTCGTCATACAAACGATCAGAATATTGATTATAAGTCTGTCTGCCTTGCTGAAAAGTATACATGATGACATGGTAAAAACATCTTGAGCTGATATGGGACTAATTGCAGGTTCTTGGGTGTCACAAGGGCCGTAGATTGGCATTGCTTCTGGATGCCAAAGCAACCAGACAGAGATACCATATAGTCACAAAAGATGAGTGGAAACACCTCTGTGAGTCCTGCGCAGGCCAATTGCTTCGTCATCCACTACACAGTCCTGCTATTTTGGATGATCACCAGCAATACCCACGTCAACCAACCTAGGCTAGCTGCAGAAAGATGCAGTGGCAAATAATCCAGGTGGTATTCGTATCGCCTGCAAATTATGCCACCGTTCTGGTTGGTCACAGTGAGAAATACGCCTTAGCATCGTGACTGGCCGCTGCAACAGTACTTGCTTCCTCGTCCGCGCCGGGTCGACATGAAACAAGAACTTATCGGCGGCCCAGTGATATCAAACAGCCTTGCCGAGAACAAATGTGAGACGACGTTGAAAGCGGCTCTTATAGTGACGTTGAAGCGTGGGGTTGGCGAGAACGTCAGCGCCTTATAGAATGGCGTGCGCGGGGATGGTGGAGCACGACTTCATGGAACCCATGGCACACCCTTGTCTTTGACCGTTGAAGGACGTTTTAGTCGCAGACTAAGCATCAATGTCAAAAAATGCCAAATTCAACATCAATTGATGAGATTATTGCTTTTCTCACACTTGATTGTCTTGTGGTGGCGATTGTCTTGGTCGACTCGGCACCAATTCAAGGTGAACACATGTTGCCTGCTGGATACGGCATCCCGAGAGCTAGCGGCGGACACACCTCATGAGGCGCAACCTAGGTGACGGCGCCGTGCTAAAGGTCAAAAATAAACAACTCTGGGAGCTTGTTCGAATAACAGCCGCTTCAAGCCTTTGTTGACTAGTGGCCGAGCTATGACTCAAATTGGTAGACTTCTACACGTGTGGAAGGAAACAAGTCAAAGAGTGTCGTTGACGACCGAGTGCCACTCACCCCACTCGCCACAGGGTTCACACCCTCCAAGGATCCCAAACGGGAACTAGCGCAAGTTCCCATAAAGAACCCTGTCATGGGGTCGACCGGAAGATGATGCCTGCAGATGGAGCTGCGGGGCGGCGAGAAACAGATTCAACGTCGATGAAAGGGGGGCATTTTGACGGCATTCTTGACTGAAGAGTTGGTTCTAATCAGGAAGAAGAGGAGAGAAATCGTAGCAAAGTCGGCCATTAGGGTTGTGAAAAGCATTTTGTGGGAGGACAGGTTGGCCGAAAAGTCGGTGGAGTTGGATGGCTGGCCCAGCGCTCGTGTTGGGAAAGAATGGAGGAGGTTCGGCGAGTGCGTCCCCGAGAAGAGCAAAGAGGATAAGTGGTATATGCAACTAAACAGCATTCTGGGATTATCTAGCGTGCAGGTGGGTGGGTGGAGACTAGAGACAGAGCGTAGCGGTGGGGACGGGTTGTGAAGGCGCTAACGAGCGAGGTGGTTCATGTCAACGGACGAGAAGAGGTGGTGAAAAGTATGTTTCTCTGATGGATCAATAGAATATCTGAACTGCAAGATAAGGCCCCAGGCAAATGTCTTCTTGCGTGATGTTGATCCGCGTTATCTTGCAGGCGGTAGAGCGATGACGAGATTTACACATAAAACCTATGCCCAATGGGCTGCCGACACACCATTTGTGAACGGGAATGAGGCGATGACATGCTTGCTCGGCTGGTGTTGTTGCAGGGTGGCTGGATGCAGTATGCAATACAGCCGTTGTCGGTGCTAATGAATAAGATGCGTCACGGGAAATTTGATGAGCGGCACGTCGCATCAAAAACTTGCAACGACGTGTGGTGACCAGAGTGATGCAAGACAGGGCAGGGCAGGGCAAAGGGGGAGAATGCGGGTTGCCTGTCAACATGCGAAGAGTTGGCCAAAACTGGGGCTGACCGACGTCGGCGCGGCGCTCTGAGCCGGCTAGATGCCTGCAAGGTGGATTGGCGGGCTTGCCCACGCCCCGGTCCTAGGTCGACTACCGCTCGCCCTCTGTTGCAGGCCCTGACAAGCCAGGACCCGAACCTAGCTGATGTCGGATTCGAGATCTGCTACATTTGGACCGATCGCTTCATTTTCTGGTCCATTCGCCTAGAGTGTCCTGAACCTTGTAAACGGTTCCACGAAATCGGCATGCCTTGGATCCCTCGCACTCACCGCATCTTGATACTGTTGACGCTCAAGCGGCCGGCCTCCTATGGGCTGACTATCTTTGCAATAGCAATTGTAGTTGTGCGAAGCGGTGATCCTCCTCGCCTTGAAGATAGGGTAGGAAGAAAGGTGTGAGCAAATATTTGTGACCAAGTGCAACAACAATGATGATGATTGTGGTCAGGCGACGTAAACAGTTCTCTTCCACGAGCGAACTTTGCGACAGTTGTCCGGCATCGTCTGAAGTGTGCACATGGTGGCATCACAGTAGCGCATAGAAAGGATGAGAGAGAGTCAATGGTGGGAGATTGACTGACTTGGGTGGTGGCAGAGAAGAAGCCGACATGGCAGTCGGAGGAGTTGTGGACACGGTCCAATCAAGTGGGCTATTGACTAACGAACCCGGATATAACGATGCGGCGTACGCTAAGCAGGCGGGACTGGAGGGCAGCACAGTGCGGGCGTGATGGGTAGGTGATGTGACCCAATCAGCCATCCCAAGTGCTCCGGAACCGCCAGCCAATAGCACCCCAGGCCATGACAGAATTGGGTCATGAATTGGGGAAAGGAGCAGGGAAATGTCTGGTAAGTGGGCAACGGCACCCAGGTCATGCAGGAAAGAGCAGGGTAAGAAGCGTAAGCAATTTCCCTGCCAGACGAGAGCCGCGAAAGACAGACCATCTAGACCAGGCCCAAACAGATGATCCGTGGAGTCGCATCGTCTCTCTTCTCAGTTCATACCGGGCTGTGTTTTGCAGCATCTTGGTTTCCAGCTCGTAATCCTTGCGGTGAAATCGTGACACCCGGCCATGACGAAGGGGCAGAACAGACCAGACTCGGCAGTCGCGTGGAACCATCGGCAATCGTCCGCTGTGGTGTTTTGGTGGCACTCTCGATTCACGACTACTCCATGGTGAGTGACTCGGTGTAGGATGTTGAGAATCTAGGCTTTCCGGGAAGGACAACAATTCTCGACACCACCACCGGCGTTTTGCGACGGGAATGATCTGCCTCTTGAAAATTCGCACTTATCGTCCAATGTTGGAGGGGCGGGGAAGAGGATTGTTGGCCACTGGTGGCCGGCATTGGTGTTTTTAGGCTGTTGACAGGTGCAACGCCTATTAAGTTTGGAAGATCCTTGAACAGATGTGCGTGTGATGCAGTCACCTGGTGGGAGGCAAGAAAGAACGATGGGAAACTGAGAGGCACAGAGGGCAAAGGGAGGGGGAAAAAAAAAAAGGACCGAGCCATCCCAAGCGGCAAGTTTACACTAGTTTCGCTCTACTTCGTCCGAGAAACCGACAGCCGGCTCTCCCATGCTTGAAGCTTAGAGCCTTACTTACTATCTACCCAGTCAGTGGAAAACAAAAAATCCACCACACACCACCACCACCATTTTCTCTCACAACACACACGACGCACACGACTTTCACCGTCGAGCTACTGCATAAAGAACTAGCGCCACTTGCAAGCGGATATTCTTTTCTCAGGCCCGTGCGTTTCGGATGACGCTAAACTAACGCAAGATCCATCCCCCGTCACCCGCATGGTCGTGGGCGCCACTTATGTAGATATCCCAAGCCGCGCCCGCCCCCTCCACCCTCCATATATGCATAATCTAGTCTGCAGTGTCCACAGAACCCACAAGTGCCTGCGCATGAGCTGCTCCGTGCAGTAACATAGTGTGCAGGCCTGGACAGCTGCGGGCACTCTTTCCAATTCCCCTGTCCCCAAGATATGGCCAGACCTGGCTGCCGCTGCTGTCCTTGGTCACAGTCGGTCTGGAAACCCCCCATTTCCCATGCTATTGTGCTATGTTGCCCCACATGCTGCAGGTTTTTGGTTCAGCAGAGCCCCGCCACACTGTGTCACTGGTGCTGAGGACGGTGTAAGTCGTATCAGAAGGGAAAAAAAAACACACACACACACACACATCGACGCTCCATCCTCCTCATCCATCCTCCCTCCTCCGCCGACCGTCATCTGCATTCCTCGCAGACACCCGGCTCTTTCTCACCACACTTTTCGCCGGGTCTCCTTCCCGCTTTCATCCGCCATCCTTCTTTTCTTCTAGCTCCATCTGGCACCCCGGGCTTCTGCAAGCGCTTTTACCAATCCCCGAGAGCCGTTATCGTACACGGATCCACGTCCAGGAATCAATATTTACCTCCCTCCCCTCCTGCTTCCGCTCTTTTCACATTCCTCTCTTCCCTCCTCTACCATCGCCATCTGGAAACGGACAACGCCTCTTCCTGTGTCTTGCACCTGAATAAGACGTCATCAGCGCCGGACCAGGACAAAAAAGAGAGAAAACGTGTAAAAGCGTACACTCATCCCGGCACTTCACTCTTCCAGTTCCTACGTTCCAGTAGATTCTTGTCGAGTGTCCTGTCGCATCGTAAGACTTGAACCAAGTCGAGAGACAATGGCCCTAACCAAGCAGACAAGTTCTCGCAACCCAGACGACTTTCCCACCACACAGCTGTTCCTCCTTGGTAAGTCCTTACCCCCCCCTCCTTGATGCTCTGGCATTCTCTGTCTCGCCCCCAGAGACATGCTCCCGCGTGCCATGTTGTGTTACTCTTACTAACACCACATTCCTAGCCATCGTCCGTCTTGCCGAGCCCATCGCCCTTACATCCATCTTCCCCTATGCCTGGGCACTCGTCAAGAAGTTCGAGATCGGTAACGCCGAAGATGCCTCCTTCTATGCTGGCCTTCTCATCTCTTCCTTCTCCCTTGCGGAGGCCCTGATGGGCATGTACTGGGGCGGTCTATCTGACCGTATCGGAAGAAAACCCGTACTACTCCTGGGATGCATTGGCACCATGTTCAGCATGGTCATGGTTGGCTTCGCCTCCAACATCTGGATCGCCTTGATCGGAAGAGCCATCGGCGGTCTCCTCAACGGCAACATTGGTGTCATTCAGACAATGGTCGGAGAGCTGGTCACCAAGCCTGAGCATGAGCGTAAGAAACCCACCCCCCGCCTTCTCACTTGCATCTTTTCGCTAATGTCGTAGCCCGTGCTTTCTCTGTCATGCCCTTCGTGTGGTCCATCGGTACAATCATCGGTCCCTTTATTGGCGGTACCTTTGCCGATCCCCATGAAGCATTCCCTCACCTTTTCCCTGTTGACGGCTTGTTCTACCGTTACCCGTACCTTCTTCCTAACCTTGTCTGCGCGCTACTTCTGCTGGTCAGCATTATCCTGGGTTACTTCCTCCTGGAGGAGACCCACCCCGACATGCAGCCCCGTGTCTTCCTCCCGGATGACACCTATGCTTCCGAGGAGACCCCCTTGTTAGAGACCATGGATGCCATGAAGAGACCCGCCGTTGACATGCGAGACGACAACTACGGAACTGTCCGCGGTCGCGATGCCCAGAGCACTGGCAAGAAGCTTGACCAGGTCTGCAACATCTACACCAAGCCCATCATTTCGCTGATTGCTGCTCTCTGCATCTTCACGTACCACTCGATGACCTACGACCACCTTCTCCCGATCTTTTTCGAAGATGACCGAGCCTCGGCCAATCCCATGTCCATCCTGGCTTCCCCATCAAGCCCGTTCTACACGCCTGGCGGCCTGGGCCTGTCCCTCCGCGCAGTAGGAATGATCATGGCTGTCAACGGTGTCATTGCGCTCTTTGTCCAGGCCGTTATCTTTCCCTTTGCGGCTGAGAGACTGGGCGTCTACCGTCTGTTCATCATCGTTACTGTTTTGCACCCGATCGCCTACGTCATGGTTCCGAGCCTGCTTTTCGTTCCCGAATCGATGCTTTACGCCGGCATCTACGTCTGTCTAGCTGTGCGAAATGTCCTCTCCATCATTCTTTACCCGCTGCTCTTGATCTTGATCAAGGAAGCCACCCCCACCCCTAAGGCGCTCGGAAAGGTCAACGGCCTAGCAGCAAGCGCCGCTGCCGGTTTCCGTATGATTGCGCCGCCTGTTGCCGGATGGCTGTACACGACTGGAAGCAAAGTCGACTGCACTGCTCTTGCGTGGTACGGCAGCGCCGTTGTTGCTGTCATTGGTGCGATTCAGTGCTTCTCTGTGAAGCGTGAGCGCAAGGAGGAGATGTGCGAGGAGGAAGCCCAGTCTATCCTGCGGAAGACGGAGTCTCGCGTTAGTGTCAGAGAGGTGTTTTCGGATGACGAATGATCATGTCATGATTGAATGCCACGAAAAGACGAGAGAGTTGGATGCAGCTGCATCTGCTCATGAGGAGAGGCACGAAATGAAGTTGTTTGAGGTTTCCAAATGACTTTGACGACCCAGCAAAAAGCGACAGGGTATAGATGGGGAGTTTATTTATTTTTCACACGAATTGGGATGGCGCAAGGACACGGGTTAATCTTTTGGAGTTTAAGTGGTTGATTTCATCGGATGCTTCGTATAGACCAAGATATCCCTCGTTGGCCAAAGGCGAGCATGGTTGGGTTGGAGTTAGGCAGCATTGTATAGCATTGTAAAGACGCTGAAGATAGCCAGGCACATAGCGTACGTGCTCTAATAGAACTGGCATTGTTTGAATTTGGTTTGGGCTTGCACTAGAGTGACAAAGATTAAAATCATCGGAGACCGCGATCGCTCAATCCCCTCGATCAATTTTTAAGATGAAATTAATCGTCATGCCCAAGACATCCATGAAGTGGTGATCATTGCAAGATGGAGTTGAAGTTCGATGGGTTTCTGAGCTTCTCCATCAACTCCAGAATTGGGGGCGTCGCACCCAATGAAAATCGCCACTGCAAAAACCACAAACTCACTCATCCCCAAAATTTTCACTCACACACACACACACACGCACAAGAGTCATACTCACCCACACCAGATCTCAAGTGAGACATTGAATCATTTACACGAGCGCAACGGTCACACCCAATCACATTGAAGCGATATCAATCGACAAAGGAGGGTTACAATCGGAGAATTTTCCAGCATAAGCCAATCCAGGCCCTAATAACAGACGACACTTTTTCAACCAGACGAATCGAACAAGTCAGCTCACAAGCCCAGCCCGCCTAAGATGGTGCAAATCGAAGAACTCACAGACCAGATGGCGGACGCCTTCATCGCCGAAGAGCAGAGGCAGAAGGCGGCGGCGGCGGAAGCAGCGGCATCGGTCCCCGGCGCCGACAGGGGCGCGGCGCTGCCCCCCGGTCACGCGCTCCTCAGCGGCAAGACGCCGGACGAGATCTTCGCGGACCTGAACAAGTCGCCGCTGTTCATGACGGAGCTCGAGGAGAACGACGACCTCGCGGCGCTCCAGGCGCTGGCGTACGAGGGCACGCCGCGCGAGAACGGCGAGGACTTCAAGGACCGCGGCAACGAGTGCTTCAAGGCGAAGCAGTACGCCGACGCAAAGGAGTTCTACACCAAGGGCATCGACATCCTCGCGGCGCAGGAGCGCATGCGCTCCAAGGGCGAGAAGACGTTCCACACGGAGACGGCCAAGAGCGGCGACGGCGACGACGCCGAGGAGCGCGACGTCGAGGTCGAGGACGACGACGAGGAGATCGCGAAGCAGCGCGCCCTGCTCGAGAGCCTCTACGTCAACCGCGCCGCGTGCCACCTCGAGCTGTACAACTACCGCTCCTGCTGGACCGACTGCGGCCACGCGCTGCGCCTGAACCCCAAGAACCTCAAGGCGTACTACCGGTCCGCGCGCGCCCTGCTCAAGGTCGAACGCATCGCCGAGGCCGACGACGCGTGCGCGAGGGGCCTCGCGATCGACCCAGAGAACAAGGCCCTGCAGGCCGTCGCGCGGGACATCATCAAGGCGGCGGAGCGCGCCGACGCCAAGGCGAGGCGGGACGCCGAGCGCATCGCCCAGGAGAAGAGGAGGGAGGCGCTGTTGAAGGCGGCGCTGGCCGCGCGGACGATCCGGACCCGCGAGACGGCCCAGCCGCCCGAGATGGAGGACGCGAGGATGCGTCTCGTCCCCGACGAGGATGACCCCTCGTCGAGCCTGAGCTTCCCCGCCGTGCTCCTGTACCCCGTCCACCTCGAGAGCGACTTCATCAAGGCGTTCAACGAGCAGGAGTGCATCGCCGACCACCTCTCGTACATCCTCCCCGTGCCCTGGGACCGGGAGAAGGAGTACACGGCCGGTAACGTGGAGTGCTACGCGGAGACCGTCAAGGGTGGTCTGGTCAAGGTCGGCAAGAAGGCGCCGTTGTTGAAGATTCTCAGCGGCGGCAACGTCGAGGTCGTGGATGGTATTGTGAGGTTTTACGTCGTTCCTTCGTCCAAGGCCAAGACCTGGATTGAGGAGTTCAAGTTGAAGAAGGCGGCCGAGAAGAAAAACTAAAAAAGAGGGTTTGAGACTTTGGGTGGGGTTTTTTTTTTTTTTTAATTCAGTCAACGGAGAGATGATGATGATGCATTGGATGGGTTGGTTATAGACGGAGGGTGGATAAAGGCTCACGATTACAATGATTATAGGAGGAGGACTGAGAAAAAGAAAAAGATTAGTGGCGTTTGTTGGTTATTAGAGATATTGGCTTGGCAAAAATCACCCGACAACCCTCCCCTTTTGAAGCATTTTGAAATCATCACGAGATCCTAATCCAATCACATTTTCCCAACCACACCCATCAAAAAGGAATTTTTTTTTACCGCGAGTTGCCTGCGTGAGCGAAGCCGGAAATTCTAGAGTACGTTTCACGTCATTCAACACATCCTTCCCCCTTCTGCGTCTGTCCCCTCCACTGATTCACGCCGATGTGGCCCTCCGTCGTTTGCTGCGGTGCGTGTCCGAGCCGTCTACATCGCTGAGATATCCTGGTTCCTTGCGAGTCCGGAGGGTCATCAGCCCAAGGGCGGCGTTCTGTTCTGCCAACTCGGCATCTGACTCCTCTTCTCGCCGGTGCTCTGATACGTAGCTCAGGGCCGGACTGCTGCCGTGGTTGCTATCTCCGCTATCGCGGCCGCCGTCGCTGTCTTCCTGGTCGATTGGACGTTTATGAACCCACAAAGACCGAGGGGCAGCAGCGTGTCTGCTCATCGGGGTGAAGCGCGGCACTGCGCTGAGGTATGGATTGGGTGACCGGTAGCTCTTGTCGACCAAACGGTACGGCTCGGGACGGTTCACGGGCGTCCACCCAGATGTGGGGGGTTGAGGGTAGCGTGAGTGCAGCGCGTGGTGGTGCCCGTAGCTGTAGCTGACATCGGAGCCGTTACTTGATGCCGAATCGGGGCCAGATCGGTGGCCTTCCACGTCCATATCGTTGTAGGGACTTGGTCGTCGGGTGTCTAGGCGTAGCCGTTTGTCATCTCGAAGAGACCTCGTCGGCTGGCTGTCGAGGCTGGGACTATGGCTCATGCCGACAGAACTGTATCCGTGTCGCTGGACCTTTCGCGAGAGATCAGCTTCCCTAATGGCGGCTTCGACGATTCGTCGGTCGATTACCATTCGCTGGTAGTCTGGGGATCCAGGTGGGATGCATAAAGATGGGAACAGGGGCCCAAATAAAGGGATGAGGGCGCCGGCGATGGTGTAGCAAAAGGTAGCGCACACAGCTTTGGCGCAGTCATACGGCATCCAGTATCCTGTACTTGTAAGATGGGGTTATCAGCATTCAGGGCTATCTGGGCTCACCTTGGGCAGCAATGGCGCCTCCCGTGATGCTATGGGTGATGTCTTTGAGGCCCGGGTTAAGGCTAAGCATCTTTGCCGGCACAGTCTGCAACGTGTTAGCACGAACGCAAGCCCGATCTGCAACGACTTGCCTTGGAGTATTTGCAACACTTGAAGAACGGAGTCATACGGACAAGCCCAACATTATAGTCCCACATGACTGTGAAATCGATGTCCTCTCCTGGGACTTTGAACTCATACTTGAAGACTAGACAACAACATCAGCCAGGGTGACAATTTAGTATCGAAGACACAAACCCTCGAAGCTCTCTCGTCCCGTCTTCTCAAAGAAATCCTTCTTGCCGCTGTTATATGGGATATGTGCGCAAGACTCTTGGATTCGGCCAAAAGGGGTGACGCGGAACCGGAGTATTTCCCGCCGGCTCAAGTCGTCGACATTCTCAAAAGGGAAGTACTTGATAACTCCCCGAGGCTTATACTTTGACATCGGAGCTGCATCCTTGGGCATCTTGAGCTTGGAGATTACTGGTTTGTCGAAGTACGCTGGTGATGCCCTGTCTGTATAGCAACTTCCGGGCGAGGACGTAGCAGGACTTGGGAGGATCCGAGGGGCAGGGAGCGGCCCCGGGGACGGTGGGTTAAGAAGAGAAGAGACGGAGAGCATCTTGTTGGTCGTTTGTAGAGTGAAGTTGTCTTGGAAGCGGCTGGAATCCTGCGATGCAGAAGGAACCTGATGAACCGGCGCAGAGGAAACCCGTTCCTAAAAGGGGGAGGATGGAAGACTTAAGACAGGTCCTGCAGGAACAGCGAGACTTGTGTAGAGTAACAGGCAGACAGCCACGCTATCTTTCGCAATCAAAAGAACACGCCGTATGGCTTCGCTCCGAGAGTGAAAGCCTCCACCGTACACGAGCGGACAGCACACCGCCAACACCCTTTCCAGGACAAGGGAACCGAAGTTATCGCTTTTCTCAAAGGGAAGTGCCAGTCCTGCGACGACGCCTGTAAGTCCAGTACAGGGCTCGGGGATTCCTTCCTGGGTTTCGGCGCTCTCGGTGCAGATTGCTTTGTTGTTGTGTCTTGGAATCGACCTCTCAGCATTAAAGTCTCCGTTTGTGCTAGGTCACCGCTCTTTCTTTTACCGTATCGAGGGGGTTACTATGAAGTGAGAGGTGACTGTCACTAGAATGAACAAAAAGAAGAGACAGAGGATGTTGACAGAATGATGTTTAATACGTTTTGTCCCAGGGGGCTTTCGATGAGGTTTACTTCGATAAAAGGAGGTTCCGAACGAGTGTTGGGTTTTAACCTCAGGATACCTAATAAGTCGTCTCGACGAGCGAAGACTGGCTGCGCCAAACAGCTGTGGGAAGCATCTTTTGCAGAGAGTGTTGGCACTGATTGGGACAGAAAAATCGTTGGACAGGCAGATGCGGGAGTAGGAGACTGCCACGCCACTCAACTCACACCCCATGACCGCCTATAGACCTGAGATCGAGACTGGATTGTTTCATCAGATGTCACCAACTCTGACGCTGGCCGACAGAGGCGTTACAGCAGACTATGGACGTCCTCTGCAGAAGTATCAGAGTCACCGGGCGAGTTTGCCAGCGCAAATACAGCAAAAGCTTCCGCAACGACCAAACAGGTAGAGGTACCGTGTTTGGAGGCGCACGGGGGTGGAATTCGCAGAGTGGGCTTGCGGAAAGCTGCATGAAGTGCCATCTGGCCACTGAGCCTGGCAGTTCGGTCGAGACGGTGGAACAAAGTCAGACCATCCTGCTACGTTAACATTTCGGGGAAGCGTCTATTTGACTCGACACAAGTATAGCTCTCATACCTTACATCCAAGTTGATGCCAAAAAGGTTTCAGAGATGCTATTTTGCAGATTTCTTTGCCTCGCGAGCTCACTATTTCGGCAGCGTGGCATGGGTTCTCATCATTCCCGATGGATACAACTCAACAGAAGCAAAGCTGATGACTGGTATTTCGTCAGACCGCCAAAGCCGGGTTGCTTCTTTTGTGGCCAGCCTATGTGCATATCCGTCTGCAGGCTATTGCTCTTCGTCAGAAATTCTAGGGCTCTTCGAGAAGTCTGGTCGGATCGTCCGTCTGTATGGATGTCCTTGGGGGCTGGTTGCAGCTGTCACCATAGAGCCCCCCTGGTTCCCCCACGAGCTTGCAGGAGTACAAGCACAAGAAAAATGCCCGATGGGGAGCACAAAAGTCGCTCAGTCTAGACGCACAACCCATGTCATGGCATGTACACTCGTATTGAAGAGGCCAAAGCGTAAAGGTTTCCTGGTTGGCGGTTCTGCTGGGCAAAACAAGGAAGGGTATAATTCGAGGAACAGAAGGATTCCTTGGGAGATCTTTTGAAAATCGAAGACACAACAGCTACCTCTTTGGTATTTCTCATGCCATTTTGGCCGAGTTGCTGCAGTGACAGTGGAATAGTGTCAAGCTTCCTGACCTGGTAGGCTTAGATCTGGAGAGCGGCATCGGTCATGGTCGAGTCAACGACCCCTTGCCTAGCGCTTCGTTAATGTCCTGTCTGGAGGTTAGATTGATGCCGCTTCCCGTGTGCCGATGTCTTCAGAATTTCTATCCCATTCCGGCAGCGACTTCTCCGTCAAGCTCCTTTGCAAACGGAGATGTGGTGCCCTGGATAGACCCTGTGGATGGAAATAGCCAAGACCTAGAGCAAAGTTATAGTGAAAGGCTGAGCACAGATTTTTCTAAACCTTGCTTCTAAATCACAAAATGACACCTAGGCGTTTGTCAATATTATTCTCACCCTTTGTGAGATTCTGGTGATGCCGATGACCCCGCCCGATCTTGACGAACGCCGTCACTTCTGAATGCCAAGGTAGGCCGCTCGGCAGGGCCGTCAGACTTTGGTGTTTCTGAATGTGAGGAAGTGTCATATTAGGAAAGACTGTGGATGGGCAAAGAATCATTTATCAAGATGCCGGGGCCGTTTCAGACGGCCGTAAGCTGTCTCGGTCACACCGCAGTTGAGTGGCAGGAGAGAAATAGCGAGGTTGCCATGCGCGGTGCAACACGAGGGATGCCGCGACGGCTGTACGCATCAACTCCGGAATATTTTCTCTCTTGCCATGCAGAGACCGGGAGTTGGTCGCACACCGCGCGTGTGCAAAGCGTGGTTGTGTAGCTTGGGCGGACGGGTCGGCAGCTTCATATTGAGCCGGAGCCAAGGGGAAGTTCAGTTGCTGGCCATTTAAACAGCACAAAACATCATTAGGTGGTACTTTCTTTCAGTTTCGAAGCCAAATGGTCAGCTGTTTAGACTTTTCCAAGGGGCTTTTATGCTATGAACATCCCTGTCCCCGATGTCAGCCAGCTGATTGATAACCGAACGCCCACATTGACCCTTGCCAGAGAGGAATGGGCTCAGGAATTCGCAGGGTAACGTATATGTAAGCAGAGAAACCAGCAAGGCTCAAGTTTTAACACGAAGAAACAACGGCTCTAGTAGTACTAACCTGAAGAGGCGACAGCGACCGCCTCACTTGGTGCGACCATATGCCTTGCTCTTTTACCGTTCGCCCTCGATGCAAACTCGTCGTGGCCGGTGCTGCACCAATGCTTTGTGGTACTGCGTCGGAAAGATTGACGTGTGGAGAATAAGAGCGCCCGGTTATGGAGATGAACGTCTCTGGGAGGCCCGACGTGAGCATTGTGACGGTGCCGATGGCTTCAGGCCTTTCCATAATCGTGCCAAGCGGGAGCTGTGTGACAGAAGTTGTTACCATCGAGGCTTCTATCAAGCAGCTTGGCGGTAGGGCGGTATTCATGTACTTACAGGGATTCCGGGAGACAAGGTAAGCGGCCCGTCTTCCCTCGTCAGTCGGAAGGTGAAGGCACTTGAGTACTGAGGCGGAATCGTTTCCATTTCATATCCGCTTTTGCCCAAAACGTTCACATTCCCGGTTGCACATATTTTCTTCCGAACCATCTCATGCGATTGTGGTTCGTCCCCTTCCAAAGGTCCGCGGTTCGATTCATTTTGTTTCCGAAGACTGCGGACCCTTTCTAAAAGGGCGAAACATGAGGTGTAACCCGAGAACCCCGCAAAGAGCCTCCTCGACCTCAACTTCAACGCCAAAGTCGCAACACACACACACACACACACACATCTCTGGTGAAGATGTCAAGCTACGAATGACATGAACGTCTCGTCAGATTCTCCTTCTCGTTGCCACGCAACCGGCCCTAGAGATGACATTCTCAATACCCCAGAAGTCAGATCGCCACTAGCGACAGGGAGAGCAGAACACTGAGGTGCTGAAAGAATGTTCTACCCCTCATCACAGCGCTAACCGTTCGATTTTTGGGCACTCTTGAGAGTCGCAGAAACCTAGAACTACCGCCTAACATGCCTCGATTGAAATGTTTTTAGAAACAGAGCACTATTTTCGTCCCTTGGTATCGATGCATCATAACAGTCGCGTCTGAGCAGCTCATTGCGCGTGGTGATGTCTCACCCAGTTGAATTCCGCCCGCCATCCCTTTATCAGGGTCAACATTCCCAATATTCCCCTCAAAAGGATGGCTATTTCTCGCCAGCGATGGAGAATTTCTTATCCGCATCAAGTGATGCCCCTCTATGACCTCGTCCCAGCTGGCTTTGGGCGTACGGGGATCTCTATCAAACCACCTCCAAAATGCAGCCTGTACCAGCGCACCACAACCATGCCCGGGCCCTACACGCGGCCACTTTTCTGCTTGTCCTTCTTTTCATTCTCATTCAACTTGTGCGAAGCCGCGAGGATGCCTACGAGATCATTGACGTAGACCCCCTGGTACCGGTGCTGAAGCCGAAAAAGGGCACTCCTGCTACCGTGGACACCGACGTATACTTGAGGGTGCTTGCTGAGAAGCATGGCCTCACACGAAACTTTTCTTTGTTTTCTCAGCGATTCCGCGCGGTCCCCGAGGCCCGACAACGCCTCTCCATGACAAATATACAAAAAGTCTTCGCGGACAGCGACTTCCACAGCGTCAACTGGGACGATAAAACGCTTCCGCTGGATGCCGGCGGAAATGCCATCTTGCCCATCGCAACAACGCCCGTACCGGGCAATATTGACGCTTCGGACTTGCTCTTCGGCGTCTCGACAACTTACAATCGGCTCACGAACGCCGACGACTCCCTCATCAGGGACTGGCAACGATGGCTGACGGACGGACGCGGCACCTCCAACGGTGCGACAGTCATCGTAGCACTCTACAATACAACCATCCGAGAAGCTTGGACTTTGCACGACAAGTTCAAGGATACCGGGATCGACGCCACGGTGTTGATACTGGACGACGAACTGGACAACGTTTCGAGATATTTTGAACTCGTCGATATCCTCCTGGAGATCAGGAAAGCGTTGGCCGAGGACGGACAGACGAAGAAGTACCTCGGAATCGTCGACGATGACATCTTCTTCCCGACCATGGGACAGCTCCTTTCGAGGCTCTCCAAGTTCGACGCCCAGAGCCCCTTTTACATCGGGCTCCCGAGCGAGCGCCCAGACTGGTCGGTCGAAGACGACACGGCAGTCACGCACGGCGGCGGCGCCGTCATCCTCAGCCCATCCGCAGCCTCGACCATCTCCAAGCTTCCATGCTACCCCGCCGACAGACCGCCCTTTGCGAACGCGACGCACTGGGATGTCATGCTCTCTGATTGCGTCGCGAAACATACCGACATGCCTCTTCATGTCCTCTCGAGTTTCTACTCGCCGAGGGATGCCCTGTACAACATGCAAGCGCCGACTTACGACCTCGGAATCTCCCCCTTTACGCTCCGCCACTACCGTTCCCGCCATCGCTTCGACCCCAGCAGAGCGCATCTAGTGACGTCGGTCTGCGGCGAGGGCTGCTTCCTCCAGCGTTTCCGTTTCGCGGACGACTGGGTGTTGGTGAACGGGTACTCCCTCACGCACTACTGCGCGGGGTTCGAGATGGTACCCATGTCGAGCCATGCGGCCCTGCAGGGGGCGATGCAGTACGGTTTGGAGGCGGAGCTGCCGCTGGGCAAGGGCATTGTGCTTGACGGGAAGAGCGAGAAGAAGGAGATTGTGACGTGGAGGGGGACGAGAAACGTGTGGTCCTTCTTGGATGCCATTGCCGGGGATGACGGGGAGGTGTGGCAGGTGTACGTGAAAAAGGGGGGCGGGCGACAAGCGGATGACGAAGAGCGTGTCGAGGATACTGCGGACTCTGTCATTGTTCTGATTTGGGAGCTTTGAGATTCCCCTGCCCCGGCCAAACCGGCCGTTATTTTTTATTTTATTTTTCTTGGTTATTGGAGCGTAGGAAAACTGGCGTTAATAAACATATTTTCATGGATTGATTTAAAGTATCGATGTGGCGGTGGCTTCGCTAAGGCTTACAAGCTTATGTGGAGTGTATCTCTCGCCGAAAGCAAGGAAGAAAGCCAGCAGAACACGATAGTTGACGAGACACATTGGCGGGGAAAAGAAGGGTAGACGTAGATGTAGGATGATAATTGGAGACCAAATCAGGATATACGGACTTGCGTTGGTTCATGAGTGGCGTGAGCTGGCAATGCCGTCCTCGTTCTCTTCTTTGAAGACTGCCGTGTTAGTGGTCAGGGGTATCCAGAGTCTATAGAATGGAAGAGACTCCCGGAAATCAGAGTAACCAAATGCTACCGAACTAACATCAGAGGCCAGGGCAACTTGTATGCATGCCATTGGTCGGACGTAAGTGTGCAGACGGGGTTCCGGAGCTGGGAGATCCGTGTATCGGGGCTCCGCCCGGCCAACGGCCCCACTGCGACCAGCCACCGAAAGACCTTAAAACCCAGCCACAACTGACCCGACGGTCCGGACGTCAAGCCTCCCGACTTTTTTTTCACATCATCAGTGGTTGGAGGCGCGGAAACGCCACCACGTGGAAAGAACGCAACGGCCGCGTTGCATTGGTCGACACCATGGGAAAACACCACAGGGGTGCTAAAATCTGCCAAAGCCGATGGCATGCGCAAAGCATGAGCAAAATGCGAGTGACAGGACGCTAGAGGTTACAACATGAAGCAAACAGGCAGAGTGAACGTCATGTGATGAGCGGTGTAAAAGGGTTGAGGTCGGGTGATGGAGGGGTTGAGGCTGGGCAGAGTCGCACTGGTGGAGGCTGTTTATTTTCTGTGACAGCGCAGACCGGCGACATGCAACGGCCCGGGAGAGAGGGCGGGGTCCGTATTCGTAGACAAGTGAGTGTGAGATTAGGATATGCACGACACGTCGCGAGATGTACTGTGTGTGTACGTGAGGGGGGAGAAATGCAGGCAATGACGAAATTAGATCGGGATCGCGACTGCAACGCATCGGCCAGATATGTTGCAGCGCAACGTGGTTGGACGAGGGTGCTGCCGGCCTTCATCCATCGTTGAGGGGCTGCGGCGGACTTGTCACCGCCAATTCGGGTCGGTAAATGAGTGCCGTTAAGCCTAGAAGCTTGTCGAGCCGAGCACGGAGGGCGATGTGGATGAGGTGGATGGGAGAGAACGGGTAAGGTGGGCAGGGTTCATGGATAGAGACGGGTGCATTAAGATGGCAGATTTGGCCAACAGATTGGATTCCCGCTACAAGCGCGTGCGATCGGTGTGTTGTTTTGGGCTAGAGAACCGCCTTGGAAATTTCACCGGAAGAGAAAATTCCAGGGACAGGGTAGTTAGTTGGGTGTTAGTGCGCGATGAAGGATTGCTGACTATCCGACAAAGGCTGGCGAGAACAGAAATAGAAAGAATATAAACAAAGAAAAAAAAAGTGGAAGTAGAAGAAATTCCTCGAGGTTGGGATGCTTCACAGGGTGGAATTAGGGTTTATGCGTGCAGAGCGCTCGTTGTCATGCGTGGTAGGGAAGGATCGTGTTAAACACCCGAGTGTCATCGTTGGCGGCGACGTGTGACTTTACGGGTGGCTTATTGTGTTCATAGGCTGAACTGGTGCAAGTAAAGGTTGCGTAGTGTTGCTGGTTACGGCATCCCACGTTGTTAGGTGTCAGGAAAGCAGAGTGTGTAGTTGTGATTTTGCTAGTACTATGTACTTTGGAGAGGTGGGCTTTACAGAGAGCGTATGCAAAGCGGAGAGATAATATGAGTTTTTGGATTTCTGATATTGCCGAGACGCCGTAGAACCGGCTGCCGATAAAGATATCCCACCCCGCCAAACGCTATAGCCAGGCACCCCTTGCTGCAGTGATTCAACTGCACTGAGGCTGGAGAAGCAGCAGAAGTATCTTGGCGAGGTTACGAATGCCTCTTTTTTTTTTTTTTTTTTTTCGTTTGCGAAACTCGATTATGTCAGATTGCCGAGCGGTGATCAATCCACCCAATGGACGACGCGAGAATGCGACAAGCTTATCTAATCTGATTGGTCGCACTTCGGGACCTTTTGGCGATTCATTCCAAACGGAACACGCCTCGACCTTCTCTCCTAACTTTCCCGGGACTTTATTTTGTTTGGATTGATTTTTTTTTAATCGTTCCCGCCGTAGCCTATCCCTGATAGCGCACGGTCTTTGGATCGGGTTGGGTTGATAATAGTTTTCACGGCGAATCCGTCGCAACGGTTTTGAGGTTGGCAAAGTCCCTCCTGGTGGCTTGAGGCTATCGACTAGCTTGAAAATGCCATCATCCCGCATCTGCCCACCTGATCAACCTACGACTTGCTAAATTGATCGCATGTCACAGACGCACAGGTTCCATACCCGGTGGGAGAGAAAACATGAGCTCCCACTTCCGCTCCCCGCTTGAGCTATCGGTAGCTTCGATCTTGCGGATATCAGGTCTCAGTCGTCCGTGGTTGTGTCTAACACGATGCGACTTGTCTCCCTGGACCGCCCTGCACATCATTGCCATGGCCGCCCCTGAAAGGAGGATCTATCTCTTCAGTACCCTTGCCCGTTACCGCTGAAGTTCAATTGCCTGGGCTGCATATGCCGTATGCTGTGCTGTGCCGCACCAGGCCTGCTGCGGCCTATTTTCCCATCTCCAGCGGGCCCAGTTTCCTCTGCGGCGTCATCAAAAAGGCCATTCGACAGATGCGCATCTGACAGCAGCCAAAGTACCAGCAGGCTGACATCCTCCGAGTTCCTGGGCTGCATGCTGCAAGCTGCACGTCGCAGCCAGTACCTTGGATCGGCAGCCGCCCTCATTGCGGGTGAGAGAGCATGCCCCAAAGAGGAGCACACCCTCTACAATTCACAGTCAGGCACAGAAGTGCATGGCTTTTTGGAATTTCTACCAGTCAGATTGTTTGGATTTGTAATGACTGGCTTGATTCGCACCATTTGTGAGGTACGAGTCTGTTATGACTAGACCGTAAGGCGGTGTTTACCGCCTCAAGTCGGCGTAGGATGAGACATTGGGCACTACCTTGCAGGCAGTCCTCCAGCCTCACAAAGTGGCCGGGGAATGACGATGATGTTGTTTACGGGCAAATACCATTCATTGTACCCCAAGGGGCAGAATGTTTGCTGTGGAGCCGAGCCAGGAATGTGATTACCAGCCGCCATTGAGAGAATGTATATGGCTTCTCGTACAATACGCAGGATGTGACTAGGTAGCAAGCATCGCATACTACTGGGCAATATGTACCTAGCAGAAGAGCAGGTCCGGTCCCTGGCGAGCACCAACGCACCCAAGCAACAGGGTCAAGGTACTTGTAGTAAGCTTGTACCGTGTTAGGCTGGCACTGCACTGGGCCCTGGGAAGGCTAGTCCGCCCTCCACACCATCTGGCATTTCGACCACCAGCAGCCCTCTTATTTTTCTATTTCTCATGCCTTTCGGCGTAATGTGAGTGGCAGAAACGCACTGCAAGCCCGTCATCGCCCGCCGTTCAAGCACTGTTGTGGTTCCCGCCCCTTGAGAGTTCCCACAGCCAAGACCCACTAGCGTCCTCTGTGGGCCTCCCCCCCCCCCCCCCCCTAGCATTCGACCACAGCTTCCTCCCGTCCTCTTACTCTCAAGCGAGACAGCCGGCCGGCCAAACAAACGCTCTCAAAAACACTCACACACACATACTACGTACACAAACACAAAACAATCACTCCCAATTCTACCACCACTGAAGCTGGTACTGCCGGCCCGTTAATCTTTCAATTCCTACCGGAACAAGCCATATATGCCGCACTACTTGATTATTTCCTCTGCACACTATACTCCATTAAGAAGGACATTTATTGACAGGGCCACATCACTATACACTACTCCTACACACACCCACACGCACACAAGACGCACATTGGACCAACACCCCTCCCCGACGACACCTTAGCCACCCCACCAAGTCCCTCCTCTCACACAATCCCACGCCCAGTCAGTCCGGTCTTGTGTCAAGCGTCCCCTCCAAAGCCCACAGTCCACTCACACTACTCCGCCTTCCCTGTCGTTTTGCTGCTTGTCGGTCCTGTTTTCTGACCCGTCACTTCCTTCTTTCCTGCCGCCTTGGGCCACTGCCACCGGCGCCGGTTGGTGAACGACCATGAGTCTAAGAAAAGCACCTGGCCACAAAAGCAAGCCCGCGGCGCCTTTCCCTCCCGACCCTGACGCCGATACGGTTGCCTTGCCTCTAGAACTTCTAACCTCAAGGCCCAACTGCACCTGCAGCTGGTTCCACAGACGACAGCCCTGCCGCTGCAGCTGATGCCTCGACTTCCTCTACTCCCTCTTCGTCATCCCATCACCTCGCCGCAGACGACCCATATAATACGACACACCACCATCACCAACGCTCCAACCCCTCCACACTTCGAAGCCGTCCTTCCACGCTCTCCTACGCCTCGACCGTCGCCGAACATGCTGACGATACCGCCGATCCGATCCAAGAACCACCCTCTCCAGATCTAGACTACGGCCTCATGCCTTCAAAACCTTCCCTCTTGCGCTCCGCGCGCAATGACGCTCCATCATACGGCGCCGTCTCCCAGAACCCGAGTCGCAATGTCTCGCCTACCGGGAGCGATTCCATGACGGGTAACGCCCACCCTCTGCGTTATGTCTCCGACACTACCAAATCAGCATCGTCAAAGTACTCTGCCGCCTCAACAAGGCAGAGCTCGCGCCTCTCCGAGGACCTCGACGCCGCTGCCTTGGCTACAGGCCTAGAAGGGCGCTTTGGAGTGACCCAAACCCCCGTGACCACCAACATGCTCGAGGACGCAAAGTCGGACGCCGCCGACGACGAGGTGGACTACGAAGATTACGACGGGAGCGAGCCCGAAGAGGACCCCGTCGACAACTCCCCTCACGAAGTTGTGCGCGCATCCGTTCCGCCGACAGACAACATCCACCTGTCTATAAACACCCCGAGAATGTGGATACTCTCGGTATTGTTCTCAGTGCTCGGTTCTTCGACCAATTTGTTCTTCTCGTTACGATACCCCAGTGTTGCTATTACGCCTGTCATCGCCTTGCTGCTCGTTCACCCGCTCGGCCTCATGTGGGACTACTTTCTCAAGTCCCCGAGCGACCCTCCAGAGGAGTTTGTGGATGGTGTTCTTCAGACCGAGAATGGTGGTGGTTCATCGAAACGGGGTATAACTCAGTTTCGCAGGTGGCTCGCCCAGGGACGGTGGAACGAGAAGGAGCACACCTGCGTCTATGTGAGCAGTAATGTGTCTTTCGGTTTTGCTTTTGCCACCGACGTTATTGTCGAGCAGTCCAAGTTCTACAACCAAGAGGTGACCATCACCTACCAGCTGCTCCTTATTCTTTCCACCCAGATTCTGGGTTATGCCTTTGCCGGCCTCACCCGTCGGTTCCTGGTGCGGCCTAGCGGCATGATCTGGCCCGGCACCCTGATGTCAGCAGCCATGTTCGGTACCCTTCACAAGGAAGAGAACAGAATCGCCGACGGTTGGAGGATCTCGAGATGGAAGTTCTTCTATTTCGTCTGGCTGGGAGCCTTTGCCTTCTACTTCTTGCCTGGTCTGTTGATGCCATGCTTGAGTTACTTCAACGTCATCACATGGTTCGCGCCAAAGAATGTCGTCGTTGCCAACCTGTTCGGTGTCGTCTCCGGACTTGGTCTGTTTCCTCTGACTTTTGACTGGGCGCAGATCACTTATATCGGCTCGCCCCTTTTGGTGCCTTTCTGGGCGGCAATGAACGTCATTGGTGGCCTTGTAATCGTGATGTGGTTTATCGCCCCCATCGCCTACTATGCCAACGTCTTTTACTCTTCTTACATGCCTATACTGTCATCGTCGGTTTTCGATAACCAGGGTAAGGTTTACGATGTCAGCAAGATCTTGACGTCCGAGTTCTTGTTCGATAGAGAAGCATACAGCAAGTACAGCCGGGTGTTCCTGCCTATTACATACGTGTTGAGCTATGGTGTGCAGTTTGCTGCTTTAGCAGCCCTGCTTACGCACACTTTCTGCTGGCATGGCAAGGAAATCTGGCAGACTTGGAAGACAGCTCTTCAAGAGGCCAGAGACGATGGACAGGCAATCTACCAGCCAGTCTCTGGTGGTGGACCAGAGCACGTTAGACCGCAAAGATCCTTCACCAGCAACGGTGGCCTCTCGAGGTCCTCTTCCAACCTCGAAGGCCTTCTTTTCCGAGAGGATGTGCACTGCCGGTTGATGAAGCGGTACAAGGACGCACCCCTGTCATGGTACATGGCGACATTCGTGAGCATGCTGGCGGTTGGCATGTTTGTTGTCGAATAGTAAGTACTGACTCTCGAAGAATTTGAAGAGCTATTACTGACCCATCACAGCTACCCGATTCACCTTCCATGGTACGGCTTGCTACTCGCACTGGGCGTCTGTGCCATCTTCTTCATTCCGAACGGCATCATCATGGCGGTCACGAACCAACATAGCAGCATCTACCTGATTTGCCAACTCATCTGCGGCGCCGTGTTCCCGGGACGCCCCATAGCCAACATGGTTTTCGTCACGTATGGATACATCTCATCCGCGCAGGGTATCAAGTTTGCCTCCGATCTCAAGCTCGGACATTATATGAAGATTCCTCCGCGGATCATGTTCTCGGTCCAGATGGTTGCGACGGTTGTGTCGTCACTGACGCAGATTGGCGTGCTCAACTGGATGTTTGCCAACGTGAGTGGCATCTGCACGTCTGAGGCGGTCAACGGATTCACCTGCCCCATTGCGCGGGTGCACTTCAACGGCTCCATCCTGTGGGGTGTCGTCGGGCCGGGCGAGTTTTTCGGGCCAAACGCGACATACCGCGGACTGGTGTGGTGCTTCCTCATCGGAGCCATCATGCCGATCCCGCTGTGGCTCTACAGCCGCAAGAAGAAGCACAGCATCGTGCGTAAGATCAACCTCCCCGTCGTCTTCGGCTCCATGGCATGGATCCCACCGGCGACGGGCCTCAACTTCTCGGTGTGGGCGGTGGTTTGCTACGTGTTTAATTACCTGATCAAGAGGAGGAAGGGCGCGTGGTGGGCCAAGTACACGATGACGATGAGCGCAGCATTAGACTCGGGCCTGGCGTTTGGCATTGTCGTCGTCTTCTTTGGATTCATATACCCAGGCCACATGAAAGGCTTCAAGTGGTGGGGGACGGAGGTGTACAAGGAGGGCTGCGACTGGCAGGCCTGCTCGTACAACACGGTACCTGAAGGTAGCCATTTCGGACCCGACAAGTGGTGATTTTTGTTGTTGTTTTTTTGCTGTTATATTTGACGAGATGAGAGACGACATGAATTCATGGAAAGTGCGCGTGTGTGTGGTTAAACCTTTGGGTATGAGACATTTATGGCAAGCAAGCATAGTCGGAAAGGCATATTCAGAGAGCATGGGAAATAAAGAGACGGAGTTTGTTTGAATTCTTGTTTTGGTTGGGCTTCCCCCGTCTGGGATTCCGTGACGGATCACGGCGGGATTATTGTTTAGCGCATATTATAGAGCAGGTCACGGAAGAGAGGCTCTGCATTGCGAAATTGATCTCTTGGGTCCCATATTGGTTCCCCGGAAGTTTGACTCAAACCTCTGAGCCGTCGCAAGTTGTATGCAGTGGTGTGAATAAATATTCTTTTTTCCTGAGTCACGGGCAAGTTTTGTGACTCAACCATCTATGGATCTTGATTTGGCCTCAATCTATCTCCACACACTAAGACACACACTAAGAGGAGGGACACCAAAAAATAATAAAACCTGACGAACCAACATGGCCGGATTTCCGTTTGTTAGGGGGGAGAGTCATTGTTGCGTTTGACTCGAGGGGGGGACCTGCGTTAATTACTGACCTTCTCGATACGGACATGACGGACGGGGGTCGGCATCGTGATCCGTCCGGGGGTGTCCTCCCACGTAAGCTTTTTTTTAGCGGCACGCAATCAGTGAATGACAAGAGCCGGGAGTCGCCAATCGGTCGTCGTTGTGGGCCTTGAATTTACAAGTTGAGATGGCGGGACGGAAGAAGAGAGAGCTACTTTTTGTTTGGTGTTGACGGGTTACGATTACGACGTTCTCTAGGAGAGTGGGTGGGCTCGAAGGATTCCATCTGCAGGGACTTTGCTTACTACCCAAGGCAAAAAAGAAAGGGAAGACGGGTGATGTATATAAGGACGTCTTCACGGGTCTCGTCTGTTGGATCGGATGTCTGTTATAATTGACTTGTCTCTCACCTTTTTTCGCATCAAAAGAAACAGTTTCCCAACGTCATTGGCGTGTCCGTCTCATCTCCAATCTCTCAGAAAAAGTCAATTGGGAACCCATACATTGAATTGAGACACGCACCAAACGCAGCTTGTAACCACCACATCCCAAAAGCAAAAAAAAAAAAAAAACAACACATAAAAAAAAAAAAAAGCAAAAGAAACACACAAGTAAACGCCCATCATGCCCACACAAGCATCCCACCTCCCCACACTCCTCCGCTCCCCGACCCACCCGATCCTCCTCCGCACCCTGGAACCCCGCGACGCGGCGTCCGTCTCCGCCGTGCTCTCGGACCCGGAGAACACCAAATATGACCCGCACGCCTCGGCCGTTTCCCCAGAAGTCGCCGTCAAAGTCATCGAGCGGATGAGGGAGAGCGCGTCGGCGCCGACGGTGCTCGACGATGATGACGCCGGGCTGAAAGTCGTCCGCGGACCGGGCCGCGTGAACCTGCTCATCGTGTACGTCGACGGCGTGGAGGATACGCTGGGGTCGACCGCCGACGATGGAACCGTCATCGGTTTCGGCGGGTTCGGGAACATCCAGGAGCTCGACGAGGACGGGGAGAAGGTCCGCGTAGGTGATGTCGGCGCCATGATCAACTCTGCCTTCCGCGGCCGCGGTCTCGCGACGGAGGCAATCAGGCTGGCTGTGGAATGGGCGTTTAAGGGGGTGCGCGAGGGGGGCTTGCAGTTGGCGAGGGTTACGGCGACGATGAGTGACAAGAACGTCGCCATGGTTGGGCTTGTTGAGAAGAAGTTGGGGTGGACGGGGGTGAGGAAGCCGAACGGGGAGGTGTTTTTTGAGGTTACGAAGGATACCTGGAGGAAATGATTTGAGAGGCATTTGTAGATCAAAGTGAGGAGCGAGGTCGGGGGTTGCAAGCTTGGTCTGAGTAACGCCTGAGGAAAGAAAGGACTTGTTGCAAAAGGTTGAAGGCATCACACGACGGTGCCGCTCCGCTGCGGAATGTTATTTATCGGGTTATCGTTATATATCAACTGTTATTGTGATTCGTCTATGCCAGCATCGTCCCTCAGTGTGTCCTCGAAATCACAATATCTTCACTCGCCAATCCGAGTGTGAGTTTCTACTGGTCTGCTAGTTTGTGGCATCATCTCACCGGAACATGTCCAACCGCGTTTGCACTTACAATGAGACCAACGGTTTCACGTAAGGGCCAGTCAAAGAAAGTTGGAAACAATGGGTTTGCTTGCAGACCTATATCATCAGTTCTTCGTCACGAGCAACACATCACACAAAGCAAGAAGGACAGTCTTGACTTGCAAATGCAGTCTTGTATTGGTGGTCTAACCCAAAGGCTACTGTTTCTAATTGTATACTAATAGTCCTGGCCTTTAGGCTATCACAATTGAATAACAACACGTCGAGTGAGTTATTGCATTCGTACTCTTGATACCGACCCAGTCAAAGACTCGATCAATGCTGGAGAAGCCATAAACGAAACAACCAAGTCAAACATCGCGCAAACTCAAGTACCTGACCTGGTGTTGAACCACCCACCCTTTACCAATGACAGTTGTCACCAACCAGCAGTGACAGAAGGAAACATCCTATGCCTCAGCCCACAGGTGTTGAACGTGCCAGCTAGGCTATCGCACAAGCTCAACATCCCGCGTCTAAGCCTCGGTTCGGATCTTCTTTCTCATCATTGTCATGGCAGCCGCAATGACCGGTAGCACACTGACGATCTCGCCCAAGCCAGCATACGCAGGTTCAATGCGCACATTGTACTTCTCGAGCGCCCCGGCCGCCATGAGGATGGCGAGAACATTGTAAACGGCCGACCAGACAAAGTTAAAGACCATGCGTCTGAAGCTGGCGCCGCTCACGTCCAGCAAAAAGGGGATGCCTTCCAAGCCCGCGAGGAGAACCACGTCCGCAGCTCCACGAGTGACGTCGCTCGCCGACGCGGCACTGCCGAGTTGGACGCCAACATCGGCCTGAGTGACCGCTACAGCGTCATTCGTGCCGTCACCAACAAACATGACGACCTTGCCATCGGACATGAGCGAAGCAACATAATCCCGCTTCTGGGCCGGGGTTCTTTGGGCAGCGACGTTAGGAATGCCGACCTGTGCAGCAACCGACTCGACAGCGCGTGTTTGGTCCCCGGAAACGAGGTGGACGGCGATTCCACGGCGGCTGAGTTGATCAATGACATTGGCTGCTTCTGTGCGGAGATGGGTGCGCAAACCGAAGATGGCAATGGGAGACGAGTCCCGCGTAACAACCAGGAGAGTCATGCCAGCATCCTGAAGCAGTATGACAGAAGGTAGGGAGTCAACTCCAGTCCACTTTGGGTTTCCAGCGCACACGGCGCGACCGTTGAAAGTTGCTTCCACGCCAGCACCCGGAATAACATGGGGATCCTCGAGTTTGATTTCGGGGATTGCTCGCTGAGCGAGGTGCTTTGCGACCGCCACGGAAACGGGATGCTTGTTGCCTGCCACAAGGGCCTTGGTAATGGCTCGAACTTCGTCAGGATCGGAGGTGAGAATTTCTTCTTCGACAACATCCAGGTCCCCTTCGGTGATGGTGCCAGTCTTGTCAAAGACAATGTCAGTCACCATGCGAGCCCGTTCAGTGCACTCCGCCGACTTGATAATGACACCACCCTTGGCGGCAATACCACCTGCAACAACTAGCACCATAGGTACGGCGAGACCAAGAGCACAGGGGCACGATACGGCGAGAACGGCGACGGCATAGGTGATGGCCTCAGATATCGCTTTACCGGTTGAAACCTTGTCAACTTTCAAACCCACAACTACCCATGCAATTGTGACAATGACAGCAACCGTGGCAACGACAGGAACAAACCAACTGGCCACACGGTCGGCAATGTTCTGGATTCTGGGCTTCGAATTGGCTGCTTCTTCGACGAGTTCGGCGATGTCGGTGACGGTGTTCTTGCCAGGAAGACGTGTGAGCTGTGCCGTGAGCGTGCCGGACCCATTGACGGTGCCAGCAATTACAGTGTCGCGCTGTTTCTTGAAAACAGGCACACTTTCTCCGGTCAGCATGGATTCGTCCACTTCGCTGGAACCGTTGACCACGAGGCCATCAGTGGGTACAGTCGAGTGCGGGAGGACCTTGAACTTGTCACCGTACTGGAGGAGGCGAGCGTCAATCTCAACATCCTTCCCGCCTTCCACGACCACAGCGGTAGAGGCTTGGAGGGAGCGAAGCGATACAGCAGCAACAGCACGAATGCGTGCATAGGCAGCGACAAAGCGACCAAGCAAGACCAGAGTAATGAGCAGAGTGCTGGTCTCGAAGAATTCCTTGACGTCGACATCCGGGCTGGCTAGGCGTAAGCCAAAAGCCACAACCGAGTAGACGTAGGCAGCGGTTATGCTGATGACGACCAGCATATCCATTTCAATGGTGCGGCTGTAGATCAGGGATGAGGTGGCTGGCTTGTAGAATTCCGGCACGGCGATGAGCTGGACGAGAGTTGCCAGCACAATCGAAACAATGGAACGCGTTTTCTTGCTGACAAGGGTGTCACCCCAAGCAAGAACAGCGACGGGTATGGTTAGAACTGCGGCCACGGCAGTCTTTACCAGCTGATCATACATCCTCTTTCTTCCACTTGCAACCGAAGGGTCGTCGCGAGGAGGTGCCAGCCCGGTCGAGAGTGAACCGATTCTTTCAAAAAGGGTACGAGCACCGATGACAGCCGGATCATAAGTGACTCGGACAACCTTGGGATCCATCACGTTGATATCACTGACACCGAGAATCGCCAGGTCGACCATTGCCTTTGCGGCCGCGCCTGAAGCGAGTATATCGAGCGTCTGGTCATCGCTGGACATTCGGGTACAATGGAAACCGGTGGCTCGCTCAGCATTACGAATGACTTCCTCGACTTTGCCCGCAGTGCCGTCAAGTTTGAACTCGGCATTGCCCATGACGAAGTTAACACGTACACCAGACACGCCAGGAACGGCCTTGAGGGTACGCTCGAGCTTGTTGCCGCATCCAGAGCAGGTCATGCCATCGACAACGAGAGCAACGTGCTCCAACCCAGCATCCCTCTCGATATCCTTTTCACCGTCAAGGAAGAGGATGGGTTGCTCCTTTCCGAGAGCAGGGCGGTGGTGATGATGATCATCGTGGCCACCACAACAGTCGGACTCGTCGTCGCGGACAGGCTTTATATCCATATCATGGTCGTGTGCAGACTTCTTGCCACGTCGTTTGATATTATGGTGATGATGATGCTTATGCTGGCCGTGAGTATGGGCCGTCGCCCGTGCCTCGGTGTTGTCGCGGCCCCTCTTCGCAGCGGTAGAAGCCAAGGCGGGAGCGGCAGCGGCAGTGGCGGCGGCAGCAGCCTGTTGATCACTACAACAAGTGGCGGGCAAGCCGCGCTCAAGAATGTTGCGGCAGATGCAACGGGCCGTCTCGAGATAGGCGCTGTACTGCTCGAATGCCTTGGTGAGGTGAGTGCTACAAGCTGAAGCCAGGTGATGGCCATCCTTATCGTGTGTGTGCTTGTGATCGGGCGCACCTGGCAACTGACATCAGTCTTGAGACAAGCACTAGTCATGGAATGCAATGCCTACCGTCATGGGCAGTATCATCGTCACAAGCTTTCTCGCACTCGACGGCGGCAGCGGCAATGATGCATTTCTCTGTAAACTCTGGTTAAAAGAGGGCTATACCAAGCTGGCGCAGGTTCTATACCATCGCAGTGCTCTTCCTTCGAGGTGCAGCACTCGAGCTTTTTGGAACGACATGACGAGTCATCCTCGGAATCGCAATACGTCTTGGCATCGCAATCCTCCTCGAAACAGGTCACATCTTCAGCACTGTCGCAGTCTGCATTGCTGGAGCAGTGGAATTCGCGTTCGTGGCCTTGATCATGCACATGATCGTGACCATGTTGAACTTCAGTAGAAGGGCCGTCGCACTGCTGGTCCTTGACAGGACCGTCAGAGCAACATCCGGAACCCATCGTCGCCGTAGTGTTTTTGCTTCTTTGTTGTTACCTGTAAGTATGTTGATATTTTTTTTTTTTTTGATGAAAGTTACGCAAGAAAAGAAAGATGATGTGATGGTTTGGGGAAAGAGGTCAATTGCTTCAGAAAAGGAAGGGACGTTACTGTATATCAGTGAATTCGGACGGGTTCCGACTCCAATGGGGGGTTTTACCAGGGTTACATGCAAACAGGGTTATTGTAAGGAGTCTTCATTCCCGCTCGGGTACAGAGCGCCCCGGATCGACTGATGATACCCTTTAATTGATTGATTGATTGGATTGGTGATTCGTTGTTCCCCGTTCAATGATTACGCCTCTCTTGGCTAAGCTTTACGTATCACACCTACAATTATTACCTGTGAGGTTGGAAATTTCTCAACACGTGGACGTTGCCAAGCTGGTGGCTAAACACAATCTTCATCCAAATTGTCTTAATCTTCAGCTTCTAGAACGATGTTATTGGTGCCGTCTCACGATATCACCGCGATTGGGATGGCGCGTGGCTCGGCGCCTTGGAATCAGCCAAGACCAAATCTGAAGGTTGGGGAAAAAAGAACAGGCACCCGGGGGCTCGACGAACTTCGGATGGAGCTAGCTTCGTCTCATACGCGCAGAGCTGCCAGATGGCCTCTTCATTCTCAAAATCCGCCATGCGGCCCCACCCCGACCGAACATTCGAGACCTGAATCGTGTATATTTGCCAATTCGTAGGATGGTCAAGCGTTGCTTCGATGTTTTCTTCGGGGCATGGGCGGGCCACTTCATGCGGAGACTTGCTCGGCGTTCACGGTCATATCGGAGACAAAACTCATCAAAGACATGGGGGGCAAGCAAAGTCACCGAGTGGCTTAAAGTCACCGAGACAATATGTAAATCGACGTCAACACATTTCCTCATTTCCTTGTTCCTTGGCCTTCCTGGGCGCCACTGTCATTAGATATATCAATAACAATAAAAAAACAAATAACCGCTCTGGCTCTCTATCCCCTAGGTTGGTTTACAAAAAAAAAAAATGGTATCATTGTCCCCGAGCAAAACATTTGGTTGGTATCATGTAAAAAAGACAATAAGCCTCTCATCAGAACGCCACGCCGACGCTGCCCCGTCTAGGGCCAGTCCCGTCTTTTTCCTTGCCAAAGGTGGTAACGCGCTCCAGCGGCGGATGCTCCTCTGCTCTAGTGGCGGGAGTACTGCCGGGCGACCACGTCGTCGGGACCGTTTGGCCTCCGTCTTCTGACTCCCATGTCGACACAGTCGACACCGAGTCAAAACTGCTGCGTCCGCCCTGCGGCACATGTACACATTGGTAAAAGCCTTCGTTTCCCTTGACGGGACGGGGATAGTTGGTGACGGAATCGTGACTGATGTTACGGTGGTGGTGTTGGTCCACGCTGCCGTTGCTGCTGCTGGGGAACAACCAGCTGGAAACGCGCGAGAAGGATTTCTTCTTGCGCAAAGGTGGGCGGAGGACGAGGGGCAAAGGAGGCGGAGGGGGCCGTGCCTCCCTGCCGCGGCTCGGGGGTGGTGTAATAAAGGCCGCCGATGCATCGGCGAAGGCCATGCCGCGGTGGGGAATATGCACCGGAGGCCGGGGCGGCGCTGTGTGAGGGCGCTCAACCCCAGGGTTCAGGCGCTGTGCGAAAGAGGGTGCAGCTGGCGGTAGGGCGGGGACCGTGGGCATGGGTTCCATGTCTACTATTGTCAGCACACGTGAGACTCTAAATTTGGCGTGAACCAAGCTTACCGTGCACTGTCGGTGCCGTCGAATGAGCTGTCGAAGGCCGACTACCTGCGTAAATGCTCTGACGCTCCATGACTAAGTCAATCTCCCGCTGAAGCTTGTCCACCTCCAACATTGCTCCCGCAATTCGGTGCTTCATCTCCTCCACGCTTAATGACGTTAGAGACCGCGCTATCGATTTGGGCGGAATTCTGGGCGGTGTATCATCTGGGGTCATTGTCGATGGCGATACCGACATCTTTCGCGGAAGATGAAACGACATGGGAGAGTAACTCGGCTCATGCGAAGACCCGGAGACGATGCCGTAAACATCGTCTTTCGGGTTTGGCTGAACCCTGGCTGGCGGGGGCGGGGGCGGGGTGAGCATCTCGAAGTGAGGTAGAATAGGCGACAGCTCCCTCTTGGGCACGTAAATGCTCAGTTCAAGCGGGCGGAACGACGAGGGACGAGTTCTGGACAATGGCCTTGGCGGCAATGGACGTCCAGCTGTCCGAAGACTGGTATATTGAGGAAATTGAAAAGACTCAGAGTGCAGATGGCGAAAGTTGGTAGGCCCCGATATTTGTAGCCGGCGCGGCGAAGAGGAGTCTGAGCGAATTCGCTTTCTCACAGAGAACCGCTTCCGGAGCGATGCGAAACTTCTCTTGACTCCTCCATTCGACTTCTCCGGCTGGGAACGAGGTCCGACAGGCTTCTGCATTGTTCCAGCAAAAGGCGGAGGCATGGGCACGGGCTGGTCAGTTACGGTGGGTGGCAGTTTTTCAGAGATGCCAAAGGTGTCTAAGCGGACTGGTTAGTGTCCGGTGGGCAGGTATATGGCGTTTTTCTCGCCGGACTTGGACAGTGGACAGAACTGTAAACTCACTTTGACGCTGCTTCTCATCCAGACGGTTAGACAACGGAGCACAGCAGTGGGTGAGGGGCGAAAGCCATGTCGCATAGGCGTCTGCAAGTATGCCACTCAAACCCTTCATACCTGCTTCGCAAAAAGCTTCATGCCGAAGACGCTGGGAACATAGGGAAATAAATAACGAGAGACGACCAGCGATTTGAAGGAAGCGTAACGACGAGAATGTATGATGGTGGCAGGAGAAAGGGGAAAAAAAGGGATTCAAGTGATCTGATTGAGTTATAATAGAGAATGGAGCGACGGGAGGCAAGACGGCAACCTGCAAGATGAAAAAGAGCCCACTCACACCTACATAGACACACACACACACACACACACACCTCTGCACTTGGGCCCGACCAAGCTCACCTGCGTTCGTTCCCTGAAATTTTCTATCCCCAATTCCCACCTTGGGCCAGAGGTTTTGCTCAAGTGCTTTGCTTCATAGGTCCAGTTGAGAGAAACATGGGAGGGACATGGGCCTGGGCAGTTGTCGGCGAGGTGTGCAGTTGAGATGCAGACTGGTCGCTCTGATAGGCCGGGGTTGCAGATGGGGCCAGACACGGCCGGCCAACCGGCGCTTAGGAAGCTGGGATGTTGTCGGATTCTGATGGCTGGCGCTACACCATCATCCTGCACCAGATTGCAGGACTCCACCAGTTGTGTAAGATGAAGACGCTGGCTCAGCGAGTCGATGTCTTACCTCTGCCTTGCTTTGGTAACTCGGTGCCAGCTTGACCAGCAGCTGCTTGCCACAAGTGTCCCCTCCAAACGAGGGTCTCGTGCCAGTCACAATCCATCATCCTACCCGATACCAGTCACCATCACTGCCCCTTGTCATCTCTCGGGGGCCCCACGAACCCTTCCGTCGAAAAATACTGACAAACAGGGCTACGGCTGAAGGGTATTTCGAAACCGCTGAGTGTGCGTGTTTCCAGTCGGGCAAATTCAGCGGCCAGACCTGACGGGCCAATCACTGCAGCGTGGCCGATTAGGCCTCCCAAACGGCACGGCAATCCCAGTCATCCAGCAACATGTGCCAGCGTGAGCGGACGGGAAACGAATGAAATCCATTGAAGCATGCAAGGCACCGCGGGTGACATGGGGGAAACGCGGGAAGCCTATCTGACGGAACAGGATACGCTGCGCCGTTACAACGCATCTTGACAGCCCTGCCTATCTCCTATTGCAAAGTCATGCCTCGCCGTTGAAGGATCGCACACGGAGAGAGCGAAGCTGATGGGCTAAGCAAAATGGAGGATGACGATGACGATGACTATAATAGTTGTGGGTAGCAGAGATTGAGAGAGGTGGTGTGCTTTACGATGCTCTAGAGTGCTCCGCTCCGCTTTGCATTTGCCTCACTCACTAACCTTCTCTCTCGCCTTCGTTCTAATAATAATCACCTCAGTGACTAAGCGTCATTTGACCATTTAACGTTAGTTACGACGATTGTGCCTGTGATGGTTGCAGCATCGGGCGTGCTAAGAGGGAAAGCTTCCCAGGCTGGGACGACTTGAGTCAAGCAAATTTTAGTGTCCGAGAATCCGTTGCTGTTAAAGCGTGGCGGAGTCCTTCGTCATCACCTGTTCTGAAGAAAACCGGTGGATGAGAAGCTTCGGCAGGCCATCTCGTGTTACCCTAGCGTAAACACACTGTCTCGGACAAACCGCCACATTGTGGAGGGCAGAGAGGGGCTTGAGCTGTGAGGGGAATACTATGTATGTTCTTACATAATTGAAGAAAGAAGCATACCTAGTCTCTCTGCTGACAAAGACATCTAAGTCACGTGATGGTACTCACTGGACTAGCCTGCTATGAGATGGATTTCGATATGGTCTGAGCGTGCTTATCGATAACGGCTATCGGAGAAAGAGACTACCGATCCAATATGGACGCGGACGGACCTTTACCCCTGCACGGATTTTTTGGGGAGAAGTGAACACCTGGCTTGCTTGCGGGAGCCGCTTTTGTCAAGACTAAAGTGCCCACGACTTCACATCTGACGGCATTCTCGAGTTTATCCAACAACAAGAACACCTCACTTGGGCTGTCGTTGTCGCCGGACTCCTCCAATCTTCCCGGCCGCACATACAGGACAAGATTTTCCTGTCAGAACGTCGTCACCAGCACTAGGCGCGTCAAGCACTAGCTTACTTCAAGATGTCGATGCCAATGCCCGGCCCCATGCAGATGGGCCCCAACGGGCAGCCCATGCCGTCGCCCGAGCAGATCGCCGCTATGCGCAGACAGATTGAGGCCGACGCTCAAAAGGCTGGCATGTCTGTCCCGGATTTCCTGAACAAATTGCGTCAGGAAGCAATGATGAGGGCTCAAGCTCAGGCAGAGTTTCAGCGACAACAGCAAGCCCAACAAGGCGGCGAAGGTGGTGAGGGCGAGGGGCATGCTCACAGCCACGATCACGACCACGATCACGACCATGATCACGACCACCATGGACATGATCACCACGGCCATAGCCATGGGCCCCCTCAGCAGCAGGGTGTTGCTAGACCGTGAGTTCCACAAGTGCCATGTAAATTATTGTATGCTAACAAACATTCAGAATCCAACCTGGTCCTCCTAACCCGACTTCCCTCAAGCTTGCTGCCTTCCTCCGTAGCCAGGATCTGAAGCCCCGAACCTGTATTCTGAATGGCGAAAGAAAGGATATGTTCAGAGGTATGCATCCATTGGTGTCGGCTTTCAAAGTGACCAACCCCTGTTAACAACCTTTGCAGTCAAACGCGCCCTCCGTGCCCTCCAGTCCCCCGCCTACGAGAAGTTGCGAGCAAAGAACCCCGACCTTCCTGAAATCACCGATCGTGCTTCTCTTGAGAACGCTTTCAAACTGCTACCCATGTCCATGCTGGCCCTGCGTGTAGTGAAGAGCGACCCCCACGAGGGACATGACCACGGCCCGAAGAAGACAAAGCGTGTCAAGGGTCTTTGGACTGTCCGCATTGAGCCTCAGCAAGAGGCCCAGGATGACATGTACTATGTCTGGTTCTACGAGGGTAGCCAGGTTAAGCGCAAGCTTTACTCGATCCTCGCCCTCGTCCTGATCTTTATCGTCGTCTGTTATCCTCTTTGGCCACTCAAGCTGCGTCTCGGTGTTTACTACCTCAGTTGGGGATTCCTTGGACTGCTGGGATTGTTCTTCCTCATGGCTATCTTCCGTGTTATTCTCTTCTGTGTCACCTATTTTGTCGCATCACCCGGTCTCTGGCTCTTCCCCAACCTCTGGGAGGATGTGTCCTTCGTTGACAGTTTCAAGCCTGTCTGGGCCTGGCACGACGTAAGTTATTATCTGCGCACTCGGTATTTCTCAGCCAAATGCTAACAGCTGGTCAGACTGCTCCTAAGAAGGGCAAGAAGAAGAAGTCGTCTTCTGGGGCTGCCAGCGCTGGTGGTACCTTTGCGGCTTCCACTGGCCAACCGGCCCCTGCTTCTGCGATGACTACTGCGACCGAGACTCAGATCGCTTCTCAGCCTTCGCAGCGCCCTGGCTATGTTGCACCGGCTGTGGAGGAGTTGGCTGACGACGAATAGATGCATCGCTGAGGTAGTAAATCGCATCATTATACAGGCGTTGGGGGTTCTCGGATGAAGGTTGTACTTGTAGATATACCCAGCGTCCAGCATGCTGTCACCTGGGTTCGGGATGGAAAAGCCATGGCGGTACATATCGGTGGTCAATCTGACTCTCCTATGGTCTTGAATGGAAGATATGAAGGTCACGCACGGCATTGTTTTGTGACTTGTCTTTTGAAGTTGCATTTTCTTTTATTTATTTTTTCCCCCATGAATGAGAATCCGGATGTGTGAACCAAAAGATTTTCAAGCTGAAGACCGACGAAATTATGTATATTACTACGTCTACTTGTCATTTGACCTTTATGGAAACCTCGTTTACTGCAGAGATCCTTCGGCACGCTCGTAGTACCAAACGGCACCCTCGGTCTTGGCACAGTTGGATACGCTTCCGCCGTTGCTGTCGGCGGCGACCGGCACGCCCTGGACGCGCTGGGGCCTGCCGTAGACGTGGAAGTAGTACCAGGTCTCGCCGAGCTGGGTGAAGCCGTTGTCAAGGGAGCCCTTGCCGGCCTCGGTGGTGTTGTAGCGGGGGCCGGTGCAGCCCACGTAGGGCAGAGCACCGTGGCCCTCGGTGAGAGCGGCCTGGATAGCGGAGAGGGAGTAGGCGGACGCGTTGGAGGGCTTGATGTCCTTCTCGGCGAGCCACTTCCAGGTCGGGGTCTGCTTGTAGTATTCGATGGCGGTCTCGAAGTAGTCGACGAGCTCTTCGTGCTCCTGGTACTTGGGGCCGTAGCACTCAACGTCGAAGGTGCTGAAGCAGGTGGCGTGCTTGGAGAACTCGTGGGCCCAAAGGACCCAGTTGGGGGTGGACTGTGCGATCCAGTACCTGTTGCTGTTAGAGCACTAATACCTTCGGAAAACGGGAAAACAGTGGTCGGGGGCATACTTGTTCATGTACGCCAGCAAGTCGAACTTCTCAAAAGGAGTGATGAAGTTGTCGATGGGGGTTCCAGTATAAGCAGGGACAGGAGTGCCGTCAGGCTTGCCGTTAGTGGTGTTAGGCGAGGGGAGGGGGTCGTATTGACGTTTGAGGTCGCAATACTGCGTGTACGAGCCGTTGCAGAAGTCTGCATATGCAATATTAGTTTTGCGACTCATTTCTGGATTAAATAACCAGTCTTACCAGGCCACAGTCCGTGAATGGTCCACTGGTCTTGGGGAAGCTTTTGTCCCTCGCTCTCTAGGCCCGTATAGGTGTTCCAGTACTGAGTCGCCATCTGCCAATTGCGGTATTAGTTCCGGGCATGCCTCTGTCGATCTCGGGACAACATACAACAAGACCACCAAAAGTCTCGACACAGCAGGTGTCGACCTTCTCCGGCACTGCATCGCAAGAGCAGGAGAGAACGGGCTCAACTGGATGAATTTAATGTCAATTGAGCGTCCATTATCAAAATAGAACTTGTTGCATACCGAGGCCACAGGTGTGGTTGGCAGTGGTCAGTCCGGGGTAGAGACCAGCAGCGGCAGTGCGCAACAGGCCGGCGACCGCCAGGTAACCAATTGCTCGAGTCATCTTGATTTGAAAATATCTTCAAGTCCTCACAAATGACAGCGGAGACGAGAAAGGCCAAGGCAACTAACACACATCACCAAGTTCGAGAAATACACCCGGCGGCAACATCGCACTTTATAGCATTCTGCCATCTCCAGACCAGCTGAAAATTTCCGCCATCTCCGATCTCCACACGGGACACGACGTCAACATGTTTACACTGAAAAAGAGGGCTCTTGGCTTGATCAGGAAGCTGGTGAAGAGCAGAAAATCGGCTGTCAATGCCGCCAGGGGGATGCAGTGTGGGGTCAATATCCCACCTGCTCGATCTACGGGTCCTGAGAGGTCAATTGGGTCTGGGGCGATAAAGGACGTCGGGGGTTCGTAGAGACCCGGGTGCAGTAGCGCGATATTGAATTGGTCAAGATGAGCTGGTCTGCGGTAACGCTTTGGGAACTGTTGCCGTTCGAAGTGCGGCGAGCTCCGAAGGTAGGGATTGGGGATGATTAGACATTTAAGTAAAGGCTGTGTGGTATAAGGCAGTTGGAGTATTTGCATTTTACCTCATTCAGTCGTCAATGATACCGTCCGCACGTGGGGAGGAGAAATTGGTATCGCAGACTGAACCTTAAAAAATCGATAGGTGGCGGTGTAGACTAACAACTGTGGCGGAAGCTGCACCCCCGGAATGGCGGAACTGTGGACCCGAAGAGCTCATGCACGTTCCACCTCAGGCCGGGAAGGCATGAAACGGCTGTTTAGCTTACCCATTGCACCTTCATTCCCAAGGTCAAGCTCAGGTTTGGTAAGATCGAGGGAGTGAAAATCTCAACGACGCGCCTTCCTCTCATCTGGCAACACTAATTGACCACAAAATCTTATCCTTTTACACTCTTTACTCTCGAATAACTTGTCTCGTACTCAATTACTTTCCCTTAAACCCAGAGATCGTAAGACGTCTGTTCTGTCACCCGTATTCGACCACAGAGGTCTCTCTCATCACGTTCCGCGTCTCGACGCTCATTTTTCACCTTCCGGGCACCGGGTAAGCTGCAAATTCTCTTGCGTCTATTTCCTCAGTATGATGTTTCAAAACTGCATCATACTACCTATTGGTGAAATATACACGTCGACTTGAGGTATCTGATTGGCACAGCTCAAGCTGCGATTCACTCACTAGCAGTCGCGGCCATGTACCTCAGCTAATCACACACCTCACCTCACGCAAAGATTACTATTTTTTCTCGTGAAAACTTCCCAATTCACATGCCTACTTTCTTTCCTTTTTGAAAAGGCAATTGCCAGAATACTTTTTTCATCAGCTAACCTCATCCGCTCAGATTCTCCAATCACATTACCAACATGTCGGAAGAGGCGCCTGCCCCCGCCACCAACGGCGTTAACACAGCTCCTGTCGAGAAGCCTGTAGAGCCTGTAGAGCCTGTGAAGGAAGAGAAGTTCTCATGGGTGTACGTCCTACGTCTTTCATAGTCATAGTTGATCTAACGTTTTCAAGGCAACCGCATCCAGTCTTCGTCATTGTTCTGGTCGGAGCGGACGAGGTGCCATTCGGTATTCAGAAAGACTTCCTCTGCGCTCGATCATCCTTCTATCGAGACCACTTTAAACAAAACCCCACATCCGATTCCATCGAGCTCATTGTGAAGCTCCCCGATACCTCGCAGGAAGTTTTTGGTCTGTCCCAGCACTTCCTATTCACCGGCCAAGTCTCGGACGATACCGAATCCGTTCCTTCCTACGAGGTCCTCATCGGTGTATGGAAATTAGGTCATAAGCTTGGAATCGATGGACTCTGCGATAAGACTCTCGAGGCAATGGCCGAGTGCAGACGTGTTACACAACATATACCCGCCACTCCTCTCCTCGTTCAAGTTTGGAGAGATACCCCCGAAGGCTCAACGATTCGCAAACTTCTCCTGTCATGGGCGGCAGAGTACATGCGCTCGTCGGAGTCGAGAGCGGAATTTGCTAAATCACTTCCTCAGGAGGTTCTCAGTGAGCTTGTCGTGGCTATGAGCTCCCTCGACAATCTACCCGCAGCACAGAGTTCGTCTTCAGCAGGTTCTCCCCAGTCCGCCGAGCCGGCTCCAAGGAAGAGTGTACACTACCTCGAGGAGGACAGCGATGAAGATCAAGAGCACCTATCCAAGAAGAATCGACGCGCTTCTGCCCCGCTGCCCGTCTCCCAGAACTCTAAGGCCTACAGCCGCGCTCCACCCCCACCAGTTCGCAAAGCTGCGGCTGCAGCTGCGGTCGCTGCACCGAGACCGAAGCCGGTCGTTCAGAAGCGCCGCAGCATAGCGTCGGTACCTAGCGGAGAAATCAGCACCGAGAAGAAGGTTGAGTTCTGCTCCGACCTCCTCGACAGAATGCTCTCTGGCCCTGGTACGTTCTCATCCCTTCGATGCTAAAGCTAAGCTAATCCTTGTAGGCTTCTGGACACGTCTTGTCGGCCCTTTCAAGGAGCCCGTTGACCCCCGGGAGGACGGCGTGCCGGATTACTTTGAGAAGGTCAAGAAGCCCATGGATCTCAACACCATCAAGGCCAAGATGTCCCGCCGCGAGTACATGACGGAAGACGAATTCGTGGCAGACGTACGCCAGATCTTCAGTAACTGCTACACGTACTGGAAAAAAGGCGATCCTATGTGGGTTGCCTGCGAGAAATTCCAGAAAACATTCGAAGAGAAGTACGCACAGATGAACAAGAACATCACCAAGATGATGCGCGAGCCTGTCGACTAATGTACAGTTTTAAACCTCCTACTCCTTACCGATGGATTGATGTATGTAATTGTGGTCTGTGTATATTAATTGGAGAGGAGTAGGTCTATGGTTTGTTTCTAGTTGCCCTCAAGCACCGTTGCTAATGTTAATGGCGGTGAAGGTGGAGGCTTTTATATAGGTAGCGCGAGTGACTGAGGCGCGGTTGCTTTCTTTTGGCGCATCGTTTGCTTTTGTGGAGGATAATACCCAGACTGGCCTTGGGGCGGAACGACATGTATCTATCTAGGCAGAAACACAGGCGAACAAAAATAAAATAAAACTGACTGAAACATCACATCTCACATCAAAACTCTCCCCCAGAAATGCCCCTCCCCCACGACCCCGCCATGGTTCAAGAGACGCCCGATATGACGAGCTTTGTAATTAGTCTTGACACTATCGGGCCGAAATTTCGTGATGCCGGTCTTCTCCCCGTGGAGACGGCGCTAGCACCGGAGGTGCCACACGTCAGGTGTTCTTTGTTCCATCCAGTACCAGACCGTTTGGGCCATTGGGGGGCGGCGGTCTAGTCCGCAGTTTGCCAGCGCGATTTTCAGGCACATTGCCACTTTTTTTTTTTTTTTTTTTTTTTTTCTTTTTTTTTTTTCTCTCTCTCTCTCTCTTTTATCTTGGCCCCACGATCAAAGGGACCAAGAATCAAGCTCCTGCCAAGGGTCGCGGACATCAGCCCGTCGAGTTGGCAACCTTAACGCAACAGGTCTTATGCATCCAGCAACCTGTCTTGCAGAAGCGCAACGTCTGTCTAGAATTACTGTCCAATCAAAATTTTTCTGGTTAAAGAAAACGGCAATTCTAGGTAGCCATATGTTCCATCGCTTCTTAGTTTTACGTTGGCGTAGTTGAATGAATCCATCTCAAAATATTAGATCTAGCCACTATGGATTCCATCTCATCGTCACGAGGGAAAGGACTGAGACTCTGCCCATCTGATACTCCAGCACTGCTTCCCCTTTTTCTTCTTCTTCTTCTTCTTCTCCTCCCCCGCCATCTGGGGGAAACTAAGTAGGTTCGTGAGAGTAGCGCCATGCTAGATACGGACAGGACGACTCAATCACCCCCAGCCTCTCCCCGCATGTGCGTTGGTATTCTCGCTGAAACTATGCGTTCGCGGCCACCGAACCCTCGACTTTCCCCCCCACAACCTCTCGAGAAGCGCCGAGAGCACTCAACGTCGGCCGTGGACGCTAGCTTGATACCGCCGAGTTCTCACATAGAAGCCTGGCCCGTCAAGAGCTCGTCTGCCGCCATCCCGTCTTGACCATGGTGCAAGTGTAGTGGCCAAGACGGGGTCTAGACGCGCGGGGCGACCTGGAGTTCGCCCGCACTCGTTAGCTTTTCCAGACCAGCGTCGCCCCAACCGCTCGTCAACCGTCCGCCACCCTGCAGATTTCCCCGGTAGAGCATGCCCCCCGGTTTTCACTAAATTCTAGACAAAGGGCGATTCGTCAAACAAAGGCTGGCCCACGTTGTCATTTGTGTCGTAGGAAGCTGGAGCATGCGACGGCACTTACACCCAGTTTGGGCTGTCCCCCCCGGGCCACGGCATGATGAATTTGAGTTTCGACCCAGAACTACTGCATGAGCTACCTGTTGTAGTGGATGTAGTTCGAGGCCTGGCTGGATCCAAGGTCATGGTACTGGTGGGGTGTCGAAGAGATAGGTAGCTGTAGTGGCGTTCTGTCTTGGACGACGACGGGCTTGCCGTTTGGAGAGGTTATTTGTGTTGTTGCGATATGAAGGCTCCCAGTAGAATATATATAGTCCAGAGACGACCCTCCCATAAGGAACTATCACACAGCAAGAAACCGACCATCACAACCAAGAAAGTCGAGCCTCATTCTCATCGAGCTACTTTCCCTTAATAATATTCGGTTTTCATCATCAAAATGTTTGGCAAGAAGCAGGAGCCAGAGGTCTCCGAAGTCCTCGAGCAGCGGCAGCCCAGCGCCGCCGAGGCGGCTAATAACCAACATCGCGGAGCCGTCTCCAACACGGGCTTGACAGGCGCATCGGCCTTGACAGTCAGGCAGTCCATCGTGCCCATCGCCCTCGTCACTCTCCTCTTCTTCCTCTGGGGCTTTGCTGTAAGTTCTACAACACCACCACATCGCAGTATCGTGTCACTGACAACTGTCGCAGTACGGCCTCCTTGATGTCCTTAACGCCAAGTTCCAAACAGCTCTTAACATTACCGCAGCCAAGGCTGGTGGCCTCCAGGGCGCCTATTTCGGCGCCTACTTCATCGGTCCTCTGACCTACTCCGGCTGGATCGTGCGCAAGTTCGGCTACCGCTGGACCTTCATCACGGGACTTTGCATCTACGGTGTCGGCGCCCTTATGTTCTGGCCGTCCGCCGTGTACCGCTCATTCCCCGGTTTCTGCGGCTCTCTCTTCATTGTCGGCTCGGGACTTTCCACGCTCGAGACTAGCGCCAACCCCTTTATCGCGACCTGTGGACCTCCTCGCCTGTCCGAGTTCCGTCTCGAGCTCTCGCAGTCTTTCCAAGCCATCGGCTCAGTCATTGCACCGCTGCTGGCCGCGCGCGTCTTCTTCTCCCACACCGAGCCGAATGACCTGTCCAAGGTGCAGTGGACTTACCTTGGTATCGCGGCGTTCGTGTTCCTCCTCGCTGTGGTCTTCTACTTTGCGCCCATCCCCGAGGTCACCGATGCCGACATGGCGCTGCAGGCAGAGCAGACCGAGGGATTCCAGGACAAGCCCATGCGGAAGCAGTACAAGCTCTTCTTCGGTGTTGCGGCCCAGTTCTGCTACGTGGGCGCCCAGGTCGGAGTAGCCAGCCAGTTTATCAACTATGCTGTTGAGAGCTCAAACCTCTCACACTCTCAGGCAAGCGATCGGTATGCCATCGGTCAGGGTCTGTTCGCCATCGGACGATTCGCGGCAGCCGGCCTGATGATGGTTGTCAAGCCTCGCTTGGTGCTGATGGTCTTCATGACCGGCATCATGATTTTTATTGCGCTGTCAATGGCGTTCTTCGGCGAGGCCGGTATTGCCATGCTTTCGCTCGTCCTCTTCTTCGAGTCGTGCATCTTCCCGACCATCTTCACGTTGTCAATCCGAGGTCTGGGACGACACACGAAGCGCGGAAGCTCCTGGATCGTAGCCGCAGTCTCAGGAGGCGCGCTCTTCCCCAGTCTGACAGGTCTTCTTGCCGACCACAAGAACTACCACATCGCCATGGTGGTCCCTCTTGCCGGCTTCGTCGTGAGCTTCGCGTATCCCATCTTCCTGAACACGGTGTGGAAGAACGAGCTGGACGGCTTCAGCGCAAGCAAGATTGGCTACACCGACGAGAACGGAGTTATTGGCGACCCTCTGCGCGACGACAGCCAGACTGACAAGTCAAGCGCAAAGCACCTGGAGGCATGATAAGATCGACATAATGGGACTGGGGATCTTTGACTTGAGGGTTGGGGCTGAGAGCACCCACATGATATTTTGGATACCTACATACTTGTACATATATCTCCGCGGCCTGACTAGGTAAAGATTGCGGAAGAGCGTGTTTAATGATTACGATTATGACAATGTTGAACTTGCCAGCGGCATCTCATGCCAGCGCGGTTTTCGTTCATGTTTGGAGCGTTAATGACCTTGCTCACTATATCATATTGCGCTCAACCTCTGCCACCGTCTGTTGGCAAAGTTCGTGACATCATCCGAAGTAATTGAGTTTGACCCTCCGCGTTAGACCCCTTTTCGAGGAAGACTTTGCGCTTCATGGGATTCAGGTGAGTGGCACGCCAGAACCAGGCCGAACTCTTCCGTGACCATTCCGGCGGCGCTAAGAGAGCGCAAAAGAAAGCCCTTTTGCGATCGGCACGTTTTAGTGGCATTGCTTCTGTTCTAGAAGTCACCCATGAAAGCGAGTATGGAATGGAACATGATGAGACGCAGACTGGTCCGGACCTGGCATTTTGCCAAACTCCTCGAAGGAATGCAAAGCCGGCAATCGACTGGCAGGGCCAAGAACCAGGCCGGCGACTCCTGACGCCGACTCGACTTTCTACCTGTGCACTTTATTATCTCCAAGTCATGCGACCGGGAATCTGATGACTATCGACAGCGCTTCCGAGGAAAAGGGAAATGGCCCGAGTCGCTTAGGGCATAGAGGTTGGGGCCAAGGGCCAAAAGTTTGGAACCGGACGTCATGTTCAATTTCAAAGAGCAAGTCTATCGGGGCATTTCAATTATGCCATTTGCCCTGTTAGCCGCTAACGACGAGAACCTGGAGGGTAATTAAAAAAAAAAAAAAAAAAAAAAAAAAAAAAAAAAAAAAAAGAGAAGTTGTGTAGGTTAGTAAGGTCGGTCTGGGGTGCATCGTACTTTCTGGGGGGATAGAGTGAGAGAGGAAGCAAGTTGCGCTGGAGCGAATCAGAGTCGGGAAGCGACCTGAAACGGCGTTCGATGGTTCGTCAGTTGTTGGCCAATGGTCCGAGCTGGTGGAGGCCTTAGTCAGAGTCTCTCAGCACGATTGGCGGATGATGCACGACTGGGTTGGCGCTGTAAGGTACCCGATAGTGGCCCTAGCTTTTTTGGTGCTGTCACCTTTCCTGTTGGGGTCTAGTCCCACTTAAAGATACTCTTGTCCAGTCAGGGCGGGCGAATGGACTGCCTTCCTCTATCTACTTGGCATCTTGGGTGGCCTGCCATCTCACCCATGCGCTGAGCACGGCCTAAATCGTTCATCTCAGGAGAGATTGGCTCGTCGCCGGGCTGTCTCATTTCCCATGGTGCAGATTCTCGCCGTTTGTCTTTCCTCTTCTGTCTCGTTCTTTCACAAGGCTCCCTGCTTTGGGGGCGGTCACGTTCGCTGTTGCCTCTGTCGCAATTGTTGTTGGTGCAGGGAGTCCTGGTGGCTCAGTGGAGTGGATATGGGCCTCTGCAGGTTTAACTATTGAATTTGTCCTACCGAGTACTAGTGTACAACAACACACAACTTACGGTCAACGAGGTTGGACCACTCTGTTCACGATGCCACGCAGTTTGCCAACGGCTGCCGAAAGGAGCGTAACAGATTGCCACTAAAAAACGGCGCATTAACCCCCTTTGCTTCTTCCTCCCTAGTACACATGAGACGCTTCTATGGGCCAGTACTACCCTTTCCAAACAGGATTAGGGCTTCAAGATGCTTGAACCTCCCAGTCTCTGACACAAATCTCACCAACCGCCGGTGCTAAGCCCTCGGCTCCGGCCTTGACAGAATCCATCAATGCCCCCTGGACGGTCTGTCCACTGTCCACTGAGAGAGTCTGACACAGAAGGCACCAAGCCGGGGTTATCGTGGCTGGCCCTGCCGGCCAAGAATTTACAAGTGGCTGCTGTCCAGGCAAATGAAATTAAAAGGAGGATCCTTCCGAATCGGTACACCATATCTCGACCCTAGACGCTATATTCCGCCGCCTACAGTGAACCGTGCTACCCATTCCCAAGCGCCCACGCCTTTTTTTTTCTTCTTCTTTTTCCCCCCCTCGTCCAGGGCCCTGTCTCTTCTCCTCCACCCGCCCCAGTCTCGCGACTCGTCTCTTTTGCCCGCTTCCTTCTTCTCTCCACTTCATCTCATTCTTTTTGCTCTGTCCTTCGCTTTGCGCCTGCTGCGTTTCTCCCGCAACAACCCCGTTCGCTATCGTCGCGTGCTTTTTAGGTGGTCAAGGCCCCTCCAGTCACTCTTTTCACTCTCTCATTACGACCACCACACGCTCGAGTAATCGTCTCTTCTCTCGTTCCGTCGATAACTCTCGCCGTCGTCCGCTCGCCGATTCACTCATTTTATCGACTTGCGATCAACCGTACACAACGCGACTTTCAAGTCTGCTCACCTTGTCCATTCGGCACACACTCATTTTGAGCCCGAATTAACCGAACGAACCGACCGATTCGATCCGATCACACTATCCACAGTCCAAAACCGCACATTCCACAATGCATATCCGCTCTCTCGCTTCCGTAGCCATTTTGGCCTTCGCCGCCCAGGCTTTCGCTCAGCAGGAACCCAAGGTTTTCAAGCGCAGCATCACCACCCTTTCGAGGGATCTGGGTTTCATGCGCCGCGCCGACGGCGGCTACCAGCCCGAGGATGAGGTCTGCTCCAAGGGTGGAAACACTTGCGCTGAAGCCTGCGGTTCGGGCTACCAACAGTGCAAGTCCACCGACCAAGCCGTCCACTGCTACAACCCCGCCGCTGGCGAGACGTGCTGCTCCACCAACACCGGAAGTGAGTTGCCGTCCCGATTGATTATCTGGGCCTGTGATGATGGTCACTAACACGCTTATTCAGACTCCTGCTTGTCCGCCTTCTACTGCACGCACGACCCCAAGACGGAGACCTTCTGCTGCCCTAACGGCATGAACCTCGCCGACTGCGCCATCAAGCACGGCGTCACCGGCGCCCTCACCTCCGATGTTCCCGTTCCCACGACCACCTCAACCTCCCAGGCACCCACCAGCAGCTCCATTGCGCCCACCACCACCTCCACCACCAGCTCCGTTGTTTTGACCACGTCCTCAACAGTGGTTCCAACCACCAGCGTCATCACCACTTCGAGCTTCGTTCCCAGCGTCGGCACCAGCAGTGTCTTCGCTGCCGCCAACAGCACATTCACCTCGTCAACCCGCACCGGCGTAAGCACAAGAGTCAACACCGCGCCGACGACGGTCAGCACACCTGCCGCCCCCGATCAGAACGCTGGTAGCAGCAACGCGCCGGCCGGCATGGTCGTGCTCCTCGGCGCCGCCTTGGCTGCTGCTCTGCTCTAGTAATCGACAACTGACCCAACTGGAAGCGCCGGCCCAGATACCGAACCCCCCCAAACTTGACATGGTCATGCGTGGGGGTTATCGGTACCTAAGGCCAGGCGTATGCCACGAAGTCACGAGTGTAATGATATCAAAAAGCAGCGTGCGGCGTTGGGTAACACGGGGAAATACACCGTGCTCTGTTTGAGATGTTAATGTTATCCAGTCATCTCCCTATTTTTTGTCATTTGAAACCTCTTGTTTTTTATTTTTATGATTCCCTCCCCCTAACACAACCGAGAGATGTACGGAGCGGCTTGATGAACCATTGATTGCGATGTCTGAACGGTGTTTATTCTGGAAACCAGAAAGGAAACGGGGAAAGAGGACGATGAAAAGAGAAACGGGATATTCGGAGACGACTTCTCTCTTTCGATGAGCGCTTCGTATCCCTTGCAAACTTTGTTTCACTTCTTTCCTCTGCCCCGTTTTGTTTTTCATTTCTACACTTTATTTTTGCTGTACCTAGTACCTACGATTCCCCCCCAGTCGCTTGGAACGGAGACTGCGAGACCTACACTCGCAGCTCGTCCAACCGTAACTACCATAAAACTTAATTCAGTCTGGACAAACAATAACATCCAATATTTGCACGCGTTCAAAAGTAGCTGTTTAATGATTACTGTTCAATTTTCCTCTTTACATTCGCTTGATTGAAACTCATACCGAGTCGAATCAAACAGAATAGAATTAACCCAAATCCCCTCGTCGCCAAGATCAACGAATTTCGAATGTCTCGGAAAAAATGAAGATCAAAGTCGACAATCGGCATGACCCCGGCGCACATCGGCGTTGGCGTCAAACAGGTGGAAGTTAAGAGGCGGCTCCGGGGGAGAGTCGTAAAGCGGAGCGGAGCGGGAAAGGGGAAGGGGAAGGGGAAGGGGAAGGGGGGAGTGCGTATATGCGTGCGTGAGTGTGGGGCCGAACGTAACCCTCTCCTCCCCCGGATCTGGATTCGGTTCGGGGTTTGGAAGGGGGGGAAAGATCGAGCCTCACTCTCTCTCTCTATTGCTCTCGCCTTCTGCCCTACAAACCGACCGCCGTGGCGTCGTAAAAAAAAATACAAATGTCCGATTACTCCACCATTGTGGCTTGCCGATCAGTTGCTCTCTCATCTTGACATCATTTCCTTCATCCCTATTTTGTGGCACTTTTTGGGGAAGGATTTTTTTTTTTCCCTTCTCTTTTTACGTTCAGTTTTCGCCATGTCTCAGAGGTGCGCATCTTCTTCAGCGGCGCTGTAAGGGGGAGGATGATGATGATGATGACAACATTCTCATCTCGGCCAATGCCTCCGAGATCGTGACGAGATGGCCTGATTGTCGGGCCGCTCTTCATCATGCCTTAAAGAACCACAAGTTGGGATGAACGTGTGAGGCTGTTATCGGCCGCGCACTCAGACATTTTGCATGGAATTGTAAGTAAAATAGTCATCTTCTTTTATTACTTTTGGATGAAACAGCTCTTCAATGAAACCGGGTATCTTAATGCTCTACCGCACCATTCGCAAAATTCTAGGTTACCCTTTTTGAAGGTTCCCTCTCTAGAAAACTCTTTTATGCCAAATTACAATCCCTCGTTCCAAGGCCGCCAGAATTGGTTGTGGAACGTCGGCATGCACTTGACCTGTTGTGGCGGCTGATCCTGCCACGTAATCTTGGGTGTCACTCCCATGTTCTCGGCCGCGACCCATGAGTTAGCAAACCCTCTCTCTTCCTTGATTTGTCTGCCGTCCTTGACATTGTACGCCAAGCTGACACTTGGCACGACGGCAATTCTGCCATGTCCGAGTTTCCAAAGATCCTTGCACAGCAGTGTCGGCTCGCCGGTGTGGCATTCGCCAGGATATGATCTTCTGAAGTCCAGCTTCTTGCTGAGAAACGGCTCGCCAGTCATGGCGACACCTCCGTTCCAGCAAGCAAACACTTGCAAAGGCTTTCGGCTGAGGTAACGGTCTTGAGAGTATGGCTCGTTCCAGAACATGTTGGCAACGTCGCTCCATTGCTCCCCTTTCGGCGTTCTATCGGGAATGGGTAAGAAAGTGTCGCCGTTGATGCCGCGGGAAATCCAGGAATCGTAGAAGGAGGGCTCGCCATTGTGCGGCGCAAATCTGAGAAAGTGGTAGTCCATGGCGCACACCATGTCTGCCTCCTGAGTCTTCTTCTGGTAAGCAAGTTCGAGAATGTCCTCGGTGCAGGCGGCCACGTCGTTCAAGAATACAATGGTGGCCTTGGGGTCGTAGGCATCAACTTCGGCCATCATAGGTTCGAGGGCCAAGTTTCGGAGCTTAGCAAGCTTGCCAATGCGGTCGCCGCTATGGGAATCGATGTTGCTTGTCTGGAGATTGTACGCTACGCCCATATTGTCCAGGTGAGCCTTCAAGCGATACAGGGTCTCGTAAGTGCCATCAGTGGAGATGCCTTCCACGACGGAGATGGCGCAGTTCTCAGGTCCGATGATTTTGATGGCTTCGAGAACAGCACCCATCAGTTGGGGAAGGAGATCGACGATCTGACGCAGATCGAGAGCGAACAAGAAGTGGCGTTTGCCCGTGTTCTCTGTCGGCTTGAGTACCCCATATCGAGTGATGTTGGGAGGGGGGCAGTTGACGATCGGATAACCGCCGTTCTTGGGGTCAAGGATTGCCTGAACATATCGGGCTGCATCATCGGCCTTATCGGGCATGCCTGAGCTAAGCGCTGGTTGAACCCAGGCTGGCGAGGAGGCGTTCATCCAGCTGCCGCCATATTCTACACCGGATTTAGCACATTGAACAAGAAGGGGGGAGCGCATAGACCTACGTTCTGGCGACCAGGGAATAACAAAATACTGGACCAACGGTTGACGGAAAAGAAGAAAGAAGCCGGTAATGAGGATGAAAACGACAATCGCGACGAAGGGCATCTTCAGCCGGCGAGGCTGATGCAAGTTGGCGAGCATATTGAGAAGCGTGTGGCGTAACGCCCGAGCACGTCGAAGGCAAGAAGATTTTCTTCGTGATTGGGTATTGATGGAGAGAAATGGCAGTGGTCCAAGGAAATGCAAGAACAAGCAGAGGTTGAAGTCTCGAAGCTTGGATGTGTAACTTAACAAGAAAACCGAAAACAAACAGGAAATAGGCAGAAACACAGCGACTCTGTCGTCAGTCCAACCCAGTCATGCAAGATGGCGTCCTTGTATGACGGAACGAAAGAATGGGTAGATGCCAAGCGGGAGAGCAGCGATGTGGGATAGTTTGAGACGGGAAGCGCGAGCTCATATCACTTCCGCAGAACCTGGAGATGGGAAAGCTCAGACGTCGATCTTGCTGCTGCCTCAAGGTTTTAATCGCGAACTCCCGAGATGCCTTGCAGGAAACTCATTGCATAGTATAGGACGAGGTAGGAAGGGGCGGGAGAAGATTATAGTTTCCCGGAAGCAGAGGTAGTCATGCCAGCCCTCGGATGGTATAATAGGGTGACGATGAGGAAGCACGAGCTTGTGTGGTAGGTGTTTGTGTCAACAGCCAGTATGTGCTCTTTCCCCTGGTAAGAATTTCTGTACGATGAGATGTTTAGGAAACGGGACGGAGGCCGAGCGATGCGAGGCGCAGCGGCGTTACCAAAGGATGGGAAGGAGAAAAGAGTTTGGCTTGGGAAAGAGGAGCCGGTTGTGCCTACCGGGGTGCCAGGATAGCTTGACACAATGTAAGAGGGAACAAGAAAGAAAAGGTAAAAAGGCTGAAGGTCTGAAAGTCTCAAGCCGTCTGCACTCTCAGAAAGGGGTGGTGTGTGGCCCAGCTTAGTTAAGATATGCCACGAGCGCACAGAAGTTGCACCCTCAAAACCCCAGTCAAAGTACAAATGAAGCTGAGGGGGGGAAACATTGTTTGGTCGACGTCGATGGAACCCGACAGCCAACAGATTTATTAGGTTGCCTGCCTTACCCGTTCCTGTACATCGCACTATGTGACCCTCCGAAGGTCTCCACGACCAGGGAATACTATGTAAACCGACCCAGTTCAGGGCCTTGTAAATTTGACAATCATCTGTTGCATATTAGGCATGTAGTAGCAGTGCCCACCGATAGTCCCAGGCCCACTTGCCGTTCCTGTTGTTTTCTAGTTCTCTCTCTCTCTCTCTCTCTCTCTCTTTTTCCCTGTCTGAAGTGCACTCGTTTTACGCTCATCAAATGGGATGACTGACCTCCTCCCACGGGCGCCATGTTCTGTTGTGCAATGCCTCGGGTGTGCTGGAAACATGCGGGATAATGGAGTTGGTGAGTTGAGTGACACGGTACTTGCTGCACGCAGTTGATACACATACGGTAACTTCCACGTTTTGTCGAGGAACCATGTTTCACCGTGTCACTGACTTACTCGCAGCCGCCAAAACATTTCAGACAAACAGCTTTCCAGAGTTCAATTGAGATTCGATTTACAAGTATACCCATTCCATTCACCGAAGAAAGGACAGAAAAAGAAGAAGAGGGAGAGAGAAGGAGACCCCACCATACGTGTGCATACAGGTCACCGCGTGGCTCAGAACTGCCATTGCAACGTCGGGAAGCGACAGACTTGGTTGATCGTGGTTCCTCGTGGCGGGAAGCATGGGGGTGCTGGCCGCTCAGCCTCTCCCGCCCGCGTCACCATCAACTACCAAAAAAAACACTGCCAAGCCAACTTGTCATCCCTATTAACAGCGAAGTACGCAAACATACCCACCGACCACCAGCAACGACAGAAACAAGAGTCAACTTGATGAGTTATCGGATTAAGTGGCCTCCTACCCGGCCGGTCAAACGTAATTGTTTCTGTCCGTCCGAGCTGCGGGCTATTGCGTACGCACCGGGCACCCTGCCCTGATCCCCACTGATGCGCGATTCTCTCGACCTGAAGAAAGAAGGAAACACGACCCTTGCTAATGCACGAATCTACTACGACGTAACAAGTCGGGCGTCACGGGTAATTATTAGCGATTTCTCGGAAAAGTTGCGAAAACAAGCCCTTTGTGAAAGCGACCAAGCGTTCGTGATTGCGGAAAAAAGCCACCCAATCTAAACCTCCAATTCCGATACCATATCACTCCAAACTGTACTGGAAGACATGAAATACATATCCTTGTTGGCCACCCTCCATATCAAGATCTTTCTAGCTTGATTTCAAAATGACCGTATTCTCAGGTGGGGATGTTTCTTCAACCAAGGACTGTCCGTGAGTTTCCATGGACCAAAACTTACCTTGCTAACGAGGTGAACCTCGCCCGAACGGTTTGCCGTTGGGAACATTCAACACTGGGCTAACGAATTGTTCTGCTAAGCCATACAAGTCAGGCAGCATACATGGTATGCGGTCTGGAGCATTCTTTTCTCCTCCTGAATCATGTAACTCATTCAGACTTTCCACACGTGGCAGCAACACAGTTTTCCAGCAGCCCTATGGCAAGATACCCATTATATTTAGGAACTTGAAATCCCTCAATGCATCCTATTTCCTCCTCCATCCAGCGGAGTGAAACTCTGGGGGTAGCCTGGTTAGTTACCGCCCGGCTACTGTGTAGAAACGTAATCCTTGCTGACAGTCCTGCTTCAGTACTACCCAATCCACGCTGGTCCTCCCGACACACAAAAGAACCCGGTAAAAGTGTGAAAAGGGTTCTCTTTTTTTTCTTTCTTTTTTTTTAACGCGCCTTTTGGCAATGAACCAAGACCTACACAGGTTCCCCAGCATTTCCCACGCTACACTCATAAGTTCACAGACTAACTACAACCGTTCCACGCACCAGGAGAGGCAGCCAAAGACCGATGAGCGCCGTCCTATCCCGATGTGACGGCTAATTTGGTGGCCAACAGGGCGCGTAATATCCCGACTGCGGTCAGTGCTGTCTCATTCGCCAGCTTAAGCGGCACTTGTTGAAAGCACCCCGGCTTTCACACGCTAGTCCAGCCCAGAAAAAAGCTTCAATAGACCGCCTACCTGCGGCCGTTACGTCGCAGAGAAAAAAGGGGACTAGTGGTTCATGCGATGGCCGAAACATTGTAAGAATTTCACCCGCGGGTACCGAAATACCCACATTCAGTGCAAACTTGCCCCCTGTCTTGTCATCTCAACCCGACCAGATCTCCCTAATTGGGCAAAGTAACAGACATAGAATTCGTCTGCCTAGAAGTGGAAATACGAGGTACCAGTTGTCATTGTTTGAAGTAACGAAGTCACTGTACTTGGTCAAGCAAGAGGAACCTCGCATGAAGAGGCCTGATATTATTCGGGCCCTTTTGGTCTCATCTCTATGTACTCAGCAGCTTCGTCACTCTCTTGGAGACTCCATCTTCGAATTGAGTCACGCCGCCCTCCAGAACAGTCAGTTTTCCAGCTTTCAGTCTGTAAACCGCACGTCTCCTGGAAACAGCTTCGTCCTCGTCTTCCTCCTCGCTTTCCGAGTCCTCTATCAGTCCTTCAACCGCACCCCGCATAAACCAACGGTCGTGACTAACAAGAATCACGGCCCCCTCCCAATCCCTCAAAGACTCGCGCAACGCCGTGACTGTCTCGTAGTCAAGATGAGTCGTCACCTCGTCGAGAATGAGACAGTGAGGTCTTCGCCAAAGAATACGTGCAAGCTCGCACCGCACAAGTTGACCGCCGGATAACTTGACCACAGGCGTGTCAGAGGCAATTCGACCAGGCAAGCCCAGGCTGCCGAGGATGCCACGAAGCTGCCCCTCATCCAACTCCCCGTCAACTTCCTTCGTCAATAGGGACAAGGCCGTTAATGAAGGATCGTCTCGACCTAATTTCTGTAGTGCCTCAACGGCGTGCTGAGAGTAATATCCCAATTTCAACCGCGGATGAGTTGTCATTGACCCCGACGAAGGCTTAGTCTCATCGACGAGGAGCTTCACAAGAGTGGATTTGCCTGCGCCGTTCAACCCGAGGATGCCAACCCGATCGCCCATGTGCACAGACAAGCTGATATCTTGCAGCACGACTGGTGCCAGTGTCTTCCCCTTTGTCTTCGTCGGGTAGCGAAATGTGACATTCTCTACCGAAATGAGAGGACCAGGAAATCGAAGCTCGGGAGGCTCGGGCAAATCGACAAATACAGGCCGCTCATCTTGAGGAATGTCGATTTCCTCACGACTGGTCAAGTGATAACCCATCAGATCACGATTGAGCTTGAACCTAGTACCTTTTGCGCTAACTTGAAGACCCCAACGGTTGTCAAGCTTCTTTTGGCGGGATTTGGCTTGGCGGAGCTTATTTTGGTCATCGTTGGCCTTGCCTGCCTTGACATTGTTGGTGATGCTTTGCTGAATATGGGCCTTCTGCTTGTCCTGAGCGTCCTTCATCTTGGTCAACCAGAGTTTGCGCTCCGACTGCGATGCTTCATATGTCGGAAGATCACCATGGAAATATGTCAGGCCTTTGTCCTTGAGAATAAGAAGGTCGGTGCAGAGTGTAATGAAGTCTCTGTCGTGGGATACGAGGATAAGCGTGGGGGGGTTGTCCTCTTCTTGGAGAGTTTCAAGGTAACGCTGAAGCCAAATGATGCCCAGCAAATCGAGGAAGTTGGTGGGTTCGTCCAGAATCAGGATATCTGTTTCCTGAAGCAGCGATATGGAAAGCGCAGTACGCATCCTCCAACCACCAGAGAGACTCGACACTGCCTTCGACATGTAGGCCTCCGAAAAGCCCAGACCCGCCAAGATTCGTTTGGCTTTAGACTCGATCTCGGCAACCTTTGACGGCTCGACCTGCAACTGAAGGTCTGCAAGCATGTCGAGTGCCTCTTGCGTCTCATTCTTGAGGGTATCAGGCGAAATCTCGTCTTGGGGTTGTTCCGCCCTAAACTTTGATCAGTTCAGCCGGGGATGGACCAAAGTGACGCATGCTTACAAGGCCTTGGACTCGGCGGTAGTCTTTTCAAAAGCTTTTAGTGCCTTCCGAGCTGCCAGGCCGCGGTCACCACTTCGCAACCTCGCGTTCTTATCGACTTGGAACAGCTGCTTCAAGTTTTTCTCGTGACGAAGGGTGCGAACAGCTCGCACCGGTCCATATGGGTCAGAGCTGTTGATTCCATCGGACAACACTGCATGATGTTAGTCCTGATCGAAAAGAGCTAACTCCTCACGATTCTACCTTTGATTTCTTGCTCAACGTCTGACCGGGCAGTTGCCTGTTCAATGACATGCTCCAGCACGCTGAGGCCTTGAGCGGACTCAGTCTGGGCCCCTTCGGCAGAGCCAGACTCGGGCCGGATATCCGAGTTGGCGTCACCGGCATCCGTTTGTTGAAGTATAGATATCCGCGATGCCTCCGGGATACCAGGGATCAACTTCTGAGCGATGGCCTTGAGCAGGGCTGGGCTTGTGTCAATGTCTGTCAAGTGTAACGGATGTCATCTGCTTACTGGACTTGCCGGAACCATTCCTTCCAACGAGGGCGTACCGTTGGCCCGCCTTGAGATGCAGCTTAGCGTCGACTAGGATCTCAGTCCCTTCAGTCCGAGCCTTGGCCTTGCCTTTGGCGCCGGATTTGCTACCGGAGGTGACGGTAATGTGCAGGCCATCAACATCCAACTGGACGGATCAGGTTAGACATCAGCAGTAAACTACATATGTAAGGGAGGTGAGGGCAAACCTCGCGGTAATCTGCATTCTGAATGTTGAATCTCGTCTGCTTGCTGGTGCAGAGGATTGTTGCGACAGATTCAGAGGCTATGGACGTCATCACCGAAGCAGGAAAGTAAAGAGGTCCTAGCAAGCGAAAACAATCAATTGGCGAATGAACAGGAGAGGCTTCACGATAGTGCGACGAATTCTCTTATCCTTCTTTGATGCTCTGAGGCACAAATTGAAGCTGGGGATATGGTATTATTTATTGGTCGCTTCGTCGGCCGAAATAAAAGACTGGGAGCTCCTACCAGCTCCGTCATCCCATGGAGATGTCGAGGGGAATGATGAGTTCCATTGCCCAGTTTCCTTAGTGGCGTTTGTCTCCAACAGCAGCAGGTACATCTAAAATGGTACGTACTCTCTCGGCACGTTGTGGCTGCAGTTCTCAAATGAGTGGGAACGTCGCGGTGTGACTCACGCCGAAGACTGGACGGGGCCTCCGTTCCCGACCATTGTATACGGAGCCTCCACCACCTTATTTGCTCCAGGCCATCCGGTGCCCTGTTCCCGTCAGAGCGGCGTGACATTTACCACCAGTGAGTCAAATCTCCTACTACTTGGCATGGTAATTTCTGTTCTTTGGATTTGATGTTGCGAACTGGGAGAGGGGAGAAAAAAAGTTCATTCCCCGAACATGCGTCTCATAACAACGGAAGCGAGTTTAGAAATGCCTCGGCCTCTCTGGCATACACCGACTCGGCATCCGCGATTTCGTGTACCTTGAACTCCTTTTTCGCCCATCTCCTCGCCGCTCCAAATTTCCCAGTTCGTGACGCTGCATATGCTGCGTATTTGTATGCCTTGCTGAGGTAGTCCACTAGTCCCACCTCCTCTACCAGCTTCACCAGCTCTTCTGCATGAGGCAGCACATCACCACCGAACGAGTCCCTCCCCAACTCCTGTTCTATCAGTCCCATCAACCTCTTCATCTCCATCCGCTTCAAGTCGTCCGCCTCCCCTTCACCGTTGTCTCTAGCCGTGCAAGTCTCGCAACTACACCGGAACCCCCATTGCGCCAGTCTCGCCCTCCTCGTCTCTGTAGTCTCCGCAAGCGGGGCGTATGTAACTGTGACCTCCTCTCCAGCGTCAATATCTCTCCCGGCCCAGACGATTCTCTTTCTCTCAAGAGACACGCCCGCGGCATTCGGCCGGCACGCATGGTTCGCCTTTGCCACAAGGGGGAAGATGCCGATCGCCCCACTAGTCATTGTGTATCCGTTTGTTCGGAAAATGAGTGCCTCCCGGCTGAACGCCGCGTCGTCGGCGTCCCGGTGCTCCGGGCAAGACAGGTACGCCGCCTGCGCCGTCGCGTTCAGGGACGCGAAGGCCTCATCAACAGCCTTGGCAATGGAGTCAAATGCAAAGCCCTGGCCGTTTACGAGGCTGCCCGGGTCAACGGTGAAGAGCGGCGCCTCCTCTATTATGCGTGTGCCCTTGAGGATCTTGCGCCGCGCGAAAACACCGAGACCTTTGCCTGGCGACGGGCGCACTTCCCAAAGTCCGTTTTCTGATCTGAGATCTGTATGAAGATTGTTAGCATGCTTATTGATTCAAAGGTAAATACGAGTGAGAGCGTGTACTGGTTCCATATCTGATGCGGACTGTCTCAAAATCGCCTAATCCATCCGGCACACCGCCGTCTGGGGGAAAGACGTCATTCACGTCGACGAGCCCCAGATGACTCCTCTCGCTTTCACCGCCGTCATGACACGAATCCGAGTCGCAGACGCGATCGCGAATCCGTGTATCACCTGCGCTGCTGTCATGGCATAATGTAATGGAGGGGTGCTGCGAGATGGCGAGCCACAGCCACAGCAGTGCACGGTACGTTCTCATACTTCCGGCCCGACTATGCGGATCTTTTCCCACAGTTCTGGTGAGATTGTTAGTTTCTCATTGCCTCTTCGTGGGTTTGTGTCTCCGCGGCAAAAGGAAATATCCAAGCATGTTTGCAGTTTGCAACTTGTTCGTCTCGTTACAACTACGCAGAATAACCCTGAAATGCGCCTCCCCCCCCCCCCCCCAAAAAAAAAAGGCCGATTGCCCGCCAAATCGGAGGAAACCCAGGTTCTCGAAACGAATTTGTTGTCACAGGATGGTGTCAACCGCCCCGTGGCGTTCCCCTTGCAACAGGCATCTTAGGTTAGATTCCCCTGGATGTGAAACATGTCAGGCCCCTTTTGCCGAACTTTACGTGCGATGATTCTGCAATGCTTTTAAGCACTTTTTAAATTCTACATTCTGGTATCTGAACGTCGGTATGCTGATTAGCGTTAATGGGGATTGCATTTTATTGCCAATATTCCGCAAAATAGCTTTGAATTGGAGGTGCGGCAATTCTCAGAAAGCTACTTGATATAGGTGCTTTGTCTGTACATCGCCGTAGCTAGGCTAGATTTTGAAAAGTCTATCAGTGCAAATAATTCTCTAAATTTTAACATTCAGAGACACCGTTTGATTGACCAGGAGCCAAAGCTTGATTTTGTTGCAGTCAGCCGTGTTACACCCACAGTCACTCTTTACTCCATCAGGCGAGGTACCATTTGCAAGGTAGGACATGTAACAGTACGACGAGTATTATTCAGGGTTTGTCAAGAATGTAGATCAAGAGTTGATCCGGCTGTTCAATCGTCTGAAATCAACCGCCGGCCGTGCGCCCGCGCATCTCTTGATCTCCGCCGCGCCGGATGTTCGCCGATCGGTTTACAACCCGGGCCCCCAGGTCCTCCCTCCATCCCCGCAGCATGGCCGGCATCCCGGCGAATCTGTGTCTCTCATACTTTGCTTGTCTCACTCCTGTCTTCTTCAGGTGTATTCCGTATTTTCGCGGAGATCGTTGCTTTCCGCGGCGCAATCTAGTCCTGCTGACATGCTAGGGCTTGAGCAGGTTTTGATCCGGGTGGAACCAGTCTATGAGCTACGCATGACAAATTAGGCACAAATGGTTCTTTAAGATTATGATACCTGATCGGCTGTCGACTTCCGGCGGGATCTGTGAATAGCTATCACTTGCCAGCTGCAGGCATTATAGCTTGAGACAGACCTCGGCAAGGGGAGGAACTTTGGATATGATGGAGTCAAGGAATGACCGGTGGTTGAACTAGTAGACCGTACAGCCAACTTTGGTTCTATTAAGGCGTCTTCGGTACTAGAATTATGTTAAATTTACAGTTTTTTAAAACTTGCAGTACGCTGATAAACCTTCAGTGAGCCTTTGTGCCACGCAAGGAATAGCAAGGTAACAAGCATTGCTATTTTTGGTTTTCTGGTAGGTTCTTACACGCTTCGAAATCTGGCTTCCACCTGATGATGTCTTCTGGCGTATCTGTTACTCTTGCTAGATGTAACGTCACTGTTGAAGGATACGTGCGTACTGGTCTCACGATATAGCATGGCCTGTCACTCCCAACTATTCATCTGTATAATTATCTTGAAGCCCCGTCGCTTAAAAACCTCAGTAGCCTTGGTGAAAACAGTCCATGCACTCATTCTTGGCGTTCAATATGAAAGCTGCCAAGTAAAAACAAGGTTATCTTGAAAGAGGCCTCCATCCCTGAGTTCATCAATTGCTTGCAGTACTTGGCGCCAAGGTTCTGGATTAGACAGGTTTATCGGACGTTTATAAAAATCTCCCAGTAATAAAAGCATCACCGACTACCGCGAAACTTCGTTTCTTGTATACAGCAATTGACGTATGCATGTCTCACTTGCCGACCCCTGTCCACCAATTTCGACGTATTGCCAGTGGCAAAAAGTAGACGTTCTTGACTGTGAAAGGAAGAACCACAAGGATACTGCGCTATATAAGGACCAAAAGAAAGTTAGAGTATTTGGTCTTAGTTAAAGGTAATCAAGTGCGGGTCCCTCGGAGAGCTGAGAATAATCTCGGGAAAGAGAGAATATTGGGGGATGGAAACTTTCGCTGGAAGGTCACAGTCTAAGTTTTCCGTGACTTTGAGCTCGATTTGTCAAACGTGAAATTGACTTATCACCAGAAGCACTGTAAAGTGCCGTCTGTAGTTGGTCGGCGGGTTCAAAACTGTATCCAGCAAACCTACAATATTCCATAAATACGAAGGTTACCAGGGTTTTCGAGTATATTATTCCCGTGTTACAGCGAGTTGATCTTTACAGATTTTCGGCTCCGAGGGGCTGACCGCATAACCAGATTTGCCGATCCCAATACCGACGCTGTGGCTGGGTACAATGCCAGCCATTCAAAGTTGGACTCTGCAACTTGGGTTCCCTCCGAATGATATGCTTTCTGCACCTGCGGTTTCCATGGAGATGATTGAGTTCCCTTTTTGCGGGCGACACACCCAAGGCTTATCCGCCCGAGTTTCAAAAAGTTGTGTGTTCTCCCCCCTTTAACCCCTCTAAAACCCTGAAACCCGGCACCAGTTGGTTGTGGTGCAGTGGCTCGCAATCTGAGACGTTCACCTACGGCATGGTAGCCACAAAAAGATAACCCGCCTGCCAAGACCACGTCAGCCCGAACGTCATTACCTTGAGGCTGCACGAGCCAACAGGATGTAAGTCTGGCACTGTTCGTCTGAGGTTGAGGTCGTCGGAATGTGGGCAATACTGCGCCGGTCGGCGGCTCCGTTGAGCGTTGGCTGCTTGGTAGCCTTACCCCGACTCTCGCAATAGCTTGCGTGTGCTTGCGATACATGAGACGGCAAGGATGGCCCCTTATCATACGGTCAGCATTTTTTCAAACGGCGACAATGGGTACTGCATGCTAATTAGCAACGTTCGAAGCCAGTAGGACGAACGAGTACACGAGTCAAATCCACTCTAGACCACACAGATGAGATGGCAGCGCTGTCAGTTCGAGGCGGAGATGATAGAGTTGTCTCTGGATCGCCACATCCGTATAAATGCGTGCCGCCTCTTCCGTTTTTTATCAGTTCATCAGCACCATCAACTGCCACCATCTCCCCCAAAAGCGTTATACAGCAAGAAACATATATAAACAGCAGTTGACCAGCTCAATCAATCCAACAAAACCAGCAATTTAATAATACAAATTCGCCACCATCAAAATGAAGTTCATCATTTCATACATCATGGCCGCCCTCCTGTAAGTCCTTCATCCTCGTACACCCGTCTCTCAATTGAAACTAACAACAACATCAGTTTCGGGCTCGGGCTCGCCCAGCAAGGCAATATTCAATGCCAATGCAAAGCGCACCTCACCAACTCAGCCACCAGAACCGGAGGTCTCCGACTCTGCAGCCAGAAGGGCGGCATTTTGAGTGAGGACAAGGAGCTCTGCACCAGGCTCCCGGAGAAGTTCACGGACGCGGACTGCAAGACTTTGGGAGATTCTTTCTTTGCGAGCTGCGGATCCGCTCGCTCGGAGCTGAAGAGGGGTATCTATAAGCGCGAGGTCGTGCCGTTGTCGACGAGACCGATGGTGAGGAGATTGTCCAACTTTTAAGCTACAAGAAAACCGCAAAACAAAAACAAAAAAGCATAGAACACATTAAAATCCAAACCAAAATTCCAACGCATCCTCCAACGCCGCTGTGTCTGTTTCTGAATTCTCCTCCGCGGCCCAAGCGACGAATCCGTCCGGTCGCACCAAAAAGGCGCGAACCCCTCGCCTGTCCACCACCTCCGCGCCAAGATAATCGACTCTGCTTTCCCACTGTCTGCCCGCAAGCAACCCTTTCAATGATCCATCATCCTCAAAGTCAACAAGTAGCCCGCGACCCTCCTCCATCTTGGGGCCCAGCCTCGAACCATCTGTAAACGTAAAGTCTGGCGCGCTCTGCCCAGTAAGCGGGTGCGTCTTGTCGCCCAAATCATACCGCTGCGAAAGACCCCAAACTCGGTCGAAGAAGTGGTTGACACCGTCGTCCGTGTTGATGATATCGCGCATGAGCTTCTTGACGGCATATCCAGCGGGGTTAGGCTGCAGCGTCGCAACCTGGACGCGGTTCCATTCGAGGACGAATTCCCCAACCGGATGGCGCTCTTTGCCGTACGTATCGACGAGCGCGAAGTCGACCTCGCCTCCCCGTGCCTTCTCCCTCCGGACCGAGGCGGCCAGCTTCCAACCTAGGTTCATCGCGTCGCCCAGGCCCGTGTTCATGCCCTGCGCCCCGAGTGGAGGGTGGATATGCGCAGCGTCGCCGGCGAGGAGAATCCTGTTCCTGCGATACGCCGTCACCTGCTTGCTGCGATCCGTGAATGACGTGGCAAGGTGAACCTTTGTGATCTGGACGTCCGTCTCGCCCCTGACGCGGTTCAAAATGTCCTGCAGACGTTCCTGCGAAAGCTCCTTTGTCCGGCCCGCCCCGTCGTCAAAATCCATGAGGTAGACGGCGTCCGGCTTCCGGAAGATGTACATCCCGCTTCGCGTCGGCTGAAACCCCGGTGCCAGCTTGTCGGGATGATCCAGGTCGCAGTGGACCACGTAGCCTGTGAACGTCGCCTCCGTCCCGACGAACTCGAAACCGGCGGCCTTGCGGATCGCGCTGCGCCCGCCGTCGCACCCGACGAGCCACCTCCCTCGGAAAGCTTGATGCTGCTCTCCGGCCTCGACCGTGACGTCATGTTCAGTCTCCTCGAGAATCTTGTCGAAGCCGTGACCTCTGAGGATCTTGACGCCCAAGCTCTCCGCACGCTCACTGAGAACCGATTCAATGAGGTCAATTGTGATGGGGCCTGGCATCAGCGAGGGGCCGGGGAGGCGATACTTCCAGCGGTCCAGATCGAGTTTGTGTAGGTCGAGCGGAATGCCGGCAAAATGGCCGCCGAACTGCATTCCGGAACTCTTCGGAGGCGAGTGGGGCCGTTTGGAGAGATCAAACAGCTTGCCGAGAAGGCCCCGGCGGTACAGGAGCTCGACTGACGGAAGGTGGAGACCCCGCATGCCGACGGGGTTGCTCTTCCAGGGTGACTCGGGCTTGGCATCACGTTCCAGAACCAAGACGGAAGCTCCCGCCAGTCCGAGTTCACATGCGAGTAGAAGACCGACTGGGCCGGCTCCGGCGATGATGACGTCGTATAATTCAGTCATTTCAACAAGGACAAAGCTGTTGAAGAACTCCAAGAGGGAAAAAAATCCTATATTTTATTTTATTTTTTCTTACAAAGATGAGATGTTGGAACTGAAGAACTAAAATGAAGCCTTGGCAGCGGGATACTGTGCTCTATTTAAAGGATTTTCGTCACATGAAGTTTTGACTATGAGTTATCGAGCTCGGGACCGACTCCCCTTTTGATGAAAGGAGCTTTTGGTGTGAAAACCGTCCCCCTCTCGGTCCCGAGGAATGGAAGTGGATGAGTGTGTCGTCGTGTCCCTGTATCTGCAATTGGACTGAGTTCTGTGGCGCACCAGCACCACCCTGTTACTCGGGGTAATTCGGGGTTTTTTAAAAGTCCAGGTTGAGCGAACGGCCTTTGTGCTCTACCGGAAAAGGCTCGACAATTTAGGCACCGGCAGGCAATGGAGAGTGGCAGCACCTATCAGGCCCCCCTTGCAACTATCAGAGGCCCAGTGACCGACTAACTTCAACTTGTGCACTAAGTGCCGAGTTCCGATGCTGTTGGTATGCTGTAATCTTCTATTATTCGCGCAAGAAAGTACGTTTACTTGGTAGAGATCCTGCATATGCTGTGCTATAATTGCCCCCAGATGATGAACACATTTTCTCTAGCGAGTCTTTCGTATATCAGCCGAATCTACGTTAAGATCACTTACAAGACCGAGCGATCAGCAAGGATGTTGTAAAGCGGGTTCCGCAGCTTGGTAACTGCCATCCAACCCCCCTCGGGTATCTCGACAATGGTTCCATCGATGCAAACCTTGCGCCAGCGAGGATCGCTCTCACCGATTGACACCTTGATCTCCTCAGCATCCTCGTATCCGACATAATCCTCGTCTTCTCCGTTCTTCCACCGCATGCCCACGTGTGAGCCCTGTTTGTAGGCAGCCATCATAATCTCCATCGTCTTCTCCCCGCCCACGGCGCCAAAGTGCACCAGTTTGAGCCTGCCTTGCAACGGCCCGCTGCCGGGTGAAATGGTGAATGTCTTCTCCAGATTCGAAACTATAGTAGCGAGCGCATATCCGAACTTCTCCCTAGGCACAGAGCGCAGCGGCCCCCCATCCGGGCCTCGGATCTCAACTTGCGCAGCGTAGGCGTGGCTCTCCTTAAGCAACTCTTGCGCAACCATACCGAACCGCTTGCTGCCGTGCTTGCGGTACTCGGGTGTATCGCTTTCCCATACCAGTTGGGCGTGGAAGCCGTAGCTTGCGACGATGGCGCCGAAAAGATAGCCCACGCTGGCGTCGTGACGGGTCACGTCCTCAGGGTTCTGTGCATCGGGTGTCGGCGTGTAAGTCACGAGCCGGGCACCGGAGGAGAAGGATGCACGGAAGCTGGGGAGCGGGGCGGCGGTGCCGAAGAACAGCGTGCGGAGGCCGAGAACCATGTGTGAAGGCCCGTTCTCGGTGTACAGCGGCTTGTGGGATGAGTGGAACATGGCGTTTCCAGTCCCCAGCGGCAGAAGGGCGAGGGTCGGCAGGGCCGTCGGCGTATCGGTTTCCTCGCATCCGTTGAGGAGGTCGACGACACCGCCATCACCACTCAAAAGGACAATCACTTCACTCTTAGTTGGGGAAGTTTCCGCTGCAACCTGCGGCCTCGCGGCCCATCTCTCTTTGGCAAAGTTGCGGACACTGTCTGCGTCTTTCGTGACTACGATGTTGCATTTATCAAGCAAGTTACTGCCGTACTGTGAAGGCACTCCGTCTGTAACAGAACTCGATGACGGATTGCCAGAAGTTTTTTGATCAGCAAGAATGACCAGGGGCTGGACGACGTTGTCCCAAAACTTAGGAGCATGACCTAGGCCGGACTTGGTGGAGACAACGAAGTGCACATCGTGGTGACCAGGTCTTGGGCTGAGATGATCTGGAAAGTGTGATAGTAAAAGGCCGTTGGTGAGCTCCGGTGGGAGGTCACCGGAGACGAAGAAGATGTCTAGTTGATAAGGAAATTCCTTTGTGTCAGGGTCTTCTCTGAGTGCGCAGATGATTGGGCTCGAGTTGACCTGATCATTCTTGGGAATGATGAAAACAATCTCTTCTGGCCGGACAGACTCGGTACCACGTTGGGACGTAAAGCTCAGCTTGCCGTCGATGAAGGTGGCATCCAGCGCACGACGGGGTACGAGGCCGTGATCGCGGGGTTCGAAGCCCAAAGGCTCCGCGACGTCCATTACGGCCAAAAGCTTGAGTCAGAAGCGAAGGAGAGCTTATATCAAGCAGATCGTCGACAACCCCACCGATTCCAGTAAGATGCCGGTGTGAGTGAAAGGTTGTAGCCGTGTCGTTCAGAACTGGAGGATGGAACAAGTACAAGGCAGCCACTAGGTCAGATAAGACAAAGAGGATGGATGATGGCGCCCGCCAGCCCGTTCAGGAAGGTGTCGGGGTTTTTGAGGGGATATTCGCTTAAACCTCATAAAATGAGCCGGATGCACTGGGAAGCTAGAGAGGGTTGGCTGTACGCCGAGAGTTCGAACGAACGAACGGGAAGCCCTAGCCAGGGAGAATTGTAAGCAGGCGTGAAAGTGTTGCATGTGCCTCCTCTTGGGTGTGTCATCAAGCCGTCAATTGCGTTATTTCGGGGTCGGGAATAAGATTGGGTAACTATGCCTTATCCCCTCCCTCTACAGGCAACCTGCTGTCACCTGAAAGAGCCGGCAGGACAACGGCTCCCAGTGGTGTCCTCCGCTGTTCTGTGGGGCGGATCTTACACCATTGGTGTCTTAACCACTAAATTCCGCCCTAAGATACGCGAGGATTTCGCGCATTATCCCCTGAGGCCAGCGGTTGCCAATCGTCGTGCGGCAGCTAACGTCCCACACCCACTTCTGGGCACCCCCCACATTTGGGCACCCCATTTACACCAAAAACGCCGTTTTTCGAAATTCTATATTAAACTAAATACTTTACTTATTAAAGAGAATAAATATATGTTAAATAGATTAAGACTTAATTATAATACTTAAGTAGCTATATACTAGTATTATTAATAATAAGTATTATAAATTCAAGGTTTAACATTTATAATACTAATTTACCTAGCCTATATCTTAATATATAAAATAGGTAGAGATATTTAACTAATATGATTAGAATTTTTAAGTAAGATATAGTAGATTTATATATTCTTATACTTAGTAAAAAATTCTTTAAGCTTAGAATAATATTTTAAAATTTCCCTTAAGAAAAGTTTCTATTATAGAATTTTAACCCTTAATTATACTATATTTACTAAAGTAATACTTTTAAATCTCTTTTAGATATAATTATATACTTTTAATAAGTATAAATATTAATTTCCTAGATTTTTTAAATAAGTATATATAAGCGAAAATATATTTTTCTAATGTTAAGGAATACTAGTAAGTTACTAGTATCTACTAACATTTTAAAGCTTTTAGTTTTAAACTTCTATATTATAACTATTATTATATTTAAACCTTTATAAAAAATTAGATGGCTATAATTATACTTAACATAGTTTATATATATTTTCTTTTCTTAGTAAGTATAGTAGTTAGTTTAATATAGAATTTCGAAAAACGGCGTTTTTGGTGTAAATGGGGTGCCCAAATGTGGGGGGTGCCCAGAAGTGGGTGTGGGACGTTACGCCTTGCAGCACGCAAGCCAGTGCCGGTTCCGCACCTGACGCTAGGCTGTACTATGGCAGACCCGAGGACATATTTGTCAACAGGCGCAGTATAGAACACAAAGAATTGACATTCCCAAGAAGAAAAAAGAATGTCAAAATCAAAAATTGCTCAAGAAGCCAAAAGGAAAGTTTGCAACTTGATGGGAGCGGGGTTCGAACCCGCGCACTCTCACGAGTAACAGAGCTTAAATCTGTCGCCTTGGACCACTCGGCCATCCCACCCATATTCCGAATTGGGATATCTTGGATTGCGATTGTCGGCCCTACATCGCGACTCATACGTCTTTGGTTACCGAAACCCAAGCCAGCCCCAGCACCCACCTTCGTGCGTGGTGGGGGCTGCATTGTTGACTAGGACAAGAAACTCGCGCCTGGATATTTCGTCATTGAAGTGATTTGGTGGATCGAGGGCGGGAGGGGCGCCGCCGCGCCGCAGGTAACGGGGTCGACAAGGACTATTCATGTTCAGCTCCAACGTCAGTGAGTTTACCACGTTATTTATGCATATCAACGAGCCAGGGACGAACTGGGGACCACTACCTTGCGATGCATGTTCTCTTTATCTCCAGTATTCTCTGTTGAATCCCTCATTCTAACCTACGACAAAAACAAAATCTCGAAAAACAACCCGGCTTCTTCTGCTGCTTGCTTCCATCCTTTACTGTCCCTTTGCTCGCGTCATGGGGCCCCAGTTATCTCGAGGGTTCATTTGGTATCTGACCAGCTTCTTTCCCTGTATTCGCTTGCCTAGCTTTGCCAGGTTCTCGTCGAATACGAGCGTCTTCCGCAGCTCTTCCTGGGAGAGGCCGTTCTCCTCACTCTTTTTGTCCGCCGCCTTCTCCGTTTCCTCCGAGCTTTCCTTCATCTCCACGTCCGTCTTGTTGCCCTGCGACGCCTCCGTTGTGGTTGTCTTCACTTCGTTATTGCCTTCCGTTTTGTCCAGGCCCAACAGCCTGTATGCTGGCATCTGCGGGTTGATCTTGTCCGTGCGAACAGGGGCCTTCTGGCGAACCCATTCTCGCATAATCCACCAAATCGCCTCCCAAGGCGCGTCCGTCTTGACGCTTCCGGGCCGGCAGTGACTGCGGGTGACGCGATAACCGAGGTGCTTCAAGGCTCCCCTGAAGACATCATCGGGTGGTTGCTGCGTGTTGAGTGTACCGGCGAGCTTGCTGGGCATAATAAAGAAAGGGTAATGGTCTACCTTGGCCAGCTCCTTGTCCTTGGGGTCAAGAGCGACTTCAGGCTCTGGACCAGGGAGATACTCTTCCAGAGCTGTTTGAAGCATGCCCTCTATTCTTGCGGTTGTCTGGTAAACGTTCTTATCAACCTTGGGAATGAGATCGAGGATGCGCTCGATGAACTCGGTATTGTGCAGCGGACCACCGTACATGGGACCCGCGATATGCTGGGACGAACCACAGTGTTCGCAATGCGAGTCGGTGGGAGGGCCCTGGGACAGACCGTGCTTGTAGAAGAAACCGTCCTTCTTCTTCGGGTAGGGCCGAGTTCGCACCATGGGCTGCGTCTCCCATGCCGAGCAACCAGGGCAGTTGTACATGATCATGGTCTTGCCTCCTTGGTAGTTTACGGCATCCTTCGACTTGCGGACCTTCAAGAAAATGCGGCAATAAAAGTCGATCGACAGAGATAGCTGAGGCTCGACGGTCAAACCATACTTTGCTGCGGCGCTCGCCAGCGCATGGATGATGATCCGCAGACCAACCTCGTGAGAATGGAGACCCTTGATAGGGACACCGCCATACAGCGAAAAGCACTTCTCTGCGTAACAGTGGCCAGCCCAGTGGCTGGCGTCCGTGCAGGTGACGCAGAGAAGACCGCCATCATCCCTGACGGCTTGAACAGCGGCATCGATGAAGGGTGCAGCAGTTCCATACGGGTCAAGGTCGATTACGTCGTATTTGTTGTCCTTGCTAGGGTTGCCGAAGCGATCTCGCTTCGAGAGGTCGTCAGCAATGCGTCTGTACATGTGAGCAATGGCGTCGTCGTGGTTGGCCTGAATCTTGTCCTCCAGCCCGTTGTGCTTCGCATTCAATTTAATCGACTCGACGGCAGATTTGGTAAGATCATTGGCCGTTACAGACGTCACAAATGGCAGCTCGTGCGAGTAGCGTAAGGCGCGAAGTCCGGAAGCCGAAAGAGCATCAAGAATAGTAAAACGCGGGGCTTTCTTCTCAACAGCGGGCTTGTCCTCGTCCTTGGATTCGGTTGTCGTCGTAGGCGCTTCGCTGACAGCCGAAATCGTTTCATTTCTCTCCGCCTCAACGCTTTCAATCTGCGTGGTTTGGGCTCCCCCACTGGTGCCCTCCTCCGGGTTGCCGTCGATCGTGACCTGGACCTTCGCTGGCCTGTCGCCACCTTCGTCACCAGCAGCGCGCCGCCTCTTCTTCTCCTTGCGCTTAGAGGCCGGCTGCGCAGCTTTCCTCTCAATCACCTCCTCGCCGTAAGCCCTGATAGCAAGAACTGAAAGATCACGGTTGAATTGCTGAATGGGGTTGTAGAAGACCTGTTGTTTCCCTTGCTTTCCCGCGGCTTCAGCAGGGACCAGGATGGTGGCCTTGCCCTCCCTGACTCCCTTATAGTCCTTGCCATCGTAAGTGATGACGGGGTCTTCTGCGCTCATGGTGACTTTCTTGCTACTTTTGGGTGCTAGATTGGTGCAAAGTCTGACAAAAGGGGTGATACTTGTAGGTGGGTGTGTGAGAGAAGAGACTGAGTAAATTCTAGGATGTAGTGATATTGATATATGCAGAGAGAGTTTTCGAGATATTTGCCGGCTTGCAGCGCGTGTGCCTTGGCGGAGAGCTCCTTGAACGTACGGGCTCAACATATAGACATGTGAGATGATGGGTCACAAATTTTAGGTCTGTTTAACTTCGATTTGGCTCACTGAGTTAGAGGTTGTCGCTGGTCCACGAGAGAAATTTCAGTGGGTCCTCTTATTCTGCCAAAGGCGGTGAGCTACTTGCACTCAACCGTACCCAGGTATCTAAACTTCTCGACTACAACTGTGGGCTGTATCTGTTGCTATGCGAAACTCGGATATAATAATCAAACTATTCGTTTGTTTTTTCGGGGGTGTTTTTTTTTGGTCCTAGAATAACTTGTTTTCTTTTTCTGCAGCTCAAAAACCTTTCAATGATATTAAAATCCCACACGCCACTCGTCCCATTTATGACCTTCCATACGGATCACTCTAACCCGATAATTCAGCTGTACAAGAATGTTTCTTCAGGTGACTTGCTACATTTCTTCACCTTTGGTTTCAAGTGCAACACCTGGCTTAGTTTCGGTTGTACCAAGTCTGGAAGCAATGACTGAATTGCGGCCATTGTTTGATGTTGCCTGTCCCGGCATATCTGGCTTCGATGGCTCGGGAGCTCGTTGGCCACTCTGAAGAACCGAACTTGGAGTATAAACAGCTGGTATGTTTGCTTGGATGGTAGACTTGGCCTCCCAGTACAAATCGAAACATTGAATGAGTACCTGGTCGATGGTCATATCTTCGGGGACAATACCGGTATCAAGGACTTTTTTGAGGTGGTCTTCAACCTCACCAAACTCCGCTTGATCGGAGCGGTAGCGATCAGGTAAACCGCTATTGTGGAGAAGGGCGAGAATTCCAGCATTGATGGTATTGGCAGCGGCGAGTATCGTGATCGGAGTACCATCTTTATATGACATAGAGCCAATGGCCGTGAGGACAGCGCCAAAAATGATTTGGAGGATGTATCCAACCCAGCGAATGGTACTCATACCGTGGTAGAAGTAGAAGTACTTTGTGCGGTGCCAGATGACATCTCGGTACAAACCATTTGGGATGCCCTTAGGTGGATAGTACCAACAGGTCGGATGAAGCGCCACATGGCCTTCGGTATCTTTGACGCCGCCGATGCCATGAGCGAAGATGGTCCACTCGGAGGGGGTAAGAAAGCGATATTTTGCACGCTGATATTTCTTCTTCTTGGAATCAGATTGTTCCTGGGAGAAGAAATCTGTAATTGCTTTGAAGGGTGTATCGTTGGCATCATCGGTTCCCTTGTCGACTTCTCTCTCGGCCTCAATGCCGTCGAGCTGCAGAGGAGGAAGAGCTCTCATGGCCGACATTGACGATGTTTCTAATAAGAACAAGTCCTAGAAAGTCCCTTGGTGGAGATTGATGGCTTAAGCGATGGAGGTCTCGGCAACGATGTGATCTTTAGCAAAAGTATTCGCTTGTGCAAGTCACAGAGGGATCTATCCTTCAGGCACGAGAAGGGTTAATTACCGAAAGGATGTCATGCTAGTGGTGGATGGAAGAATTGTAATTGTAAGACCTTTCAAGTATATTGTTGAAAGAGAAATCGGGGGTTGTCGCAATGCACCTGCAATCGCGACGACGTAGAAGGCATCGTGGTCGGAAGTTGCGCTGCGGCGTTTTGGGTCAAGGAAGAGTGGGAACGTAAGGTTGGTATGGAAGGGGTCATGTTGAAACTACATCATTACTTCTTCGTGCAGCATCAAGTGCTCTTCGCGTTCTTCAACCATGAATAGTCGTGTTGTAACCATGTTGCATTTCATTCCTTCAAGGCAGGCAAGAGTGATGCGGTATGGGACGTTATCTCCTGTGAAAGAAGTTGCGGTACTCAGGAGAAAGTACGACGTAGTTGCTAAGTTCATGGCTGCATTACACCACATCCTTGAGGACGTACTACAGAAGAAAAACTTCAAGCTGCAAGATAATCCAGATGTCATGATTGTTAGTTGTGTGTGAAAGTGCTAGCTTTGGCGTGATGGCACTTCTGGTTAGTCCCTGACAACTCACCCATAATTCGAATGTCTCACTTGGCTCCAGGAGCATGCTTTATAATAACTGAATCCATCGAAGAAGTCTTGCAGATAACACGTTATCAACCAAGCAGCAGGATGCCTCTGCTAAGTACCATCACCTTGGGCAGAGTTCTGCATCAAGCAGCAATCCGGCCCTTGTGACTTTATCAACGCCCCAGAATCCAAAATCCAGTCATTACACTTACACTAGTCTCCAGCACACTTACAAAGTATATTTCGGTGTTTGGAGTCGAGTATAGGAAAACAGTGTGGAGTGGGCATTGTCTGATAAACGGTCGCCGCACATGAGTCAAATCTTAACCAACCCGTGACCTAGCAGTCACGAACTATGACAAAAAGTCCAATGTTTCTCAAGAGTTTCATAATGATATTGCAGTGGCTGCAATACTTCGGAAATCATTGCCTCTGCGTTGAAGGTGGTCTTAATTATGCGGAATGGCACGGCCTTCGTTCCACTCACCGCTGCCAAGTAAATCTTGATATTGGCCTTCGTTGGCTCAACTCTATGCTCAAACTAAAAAAACGAATGAAAGGATACAACCCGAGTTCAACTTAACCGTTCAATCAATTCATACATGAGCTGCGAGGTATTCGCCCAATCATTGCTGTTTTTCAGAAACCCCGCCGTCTGCTAAGATCACTAAGAGGGTGAGGCTATACTACACCGAGAGAGCATTATGAGGCAGGTGTTCCTGAGGCTGAGAAAAGTTGCATCAATACTGGTTACAACGGAAGGACGTCTGGTTACGCAATGGGGACAATATAGCGATCCATGCAACCAACATTCATAGTAGATGCTAGCCCCGTTGGCCATTGGAGGAACTCGCTTATACATAAAATGGAAGATCCCGGTCCTACTTGTACTGACGCCCCAGCTGCCTCATTTCGGATGAACTCTAGTCCTACATAATTCAGAGCGCCATGCGGCGGCGCCGCAAAGAAAGATCCAGACCACCGGGATCGAATCAGAACAGAAGACATTCCTCAGCTCTGTAGCCAACCGGGTAAATCGTCTGCACCAACCATATCGTCTGGGCGATAAGTTTATACTATGTACAGGTAGGTGGAGTGGCGTACCTTCACCGGAATGCTACCCAGCATGGAGATCAAGGCGTTATGCCGGGCCGGAATCCCTTGAAACCGCAGATATATTGGCGACAATAGCTGCAACCTACACAGGGGCAGCTGGCGAGGGGAACCGGAATGGAGATACCGGAAGATCTAAGATCGCGGGGAGTCAATAGGCCGCGAGACCGAAGCGGACGAAATAGGCGAAGCCCCTGACCGAACCAGCAGTAGAAGATGTGGTGGTGTTGCGAAGGAGCCGGTGAGGCAGTTGGGGTTCGCCAACAGGCGGGGTAGCTGGGACGAGATTGATCGGATGAACTTCTCTGAGGGTGTGATGCTGTATCATTACAGCGAGACACACCGAGGGGCTTGGCTTGGCTTTCTGGGGAAAGGAAGCCGGCAATGCAGTTGTTCAGTTTGGGAAATGCTATATCTCATTCAGAAAATAGCGTTGCTTAGAACTTGGTTTCGGGAAGGTCGTTCCTGGATGCTGCAGACATTCAATTAATTTTTGACGCCAAACAGATTAAGGAAGGCCATAAGGTGCCTTTGCGTCCGTCCTCAATTGACACTCGCATCGAGGCGATAAACCAAGGGAGGCTTGGCTCGTATCGACGCAGGTTCGGAGCCGTAAAGCTCCTACGAGGATAGTGAGGGAACGAGCGGGTGCTAGAACCACACCGTTACGAGGATGGCGATGGAGCAACACCGCTGGGGTACAGCCAATCCTGGAAAGGGGGGGAAGATGAGCAGCGGATAGACAAACAAGTGGGAGATGATGCAAAAGAGCGCGCAAGTCGGAATTCCCCTTTCCTTGCCTGTACGAAGAAGCCGGATCCGTCGGAGCGAATGAAGAGCCTGGACGACTGGACAATGGGGTGATATGGGAGCTTAGCCTACGATTACGTCTCAAACATGCCAAAGTCCTGATCTGTTTGACAATGGAGGCAACTTTTGCGCGCATAGATGGATCGGGTTTTCCGATATTTGTGGGGTACCGGAGAGACGCCGTGGGGAAGCTACGAGGCTCCTGATTGAGGCGGCAAATCATTCAGGGAGGGCAAATGTGCAATTCTGGTCCAGGTGAGTTGAAGTAAGCCTGTAAGGATAGATAGACAGGCTTTCAATTCAGTGGCCAATACCGAGTGTTAGACAGGACGTCAGTCCACGATGAGGTGCGGGAGGAAGAAGCAAACCACGCCACTGGGTGATGAAAGGCGCCTACGGTTTACAGGGTTATAGGGCCTCCTTGGGCGTCGTCCCATTTGACAGCGGTTCTTTTGTGCTGCGGGAACCCGAGGCGGAGAAAAAGCAAATTACAGAGACAAGAGCAGCTGGGCAGGCTGTGAGAATCCAGGTCAGATTGGGAAAGAGGAAGCACCGAGAGCAAGGGAACAGGCTCGATAGCAAGGTGGGGTCGACCGGCGGGTATTCCCATCACCTGCCTGTCCTTCAGTGACCCTTGGCCTGCCATTTTACCTGCCCTGGAGCACACCCAGGAGAGCAGGAGTCAGGCCAGACCCGCCGGGCCCGTCTGGGGCACATCTTTCGATGTTTCCCCACAGATAAGGTCACAAACTCCCAGATCCTGCTGTCCCAACAGCTGCACCTTCCACGCCCCTCCCTGGCAGGCTTCCTTGCCCCCTTCCTTGCTTCCCCAGTCCTTTCCCCCAGAACACCGCCAGGTGCACCACGGGATGGCATCATGGGTATGGAACCACTAACCCAGCCTCTTCCGACAATGCTGATTGACGGAAATTGCCCTCCGTCGACTTTCTAGTGCGCGACTGCCTCGCTACCGCACCTCGGTGTTTCTGTTCCAGGGCGACCCGGCACACGTTTCGCCTATCTCCAAGCCTAGAACCTCACCGAAAGCTTCCTGAATCACAATCCGACCTCTCAACAGTCTCTTTCCACAAAGGAAATGAGCTGCTTCCCCCCCCTTGACAAGACTGGAACACACATGCCATTCGTGCAGATCCGAATCAGTAAGCCTCATTGAGAAGTGCTCCTGCAGGGGCACCTATCTGGAATACTTCTCGCCCACAACCCCTACCGCGATTTCGGTTTGATTTCCGGTTATCCCACCTTTTCTTGTCCAGACAAATCTGGGGAGCCGCTATGCCTCGCCCGATCAGGTCAAACTAATGGTCGGATTGGGGCAGACCTTGATGGCCCTATTCAGCCGGCTGTTGTCCTCGATTTCGTCCCGTTTCTCCGGTCGCCACACAACGATCCGACGACTGTCCCCTTGTCACCAAGATAAACCGCAGCATGAAAGACTTCTTTTCTAATTAACAGCATGAGGAAGATCAGTGGCGTCGTCTGAGCAGATGCCCACGCAGCCATATCCAACGCGGGGTTGATAAGGCCCAGAACAAACCATCCGACGCCTCTTTCGTAATGAGCAAAAGTCACAATGGTTGAATCAAACACCACCAGCCCGCTGACATTGTCTTGATTGTAGAAAACTTCAACCATTACCATCCCAGCTCTGCGACGTTCTGAGGCCAACCAAGTCGATTTGCGCACATCACAAGAGCCGCCAAGAATGTGCTGAACTCTTTGGTAGGTTATCTTAACAGCGGCCAGGCTCGTCTAGTGTCTTATGTCAGATTACCAACTTCTCTCTTGGCCAACAACGTATCTTCCATCCAGGACAGGCCGGAAGCCTTTAGCGATGTAAAAGACAACCCAAGGCTTCCGGCCTGCTATGGGACCCCAACCGGCTCGTCGTGCCGCTGCCGCTCGCAGCATCAACTCTTGTACCGGTGAAGAACCGGCCCGGGTTGGCTCGGCCGCTAGAGTTTCATTACAAGATCGGAAGCCAACCTTGGTGTGAATGGCCGCTGATCCTAGCTATCTCTTTTGACAACGCGCGCATGAAAGTTCATCATTACTGCGATCAACAGTCAGTTTGCATGATAGTCTTCTCTGTACCGGCCACGGCGTATCCAGAATCCTGTCTGTACAGGTCAAGTCAAATGTACCTACACTTTCACCCCGCGCAATCAATATCAAACGAAGAGTGGATGCACGATAAGGCGTGTTGTTCCCCGCACTCTGGGCAATATACAACCTCGGCGCTGAAAACACTGATAGGACTGGAAACCCACTAGGGCATGGTGATCTGCCCGCCGTGCAGCATAGATGCGTCCAGAAAGTTGCGCGATGTGATGTTCGTAATATGCAGTCTGCATCATGCCGCC